GTTGCGTGGCTCGTAGAAGCGAGGGGAGGGTGGGGCGGACCAGAGGCTAAGATTCTAAAGGAAAGATCTTTCTGTCCTCCCCTTAAGATGCTGGCGGACGCCGCTGCCAATTAGGGGCGCAATCCCTCAAGCTACATACCCCCCAACCCCGAACCCGCTACCCCTTAAACCAGAACGATCTTTGTGCGACAGCCACGCTTACAAACCAGCCACTTGTAAGCAAAATGAAAACGAATTCACTTTAAGCAATACTGACTACTGCTACGTATTATTTTTGGGATTGTCATAATTGTTATTCAATATTAAGTATAATTCGATTATTATTGTATACGATCTACTTTTTAGTTACTTTGTGACCTCATTATAGATTTTGTTTTCAACAATTTTTACATTTATGTAGATTTATGAGTATATACTTATGTTATTATGAGTTTTTTTAATAAATTAGTTAAATAAATGTATTTTCATTTTCTAATACACTATCAAACATACGCATTATATATATTTATTAATTAGAAATCAAAATTTAAACGAATTTTGAAACATGGCTATCACTCCATAGAACCATTCTACTTATCATGAAGATAATAATAATGAGATCTAAGATTTTCTCGGGTATTCGTTTAAATGAAACTAATATTTTTAGGCTATACCACGCGTTTTTTATTTTTGACTATAAACTACATACTCCCGACGTTTCAGTTACTTTACAGCAACCGTGATCACGGGCAGACGTGATGTCTGTACATCCGAAAAATATTACTTTCATTTATACATCTAAAGATATAATAAATAACAAAATCAGCATTAGAAATATCAATATTATAATAGGAATGAATTATATTTAATTTCTTTAATAATTGAAAACCAAAAAATGTATAAAAATTCTACGAATTACCTATATATTTATAGTAAAATGTTTATAACTGAATTGAATAAGGTTATTAATTACAGTATTTCCTTATTATTTATTGCGTATTTATTTTTTTCTTTTTTATCTATTTATTTTTATATAAACAAGACATGTTATTGACTTGGATTCATATAAATAAATAAAATTTAATGTCATTATTTAGGAATAAAATAATGTTTTTCTTTAAAATATTATTATATTCTTTTCTCAATAACGTATTTTCTGTAATGAGTTTTAATAATAATTATTACGGATGTCATCTTTTTAATATTTCTTAATACAAAACGTCTTATATGATGACGCTTATATTAAAAAAATAGTAGCTTTCGATCAAAATAAAACAGTATAATACAGACAAAAAATATGTGAGAGATTTCCAATTAAAAGAAAATATAGTTTCAGAACTTTTTTATATTTTAAATACATATATGATTATAATATTCAAAATACTTATATACCATAACTAAGTATATGTACGTAATTAGTTACTATTTGAAGGCGACATTTTCTTTCAGTCGGATTTTTATCTATAGGAAATCTCACACATAAAAACAGGAGTAGGGGTAACACTAAACACATAACTATAGATAAAAGTAGGGGTAATGTAAAATACGAAGCCAGTAAGGCAGCCAAGCCATATTCCACACATTCGTGAAGTATTTTCATAGTATTTGTGTGTTTTTATTGAAAAAAATATTATATTATCAGTTTTTAATATGCATCTATTATATGAAAGATATTTACGTCGATAAAACCTCAAATGCTTGCCATAGTTTTATATCCACACGAAATACGGAGAGTTAATAGTCATTTAATTCATAAATGTTTTCACATTATAGTTTTAATGTAGATTATTGGATTAGAAACGGAGGATTTTTCGTATGTAGTGTGGATAGAAACTTGTGTTAAGCGTACAGATATGTATGTATATCTTTAGATATCTAGTTTTCTTTTGATTTCAGAAGATTGTTATTTAATAATTATAAAGCTTACATTAATATTTAATTCATCAAAGTCAGTTAATTTAGAGAACAATTTTGTTTAATGTAGGGGAGAGTTGGTTATATCGTACTAGCATTTAAATCGTACCACCTCTAAATTTCCCATTTAATGAATATTTTTTTCTACACTGACAACGCCAAATCGTGGCCCTGTACCATCCCTCTTCACCCACTAGTTTCAGTCGACGTGAGTTAACAACTGAGCACGTAATAAAAAAAATCATTTTTTGTAGGAATTAATATAAATATTGTCGTATATTCGTAAGGAGATAACTCGTAATCAAGGTAAGCCATAGTTATTCAGTTTTTTTTATTATTCCACAATCGTATACTAGATTATTGGGGGTTTTTGTTGCGTGTCTAAGTTTTGAGTTTATGCCGGATATTTGCTTTTGTTTTAGAAATGCCTTACTTGGTTTAATCGTACCACTTGCAGTTGGTTAAATTGTACTGGTACGATTTACCCGACTACCAACTGCAAGTACCTATAGTACTACCGCAAGTACCTATAGTGCTACCGTAAGTATCTATATTACTACCGCAAGTACCTATAGTACTACCGCAAGTACCTATAGTAAGTACTACCCAAGGCCAAAAACAAAAATTATAAGAGGAAACGATCTCATTCCATCACCAGTAGCGATGATGCAGGAGAGACACCTGTTGTAGAACTAGATGATGATGATGACAGCGATGATTATCTTGAAAATATAAGTCGAAAGTGCAATTGTTCTTACTATGATAAGAAGGGTCCAAAAGTTGATTGGATTCAATGCGTTCGCTGTAAACGGTGGCTAAATGAACGTGTACTTCGAATTTTTGAAAACATTTGTCATGATTGTTTCCATTAAGAAATATGCACAATAATTATATGACAAATAACATTCTTGTTAACTGTTACTTTATTATTATAGTTTACTGTTTTTTTATTTGTCTCATTTTTATTAGTTATGTTGATTGATCTCATTATCATAGTATAATCATGTTATTTTACTGAGAAAGCTTATAGTTCCTTTTTATAACCTAAGAGTTAAAAATTATGTTTCTATTACCTAAAAGATATAAATAATGTTGTTTTATTACTTACCTAACAGTCAAAAATAAATAATTTGATTGAGAATTTTAATGTCTTTCATTCAGTGGTACGACTTACACACCCATGGTACGATTTAAAGACTTAGTGGTACGATTAAAACGACTAGTCGGCTAAATCGTACCGATTGAAAGCCTCTATAAAAAAGCATTTTTAACAATGTTAGAATAATCGCAAGGATCTGTTCTCTTCTTCTTAGGAAGCTAAAATATGAAACTTTATTTTACATATGTATTAATTATTATAAGACGTGTTATAGTCGAAATATTTGAGTTAAAGTGAAAAGTGGTACGATATATCCGACTCTCCCCTATATTCTAAAAAAATATTTAAATTTTAAACCCAATTAGTATGTAATAAGTTTTTTTTTTAATAATTATATATACGTATAAACTATTCAAATTGTATTCCATGTTATTGCTTGAAATTAAATATTTAATGAATGAATGAAGAAATTATTAAATATTACAAATGAATTTATATAAAATTTGTAACAATCTTACTTAGACAAAAAAATAATATAAAAAATCTATTAACAGATGAATGATGATATGTTTGAGGTAATTACATATGTTTGTTATTATTTTAATCTAATTGCATGATAAGGATGGTTTTTCAAAAAAGAAACAACTGCTATGGGTGATTTAAAAGTAATAGGTAATATGTGGACTTTTGAACACCAATAAAGTCATAGAAGATTATATACATAAATACATATATGTATGTATATATACATGTCATCTTCAGTATATTATGATACATTAGTATAATACATACTGTTCATGTTTTATCACGGATGGTATCCACAATTACAGAACTCACCAATATTTGAATTCTATCTTAGAATTTAAAACATAAAGAAGTTATGTTCATTACTAGATATTTTTGGTATAAGATGCATATTTATAAATTGTCTCTTTTATTGTTTTAAGGATGATTAAACACTTCAGGAAGAAAAAGATGTGTTTCTATAAAAAAATGTAATATAAAAAAAGAAAGAAATAAATTTTAAAATGACTCCCGGTTTGCTATAAATACTCTTTCCTAAAAGATGCTGCAAAATCCAATGACATTACTATAAGAAAATAATTTAAATATATTAAAACAATAATTCGTAGTACAATTATATGTTCATTACGTTTAAGAGATCAAAAATAATTTATACCAAACAATAAATATATTGATAAATATATTTAAATGCATGCATTAAAAAGAGAGACGAGTAAATGAATCGGGTTGGAAAATGATCTTATCAGTTTTCATTTATTGTAGATAATTTAATTAGATCCGATAATGCCTACTATTATTGGGTTCATAAATTTCAATCATTTGTATTGAGTATCTGTTATAAGAATAATTATTTTGTTTTTGTAATTTACAATTAAAATATAAGGTTTAATCCAATCACAAAGATATATTACAATTGATTTTTAATAAAATTTCTATTAACAAGTTATTAGAAAAAAATAAAATGAAGGTTATTTTTTTTAAGTTAATAAATATTTTTGTTACAAGATCTCTCTCCATAATACGAGCAGAGGAATTGGCGATAAAACGATTATTTTCAGTTAAAGATTACACACGTAATAAATAAATATACCATCCAAATAAAATATAATTACTTAAGTACATATAAAAAACTATAATAAAAACTATAAAAACATAATTAATTTCAAACTAAAATTACATTGAGAATATTAGTATTGAGATTTTTTTATGTAGATTTTACTCGTCTTTCCGTTTTCATTATAATATCAGTATTGGAGTTTCCTTAAAAATAATTTAATATTTAAATCACCTATAAATTTTGTTAGTATTAATTTGTGTTTTTTGAATCTATGTTATCTTACGACGGCATTAATTAATATTTTTCATATAAATATCATTAGTTAGATTATCTAAATACTTTTATCCTCGTTATGAGTATATCTTAAATAATATTAGTTAAGTTAACTGTAAGGGTTATCCAATATTATAATGGGATTCTACTCACGTTGTAGGTTCATAGCCGGCGGAAAGATGTGATGATTTCTCATGGTTGTGTCTTGTGGTCGCGCGCACTGCGGCGGCGGGGGCTGGTACCTCATGCCCTGGTAGCGATAAGCAGCTTGAGACATCTGACCGCACGAGGCCAGCTCGCCCCAAGACAGCTCACCACCACCTCCCAAACAGCCACCATCGAACCCACCACCAGCCCCGCTCAAATATCCGTACTCCATACCTATCCACTGCCTAACATCAGCTCAATAATGAGTTATTAGAGTCCGTTTCGTCAATCAGTTTCTATGAACGCTCACCGCATAATTAGTTACGATCGAATTATGATTACAGATAGATGCTATCGCTTCTCACGGATAATTTCTGCTAGAGGACCGCGCGCTCGCCCCACTTGAAATCGAATGATAAGCCTAATTCAATAAGGGCGAGCCTGGAGCAGAGGCGGGGCTCACCCCCGGGACGGCCAATGGCTGTTCCCATTCCCGGAGACCGCCCCAACCCCGCGCCTTCGCCCCGCTAGCTGGAGGGTGCATGTCACGACACTCGTCTACTTTTCTTTCCGCCGACAGTTTCTTTGTCATTGAGGAAAATAAAAAAGTTGTAATTAACGAGCCAGGTAGGCACTAATGAATGGCTCCTGGACTGTTTAATTCAGATCGTTGCTTTGCGTATATATAATGTAAGGTAAATAATGTACTGCAAGTCTGTTCGTCTCTTGCAAGTGAAGCCTCGCGTTTGATTGATCACGTCTTGTGACGTATAACTTTTCGCGAGACTGAAAAGCTCTGAGGTTTCTCGCTTGACTGTAATTAATGAGTTCAATTGATTGAAATACACATCCAACCTAAATAAAATATTATAGATTATTATAATTTCATAACGCCTGTAAAGAATTGATTAGCAATTTTTATGTTCAAAAATTAGATGTTGATTTATTCGTTCCTCTCCCGTAAAAGGGAGCTATGTGAGAAAATGACTTGTATAATATTCGCATACGACGTACAATTCCCGGAGATCCCGCGGGAGACGCGACGCATCCCACTTTATATATTATTTATCTTAATTGCACGAGTGAGCCCTTTTTTATTTTTTTGCGTTTGATGTATTAGAAGAATGCAGTTGCATTTTGACGATGTTTAAATTGATTTTTAATTGGCTTTTATCTTTGTGACTTTTTATTGAGTAATAATACATGTTTTTTAAATAACTAACTATGCCCGCGACTTTGTCTGTGCATAAAACTCATTTACTCAAATAAAAAGATCATACTCTTATTTCACCAACTAATATCTACTAGTTAATATCCCCTCAAAATCGGTTCAGCGATTTCATTACCGGCAACAGACAGACCAACAGACATAGATTGTAGCCAATGCTATAGAAATATATTTACCTTGTACATATATTTTATACACATTTAATCTATAGAGTTAATTTTATTATTTTAAACAGAAAATACGCTTTATTTATTTCGCTTTTTTCACTAAAACTATATCTTAAGGACTGAGTTTTCAGGTATATACTTATTTACTGTAGAAGATATATAATGAGATCTAAAATTTTCGGGAATACTCATTTAAATGAAACTAATATTTTCAGATTTACTACGTGGTTTTTTTTTACTATAAATTACATACTCCCGACGTTTCGGTTACTTTACAGCAACCGTGATCACGGACAGACGAGATGAAGAAGATATAGATGAGTGGTTATATAAAATTTTCACTGGAAATTATTATTATAATTTATTCGTGTTAATTTGTCTTTAATGTATGAGGAGAAAAACTACTTTTAGGTTCAAATGCGATTATTTATCTTGACACCTAACATCGCTCAAGATTCGATTAAATAGTAAAAAATAATAAGTTAAAGAAGACACCTGTTACAAATATAATATTATTAAATAAACTATACATAACTATATCTTTTTTTAAATAAAAGGACAGAATATATATTCATAATCATAAGGAAAGAAGAAAATTAATAGGAATAGTACATTTTTTTCCAAGCTCTGATTAAATTCACAAACGAATCCTTATAAACAAATAATTATTAATATAAAAAATATTGCTAACCCTCAATACACATCGAAGGCTGAAACCCAAAACATAATACGCATTTCGTTATCAACGTGGCCTAATAAAAAGGCGGCAATTCGCGAAGTTGATGTCTTATTTCTTATTTACTGAGCCTGGAGGGAAAAACAAGTCGCCAAGTAAAATATGTGATCACTTAGCAACCTGCAATCAAACAACTGTGATGTATATCACTTTCTATCTTTTATTATGTTTATTCACTTTTCTTCCTTACTTTTAGTATTATTAAAATGAAATTATTGAAAAAAAATGTAAATAAATATACAAAAATGTTTCTTATGTTGTTATAGATTAAGGTTGAATTTTTATTATTTTATTTGTTTATCTGTTGGTATGTGATTTATAAATTAAATGAATTATCTATATTTGGGGAAAATTGTAAATTTAAAGATGAATTTTTAATTAAAAATATTTATTTTTTATTCCATATATTTAAAGTGTAACAATACAATCAAAGGACAAAATCTATGCTAAATGAAAAATACATTCACGTAAAAGTCAAGAACAAATGTAATTAACTAAAATCATTACCGAACCTTATATAATTATTTATAAAAATATTCATAAACAAGTAAATATAAACAAATCACATACACAAGGAAAACAAAGTATACTCTACTCTCGTACTTGCAACTAATCTGATAATGCAGCGGTTATAGCCGAATGCGTGCGTCCTATAATTCAATTTACGCCCTCAACAGTCGACCCCAGCCCCGGGCCACATGCTGGCATCGGCACACGCTCGCTGTTTTTAATTAAGAATCAACTATATGTCATTCTTAACTTTTTATGTTTTAAGACATTCCCTAATCATGGTTGGCTGGTTGTTTTAAATGTGGCCTTAACAGTCAGTGGTGGCCTAGTGGTTAAAAGGCCCGCCTCTCAAGCTCGAGGGCGCGGGTTCGATCCTGGCCCTGGCAAATACCAATGTGATTTTTCAGAGTCATATGTACTTTCTAAGAGTATTTAGACATCACTGATTAATGCATTCCCAAAGAGGGTTGATATCAGGCAGGCGGCCGGTCGTAAAAAACAATTAGCCAAAACTATTTACAACATGTAAGGCAGACTTTGGCTAAAGCTGGGAAATTGCCAGGTAGAAGTAAGTTTAAGTGTGGCCTTCATCCGTGCAAAGATGTACACAGTATATTCTGCCAGGATCGTGTAGAATGGAGGAGACACGATTTGTTTTCTTCTTTTTCTACTTCTTCTTCTTTAGTTAGTGGCGTCAATATTTTCCTAATCATTAGGTAATAGTTTTGACGTTTGACATTTCTTTAATGTCAAATAAGACGTTCTACAGATAATATATATTTCATAAAACAATGTAATAAAAAATTAAAATTGAACTTTTTATTTAGTGCTGCAATTTTATCTAATAGCTGATATATTTTCTTGTGTTTTTAATTTTTGATAAGTTAAAAGAAAAGCAACGATTTTATTATTAACGCGTTCCTGACGATTCACATAACTGTTTACAACCAAAATTACCGTAAATATTTCAAACTTTGTAAGGCGGACATTATATTGTAATAACAAATTAAAAATATACGTTTGTGTATAAACTTGGTCATATCATTAATTTCCATGGACGAAGACACTAACAGAACTATCTCTTTCGTTAAATAAAATCATTTAACTCAATTGGCACTTTTTATAAATTTTTTAGTTCCCAAATATATATAATTATAACCTAATTATCTCCTTTACAAGTGTGATGAATATCTATAATAAAACTTGGAATCAAATAATAAATCACTTAATTACTTATAACACAATAATAATACACAATTCATTCATATACAAACCTACATTCTGTTGTTTCTATCCAATGCCAAGATATCTCAATAAAGCCATCGAACATATGTATATGTGTCTAATGCGACCATGCGAAGTGGATTCGGATACAGAATTTCATACTGAGATATTGGAGTAGGCTTATATGGGATATCTATTAAAAAACATATATTATATGTATGTTTGTTTGTAGTTTTAGACGAAACTAATGTTTTTCTTAAGTACTACGCGATTTTTATTTTTATCAAAAACTACATACTCCCGACGTTTCGGTTACTTTACAGCAACCGTGATCACAGAAGAGGTATGGTTGCTGACTAACTTACTCACATTTCGTCTGGCCGTCGTAGTAGGTATATCCGAAAAATATTATTATAGTTTCATTTAACTGAATACTCGCGAAAATCTTAGATCTCATTATTCGTAGTTATGTTACATTTCTAATTTATTCATCCTATATCAAGCTAAATCAATTTATTTATTTTTCAATACCAACAGAAGATAGAACACAAAATAATTACTTATTAGGTCACGTAATTTTCAACTTTCATGACACTGATAGTTACGCTTCAAATTCAATATAAATATGTAATTCTATTGAATAATAAAGTGTATGAATTTTGACTGGTCTATTGGTCTAATATAAAGCTGGTCTTTATAATTCTTCATCGCAGCTATCCTAGTTTATAATCTGCGTTAGAGTTTTGAGTGGGAGGGTCGCCACCTGCGCGCTTGATTGATGATCCGTCATTCTATGATTGCTAACAGCATCCAGTACCTTCAAGCGGCAATATTTAAACTAGAATATTGTTTACATACAATAAGAAAGTCTAGAAAGTCACACGAATGTTTTAATATATTAAAAAATTACGAAATATATTGGCGTTTTTTAAAAGTCAACGGCCTAATAATTAAATAATTTTTGGTTGTTACTTGTATAATATTTTTATAGAATTTGTCGTATTAAGTTCCGTAATTCTTATGATTCAATTTTAATAAGTTTCAAGCCTGTTTGCTTTGCTTTTCTTTCCACTTTAAGTACATTTATTATCAAAATGTTTTTTATATCTCGTAACTTTTGAATGCAAATTTAAAATAGCTATCGTTTGATATTAAAACGAACGTAACTATTGAAGTAAAATGTTAACATTTCTTTTTGAAGGAATACATGAAGTAATGAACACTATTAGTTTTACATTTTAAAACATCATTAGAAGGATATAGCATATTTTTTTTTTGGATTTCGCCAAAATATTTTAGCGGTCTACTAGTAGTTTTTATGAAAATAGTAGATTGTTAACATCCTACATTTTAAGTACATTACGATAATTCCGAAACATTTTCAAAACTCATATACCATTATATTTATAATTTTTTTAAGTAAAAAAATTTAATTTAACATAAAATAATCCAATGAAATTATAAAAAATCAACACGTATATAACACGATCACATTCTACTTTAAGATATCAAGGAACAAAAAGAACGGGGAGTTTCGCCTTTTGGGAGTCCGCAAGCTTAAAAAAACCGCCAGAGGACGCTCCACGCTGGCAAACACTGTCTCTTGAGAGCCGCTCATTAGTTGTTCAAACAGTGGCGGCCACTTTGACAAGTACGAGCCCAACCTACGTCTAGAGCCCTTCCCCTCCAATGATCTAACGTTAACTTAGCTATCGAACTGCACATTGTAAACAGCGGTCTGTTTCATTAAGATACCTTTTTAAATTTAACCTCCTCTGCTATTGGATATTTTTAAATGATTAAGCTTATATTTTTTCTATTCGTTTCGTGTTAGAAATGTAGTAAATGAAGGAGATTTCTTATAATTTATAAATATTTTGTTGGCATCTCATTCAACGTAAAAAATGTTTTGTTTTACCTACCATCTTCAATGTTTATCCTTTTTTCTTTTATTTCAATATCTTAGTAACGAAAATAAAATTAGAATTCAAATGAATATCTATTGCGTAATAATACACAATATTACTGAGTAATTCATAACAATTAACAATATTTAATTCTGATGACAAAAATTTTAAATTAAAAGAACATTATCGAATGACTAAGCTTAGCTTTTAAATTAAATATTCCTGTTTAATTTATTTTACTTGTGTAACTGACATCTAGTTACGAATAAATACAAATTTAGTGCCATCTATGGGTTTGTAGCTCAACTGTCAAAGTAACCCATAACATTCCTTTTCCTACCAGTTCCAAAACACCCCTGGCTTTTGTTAAATTAGAGATAGGTGTCGCTAGTGAGTACTGCTTTATAAGTTATCCGGTAGATGGCGCAAATCATAAAAGTAACTTTCAAAAGCTCAAAATCTTTTTACTTTAAAAGTACATATTAATTTTCTGTTTATATATCACATATTTTATACTTGATCATTAAAAAGTTTCATTCGAGTTATTTCTAAGCACATTTCGTATCAGTGTTTAAATCCTTGCAGTATTTAATTCTCATCCCTGGTAAATATTACTGCTACAAATATAAACCGCGTGCTTTAAAGATATGTCTTTTTCGAGGAGCTATGGCAGGAGTTTTTTTTATCAAAAAGGTAACAATTCATCCATATAAATCTATTGAAATGTTGACTTGTATATAATTCAGTGTCTATAAGAATAAAGTTGGCAGTTGTATTTATATTACAACAAAACTACTGTACAAAGATTAGAGATTAATTAAATCTTCTGAGCTTTACTTTTAGACCTTTTTTCATATAAATTTATTTATATTTTATAACTCAATATATTTTATAAAAATTCTCCGAGTTCGTGATACGTAGCTATGAAACCTTTTTTGTACTAACCTCATTCAGTATTTATTATATAATTATATTTTATAGCACCAACTGTATAACATTGTGTGCACACTTTTTACTGAGTTGATATATGTATTTATTTTAATAGTATTTATTACAACTTTACTAAGAAAAAGTTTGTATCATAGTAATCTAAGATCATAAGCAATAAGCCGACATAAAAGTAATTACTTTCTAAAATATTCTTTACAATTTAGGAGGTATTTCAAAACAAAGGAACATTACCGCTTTGTTCACAAAAATATCCATAATTCTTGAGAATGGGAAGTACCTACCAGAATTCCTTACGAATGTTTTTCCTTTAGTATACATTTTGGTAATAATCTTAACTCATTATCTTTACTAAATGATTAAAAAGAAAACAGCATCAGTTTTGATACAAAATATATGAAAAAGTTAAGAATTGAATCCTACATCAAATTATGTACATAGACAATGATCACCCCATAATATTATAATACTTTATTATACTAATTGCTTTAAACTTAATTTTAAGGTAATAATTTTTATTATTAAACGATATTAATAATATATCCCTACTAATATTATAAATTTGAAAGTAACTCTGTCTGTCTGTCTGTCTGTTACGCTTTCACGCCTAAACTACTGAACTGATTTTAATGAAATTTGGTACAGATATGGAGTTGACCTTGAGAAAGAACATAGGATAGTTTTTATCCCAGACTTTTGAAAGGTTCTCTTGGAAACGCGATATAACCGAACTCCACGCGGGCGAAGCTGCGTTCGGAAAGCTAGTAGTTTATAATTTAATAAAAAGTATCTTTGACTTCGATTTATCGTTTTTTGATTTCTAAGAAGTAACACAAAATAAGCTAATTAAACAAACAAGAATATAGAAAAGAATAGTATTCATTGTAAAATTGCAATATTGAATTAAATTTTTCAATGAAATACAAAAAACAGAAACACGTGTTTCTATATATCACATAACTTTTTTTTGGTACAAATCTTTTATAAGGCCGAGCTTCAAAATGGTTTTGATTTGTGACGCAACTATTGTTAGGAAATCTTCTCTGCACGTGGCTTCGTCAGTCGTTATGCCGAGGTTGGACGGATGTGAATGAAATTTTATAAAAACTGAACCGAATGAAACGCTTGTACAATAAATGAAACATACAAATGTACCTAAATGAAACTGGTGATAGTTTGTAAACCATTTTGAATGTAATTTTATGAATACGGAATGTTTTTCTCAAAAACAAAATGTTATTACAGATAATAAATTTTTTTTTTTATCTAATTTACTTAATTAACGATTGATTATAAAAGGAAATGCGTTTGAGGCTTTTTATTATTTTTCTATAATTTTTAAAACCAAAACTGTACATTTCTTACAAGACAAAGTCTTAGCAACTAACATATATTTAGTAGACAATAACAATGTTTTTCAAAGTGTTGTAAACTAACAGAATCTTATATATACATAGTGTTGCATCAAAAAACTTCTGAACTCGCCAATCATCTCCCAATAGGATTTCAATCAAGGATTTTAAAATAAACGAGTAAAGAAAGCTTACATTAACTGTAAATGAAACTTATGACGTTCATTAATTTGTCTAATTAGTTAATTCAAGACCGCGGAACGCCTCGCTTCAAATACTTTATCAAGTTACACAATATAACAATAGTCCTACAACCTCGATGAGTATTAATTCATAATAAATACATAATGTACTAAGAACACACCTAATTAAACTAACATTACAAATACTATATAGGTTTGGTCGTAAACAGGAATGTGTTAAACTTGACTAGAATTTAATAAACTTAACATCTTACTTATAAATTACTTTTAACATCCAATCAATCTTTTTTATAAAAATTATAAACTAAAAGTGACGTTTACTGTCATTTCATTTAAGAATTCGCTAACTGAGATCTTATTGAACTAACAAAATCAAGACACACATTTTACTTCGATGCGAAAATACATAAAACACTATATAATACAAATGTGTAAATATTTTTTTTATAATTATTATCGTATTTTGCGTCTTCAATTCATAGTTTACATAATGATCAACTAAATGTTATTTTAGGTTAGTAACAAAGATTTCTTACAATTATTTTTTGGATAACGGAGATCTTTAGACATATAGAAAGCTTGAAATCGGAAAAAAATATGATCGTCTGTCAGAAATTAATAAATTAACTAAAACTAAAGCTACAATATTATACATAAATATTAATTTGAGATCAATGGACATTTCCTCTTTCAGGATGGTAAATACGTAAACCTTTTTTTTCAAAACCTCCTTGCATGGTTACAAAAAAAAAGTGACCTATTCAAGGTTAATACAATGTCATCTGTATAGATGTATGGTAATGATGATCAGAATCTTACATCTTGTACATCAGTCGGCGTGTCTGGTAATTGAGTTTGGTTGTTTGTCTGTTTTATTGGTTGTATATGTCTAGTTCTGGGTTCTTGGGGTTGAGTTTCTCTGGCTAGGACTCGTTCTACATGGCGCGCGACTAACTCAGCGGCAGGGGCTGGCGTTCGTGTGAGGAGACAGAGGTCGTTGATCGTCATACGGACCCTTAAACCTCTGGCGGCTGCGGTTATACAGGCGACGGCTATCAGAGACGGCGGCACCAATAGGAACTCGGTTTCTGTTAACAAATATTAACCATAAAGTTTCATACACACTAATAAACACAAACACGTGGATGTACCAAATATAAGTGCAAATTATTTTAGTTTATAACATCTATCCTTTCAATATAAGTAATACTTAATGGTATTCAGCCTTTTTTAAAAGGATTTCAGTGTGTTTTTTTATTTAAATAGTACACCTAAAAGTACGGTGATAAATCACGTTATGAATTTTACTAGCTCTATTTTATATTTACTGCTTAGATTTTTTGGCATAGAAAATGAATGTACAATGTTTTATATGACGGCAGAGAATCAAGGTATTAACAAACAGTGTAGTTTTTGTTGTAGGAGTATGCGGATACAATGAGCTTGTTGGAGGCAGGTAGGACGCATCTGTTGCGAGATAATTACCTACACCGGACAGGTGGCTCGCCACCTTGCATCTTAGCGTCCTTGTATTAATAAATATTGTCTCATTTTTAATCAAGACAATATTCCACAAACGCGAACTAATTTAGATTGAAGCCAAGCTACTATTTATTGCGACAATCCCAAACGAAGGTCGTTCGTCTTAACTTCTTAAGGGGTTCGCATAAAAACAACATGTTACTTTGCACAATAAGTAAAGCTATTGTTCGTGTATGAGGAAGGAAAAATCGAACAGCTGCCAGATTTGTGCATGACGTCCCAGTCTGCATCTTTGTGATTGCGTACCAGCACAATAGAACCCGAATAATGGTAATTTACATCTTAAGTTTTCTAGCCAAGGGCGCAGCTGCGATTTCGCGACGAGGGATACCATTGTTGTGAGTCAAATAAAATCGATGGCAATATATATTCGATGTCCACCAAGTTATGTCTTATGTTATTCCAACGGCGTTTTCGAGGTGATGAACCGAGACTTGGGACATTTATCGCGTTGGGTGTAGCCAAGGGAAGGTAAGACGGCAGATGCTTCCAGCACCTGGCACGACCCTTCCGTTCATTTCTTACAAACGGGTCACTGAACGCCCACGAGTTTCTTACGTCCTCGCCCTTAACCTCCGTAAACATTGGATCTAGTTGTAAAAAAAACTATACGCGAACACGCGAACCGCTCGTAATTTTAATTGTATAACATTTATTGTGAACGTTAAGGTCACGCCCGCTAGTAGTCTTTTAACGATTTCGCAGAAATAAATCTTCATATAAATGTAACAGTTTCTGAGGTACATAAATGCTTTAAGCGTAATTAATCGTTTTAATTGCCACGTGTTGAACTTTGGAGACGAAAATATTAAAGGAAAGCGTATCATATATATAAAATAATCGCAGTAGAAAATCGTTTTTTTAATTTTGTCATATTAAAATTCCATCAGTGATTACGGTAACCAAATTTAAACATGAAATAAAGCACGGCATGTTGTGTGCGGGTAACTCATTAATATATTAATATATAACTACATCATATGTGATCTAAGCGCTGAAGCGGCGCGGGCCGTTTCCACGACAGGTTGCCTGTCAGTTGGGAGCCGCCATCTGCGCACGCGCAGGGCACATACTCCTAAGACACCCCCGTCTTAACTCTACAGTCTACCCTTCTAATTACAAATTCAAGTAATGAGCGTCGCCAACAGACATCAGGAACCGTTAAGTTCCGTTTTCGGAACCTGTCCCCTTATGGGAATTTAGGGAATCCTTATACAAATAGATGCAAAAGTGCAAGGGTTGCAAATAGTTAATGTCATTTATCTAATTGTGTTGAACTAGTTGTAACATAATATTGTGTACGTAATGTCTCATTTTGAATTTATTAGATAGGGTCGGTTGAGTGGTACAGAAAACATTTAAGTTTATATTCTATTAATCTCATACCCTATCTATTATGAAAATGCAATATAGAATTAACAAAAATGAAGTTGACAACTTTTTTTTTTAAAGAACGGAAGACATCGGTTTTGATGTTCTGTGATTCGTAATGTCAAATGAGGTTTAATATCGGGTTAGATAGGTAAGGGTAGGGACGCCAGGTGCGTGCTGAGACGTTCTTTGGGGTGTTCGTGTACTTGGGGACCAAGTTCGGGTGACTACAATGGCCGCGGGACGTCTTTTCGTATTGTCGCGGACTCAGCTGGCTCGGTCCCCTAGACCGTAAGTCACCGCGACCGTGACACGGTTACTTGAATTATTATAACACGCAATGTATGATTGCTATCTTATTTTGAACACGTATCAATATCGTATCATGTTCCTATAATATACTTCTTTTTAAGGGACTATAAAATCAAGAGGTTTTCATTCACATTGCAAAATAATAATTATATACATATATGTATATAAAATATGTTATCTATCTTCACGTGAATTCTAAATGAATACTGATGATACCTTATAAATTTCCGATAGTTTTTTTATTATATTGAACTCATTTCGTTTTTGTTTATATATATATTTAGCGAAAACTTCTAGTGTAAGCACGAATTGTTCGTATTTCATTCAGACTTCAATAGATTACGACATAAAAATAATCATTTGATACAAACATTAAATTAGAAATTTATATTCTTCCTTCCCTTTAATTTATTTTAATGATCATCACAAGCCTTATAGTTTCATTGTGATCTCAAATACATATGAAATAAACTAGTTTAACGATTAAGAAATAAAACTGTTACTACTTACACCCGACTTTAAAAGGCAGTAAAATATTTTATATATCAAACAGTTATTATCATTTAAGGGGTAAGAATTTGTTTGATCATAAACTTACAATAACAAATATGTAATAATGCAAAGAGGTCTACGCCCACTGTACTTTTAATACAGCTATAAAATTACACGGGCGTTAATCACAAATAAACCCCTTAAAGATGAAGGAAATTTACAGGTCAAGAGGTGTTATTAACCCTTTAACACCTCGGCTAATGCGATATCGGTTACCATCAATTATGTGTACTTCCGGTGACCAGTATAGGGCATAAATAAACTGCAAACAATCTGCTTTGGGTTGACCTGGTCTTGGCTTTAACATGTTAAATCGTAAAGGTCAAAAAAAATAAAAATAATATTTTTTTTTCTTAATTTCTTTCATACAGTCAACCCACTATATATAGCCAATGTCACATAGTAAGAAAATAATAAATACGTTTTTTTAATGAATAAAAAAAAGAACTAAATATAATGAGCATAACAACTCACAGATATAAAATTTGTTTTATCTCAAAACCATAGGGCAGTCAGGGTTAAGACACATAACTTTTTTTAACTTCGATAAAATAAAAAAAAAGGTTTAGATTTTAGAATATTGTCAATCAAACATGCTTATATGCTTATTAACTGATTTGTACATTTGAAATCCTTGAGAATTATAAAAGGAAGGGAATTTTCAGTAAACTCAATGTCAATTAAAATCCATTAAGTGTTATGCAAGTTAAAATTATTATGTAACATTCATATACAAATATATTTGTTCTATATCTGACTCTGACCTAAAGAACTATGCTAATGATTCAAATGGTTTTACTTCGGTTTATTTTCAATATCCCCTATATTAAAAATAAACTTAAAGCTTAATTAAAACATGAACCACAATCTCAATACCATTAAGTAATCCTCCTATAAGTGTTACGAAGTTAAATAGGACAAGTGTATAAGTATATAGTGTTATTTAAGCGCAATTTTATCCAGCCATTATTATTACAGCCTCACAATAGCACTGATAATCGTAGTACGCGTATGTTGTACGTTTTACGAGTGTGTTTGTTCACTCCTAGGAGCGTATCGGGCACATGGCGGTATCCCCATAAATCAGATTGAGTCCAGATAACGCTTAGAGGTATTAAGTTAAAACAAACAACAATTGTACTTGGCTATCAACGTCCCGATAATAAGAACAGTTGCTTGAACTGAATGCAAATATAATATGAAAAATATATATGGTTTTAAATGACAGATTACTTACAAGAGTTAGTATTGTCAAAGGAACTATATAGCTTCAGTTTCGTTTGAGACGATTTATCTATCATTGCAAATTACATTACTCAGTGATCCATAATAAATGTAACTATATAGGTCTTTATAGGTCATCATTCCTGTATAAACATAAGTTGGACCAAATGACTAAAACGATATAATTTGTGCTACAAAGGGAGTTCAGTAGAGGGTCAGTTGCATGGGGTCGGTACAAGGTGTTGGTTATCACGGCACAGGGTGGCATGTGCGTTCCGATACACTCACCCCATAAATGACCGGACTTATCGCTGAGGACCAAATGTCCTCGCTTCGTATAAAACCTGTTACACTCTAAATTTAGTAGCACAAAACAGCATTATCAATAATTAGCATATAGTCAAGGAAAGTTTGTTTCACCCGCATGTTACGGCAATTGAAAAGAGCAACATTTCCTTGTTTGAAATATATTTACCTGTGTAGCAGACTGATGTGAGTGTTAAAGCGTGTGTCCGAACGAGAGGATTAGTTCTTCCCCAAGGAGTTCTGGCTAGTAGAGGTTCAACGAAGTCGAAAGCTGTTGCTACTGATAGCTGCCAATTCAAACGCTGCAACAGCATCACCTCCCATTGCTAAAACAAAAAATAAAAACTAAATTATTTTTCCAAAGACCTATTTCTAAATCTTTAACAATTTTTTTTCACAGGCCCTACTCATGGGTTTATTTGTTGAACGAGTAAGTAAATTGCAACTAATAACGAACAGCAATTAGTCTTGTATGAGGTGAGTTGAAGAAAGAAGTCTTTTTAAACCTTATAGCTCATTCGTAACCGTCATACACGGTGGATCAGGCGGAAACCGCAAAAAAATAGCAAAGAAAAGGGCAAATGGGGTAGAATCGCCTAGGGAAACTTTCAAGGAAATTCTATAATTCAATAGAATTAGATAACTCAATAAGGGTTAGAAACAAATGAACGTAAATTCATAAGTTTCCTCACAAAATAATCGATGTATTTTCCCACCGTAAAATGAATAAATTTCTCATTATCGAAAGCCAAATGTCATGTAGACAAGTCAAGTATGGGAACTGAGTATTCACTGGCTCATTTAAATTCACAACGAGGACTTATCAGGATGATCGGCCGACTTAATTGCAAGGAAGTAAATACTAAATAGTGTGCCATACGGTACCTCCGCGCCCCAAAGAACGATGGGACTTCTCACGGTCACGGTTCATACCAAATGTCAGGAAAATTGTTATCTTATACATTGCGTGAGAATTAAACACTCATTATAATATATCTATGAGAAAATTTTTATATACGAACATACGATTGCATCATATTTTGTGTTTAGAATTACGAATTTCGCTAAACGGTATAGAGGCGTGTGAATAGGGTGAAAAGCCAAAAACTTATGCGTATTAGTGATCTAATTGATCGAATCACACCTGCCAGCCTGCACACAATATCACAATTATAACTTTATGACAGTAGTACTAATGACCGAGTGTGTGAACCGCAGTCCAAAGCGCATGAGTTGCATGTACCTAATGATAGTCCTACAACTCTAGCACCCAAATTATATGAATGTGTCAAATCGTCTTATCAGCATATCAGTAACTCGCTACCCACATATCCGACGGAAATAATAACTAATTCGAAACTCACTTCGTCACACGTTACAAATTTGTACTTTTAAATTGTAAGACTTCTTCGCCTTTAAGGTTCACGAATCGCGGAAGAAGTAATTACCGGAAGCTAACACAGGACTTTAAGGAAACGGGTAATATAATGACGTCCCTTCGGGGTGAAGTAGTGACATTTGACTCGGCTAATCGAGTTCATACACGGCACACAATCAAAACAATACATTCCTCCTTGCGGTTGTCACAGGATGTAAGGTACACGGTTGTCTCACGACGTTCTATATTATAAAACTTCACACGATACCGATCTGAGGTACCAAACTTTCAAAATAAGTGCCACGAAGTCGGAAATACGTCCGGAAATCTTATTATAGTCATATTCTACACAAAGAAAGGCATATAAACATTTGGTTTTAGGTCTTGACTACCGTATATTTTCTATGCAAAGAAAAGTGTTAATGGTTGTTCCTTAATAAGACTTACCCTGACTTCTTGAGGGAAAACTGAGTTGTCAGTATAAGCGCAGAGTAGATCAACAGACAGAGGGTGACACTGGCGGAACTTAGAGGCGAGCAGTAGAGAGGTGACAGCAAGCAATTGTAGCTGTTGTCGTGAAATTGCACGCTGGGCGAGAAACCTGTCCATATAGCTCACAGCCAGAGGGAACACCTGCTCTTCACACTGCTGCTCCTCACAAACCTGGTAACATAGTCTATACATTAATATATGAATATAAAAACAATACCAAGTTTGGATTTGTTATCTTTTTTTTTTTGGTAACTTATGACGATTGTCATTGTCATTATATTTTTTTCAAACTTCGTTGTTTCTTTATTATATCGTATTTTAATAAAATTTGAATAACATTATAGGAAACCTATCTTGTATAAGCAAAAAAGTGTGAACCCTTTGCTATCTATAACTATGGCTTCATTGGGAACACGCAGATTTTGTTTCAGAAAAGAAAATGTGGTCTATATTATATTATTATTTATCGTAGAGATTATAACGTTAGACTTATGACCTTATTCCTTATATGTCTGGTAGCCTGCTGGCATTTATGTAAATCTAGGTATAGGAGCGTCACGGTCCAACAGATATTAAACGTATCAGTACCTAATAAAGTAGGTAGCCGTTGCATATAAAATGTTTTTTGCAATCCCAGTTATACAGGGTGGGACTCCGTTGTTCATTGAAGTCGAACAGAACCTTCGAAAAACTTTAGTAAAAAAGTTTCCGCTTACAACAGCTATTGTAAGGGCTCTTACCTACTGTTAAACCACGTGTGTCGTACAATACATATCTTGAGTTACTTATATGGACTATTTGTATAGATGTACCAATGCATTATTATTTAAACATATATATGGATATACATAAACACGTGTGGTAAGCAATACAAATAAAATCAGTTTTATTTTCTTAATTAATATTTTATGTTTCTCTATTCTGATAAATAAATTCCTCATAAGTCACAAACAGGTATCACAACAATAACCTTTTTGCAGGTAGGTATTAAATTTATCTTAAATCATCATCTTTAAGTCAGTCGCACTACTAATAATAATTTCAATATATATTATAGAAAACTAAGTTTTATAGTAAATATGCCTTTTAAATATCACTTAAAAATATATTCAAATAATCTGAGAGAATTACAAAGCTCATCCTTCAAACAAATGTAAGGTCATTCACTTTCATTTTAATCAGCTGTTGTCAAATTGATGGCCCCCATTATTTTTAATTTATTCTCATTGCACGTAAAACATTCATAAATCCTTTTAAATATATTTATTAATATAAATAATAATTACCTCCAACATCCAAGTCGTGACAACCTTTCTCATGAAAGGCTGTATGTCAATTTGAACGTGTTGAAAATAATCTGTGTGTAGTGCGTGGACTCTCTCGAGGGTGAGGAGGTTCATGAGCAGCCTTGGATCTCTATCCAAAGCCCGATCAGGTCCAGCTATACACATATCCATAGTCCGTCCACTATTACTGCTGTTGTGTCCGGAATTCTGTAGATTCTCTCCACAAGACAAATCCATTTTTCACAGTTATCTCACGATAAACACAATTAGTAAATCCGATATATGAATGTACTATCGTCACAGTTTTTTAAGAGTTTATTACGCACAATGTTTTCGTTGTCGTATTTTTTGTGTACGTGTACACAACCGCTGCACGAGCGCTCTGCCGGCGAGTGTGGCGTGGACTGAACGTATCGGCATTCGGCATCTAGTGTATACCGAAACACCGCGTGGCCTCAAAGCTCAAAGTTTAAAGCCCTTCAAAGGATATCCCCACCCTTGAAACATTCCCTTTAGTTCCATATTGACAAAGTTTTATATGTATTACAAAACAATAACAACTTTGTATGTATTGTAGTTCTTGTAAGTTACTAACTTTTATCATTTATTGTAATGTAATACATATATGTATTTTAAAATGATACATTATGAGCATAATTTTATTGTTTTTGTTTAATTCGTTTAATTCAAGTTAAATAATTTATACAACGCTTAAAACTGTATATTTTCATAAATATATGGACACTTACTAATCATTTAAAAAGTACTTATATATAATTTTATTACTTGTCTCTGTAGAATTTCATTTATAAAACGATAAGAAGTTTCTGCCAGCCTCGTGGTTCATAATATATTCCTTATTAAAGCAAAATCTAGATCAAATTTTATTTAAAATAAAAAACAAGGACGAAATCCTTGTCAAACCATGAAATAAAAACAAAAATTTTGAAGTAAGTATTTTATTTACAAACATTTCTTTACGAATTAAGATATAAACAAACAACTTACCGGATTATTATTGCTTTTGTTTCAACACTCACGGAAACAATCACCGTTATTTAATTAAACATTACCTTTATTTTGATTCCATACAGTTTATCGTCCCTTTATTGACAAAAACTAATTGAAATGTTTACTAAAAACAAATGATTAAAGCATAAGTTATCGCAAACAAGTTTTAGTGTAAGTGTCATAAATATTAATAAAAATCCAAGTAGCAGAATACAGTTACATCTGTAATATGCCACAGAACTTATCTGACTTTTTAAGACAGACATTTTTTTAAATTAAATGAAACCAATTTCATCTCGTCTGTCCGCGATCGAAATTGCTGCAAAGTAACCGAAACGTCGGGAGTATGTAGTTTTGAAAATAATAAAAAAATTCGTAGTAATCCGAAAATAATGCTTTTATTTAAACGAATACGAAAGTCTTAGATCTCAATGTTTTTTTTTATGTATGACAGCAGAACTAATGTTGTTTTTGTCAATTAAATGCTTTGTAAACAATCTATTAGATATTATTTAATTGCATGCATCATCCTTAACCAATTCGTCTTACTCAGTTCTAATGGGTAGCTGGTATAGATCTCTTTAAGAGGGAAGATCATTAATTTTTTTAATCCCATTTAGCTTTGATTTAGCTGTTATCCATGTAAAAAGTAAATAAAGTTCATTTGAAATCCTTATCTATATATATTTTTGAACATTTTAAAGCTAGCTGTACTAATTAAAAAACTAATTCGTTGGTTGAATTTAAGAATGAAATTCGCAGCCCCTTATTTTTTTATAATATTATTAGGGAAAATTATTAAAATTATGTACTAACTTGAAATTATTTTCTTTCTACGGATTGTAATTTACATAATATTTAGGTTAAAATAAAATTTTATTATAAAACTAAAAAAATTAAATGATGTCAATCCAATTAAATAGTTGATTTGGGATTTTCTACACAGAAAAAAAATCTTAATTAACTAGGGCTAAACTTTTAGTAACGACCTGTCCTGGTCTAAGCATATCAACGAGGTAAGTAAAAAACTTCTCTTTTCTATTCACTCACTAAAAAACTTGCAGTACTTCCTTCCCATCAAAACTAAAATTCTTCTTGTCCAGTCTCTTCTCCTACCTATCTTAGACTACGCTGATTCCTGCTACCTTGACACTACTGAAGAACTACTTAATAAACTTGAGAGGCTACAAAACCTTTGTATTCGGTATATTTTCGGACTCCGCAAATTTGACCATATCTCCAAATATCGAGCTGAACTCAAGTGGCTTCCCGTAAGACTTCGCAGGGATACTCACGTTTTATGTCTCCTTTACAACGTCCTATTTAATCCCCTGTACCCTACTTACCTTCGTGAGCGTTTTGCATTCCTGCATCCCCCTGGTTCCCCTTGTCTCCCCAATGTCCAGTTATTACTCCGTATCCCATCCCATACTTCCAATTTCTACTCAAACTCTTTCTCTGTCAATGCAGCGAGACTGTGGAATTCACTACCGGCTACTATTCGCACTTGTAAGTCCATCAACACTTTCAAAAAGAAATTAAAAGAGTACTTCCTATCCAATATTGATTAGTGATTAAATGGCATAGACATATTTATTTATTTATGTATTTATATATTAGTTTATGTATGTATAATTATCTTTTAATATATATTTTTAAGTAAAATTAATTTTAATGTTTTTTTTTTGTTATCATTATTATTATTATTATTTTCTTCTTGTTTAGTATTAGTTTATGTTTTTTTTTTTGTTTTTTTGTTGTATCTTTTATCCTCTGTTCGATTTTTCCGTCTACCTTAAGTTCTCTGTCTACAGTTCTCCCTTCCCGGGTATACTGGAAGAAATCCCTTCTAGGGATAAGTATACCTTTTAAACTTATTTTTCCTGTGTTATATTCTTTTGTCCTTTATGTTTGTAATATGTTTAAAAAATTTTTAAATAAATAAATAAATAAATAAACTTTTTTAAACTATTAAAAAAAAGTTGTTTAAGTTTACACCAATACATGAAAGAACAAAGTACATAGTCATACCAACCAGGTGGAAAATGAAACTCAACGCCAGATGTAGATTAAAACAACAAATAAAGAAATAACTATACATATCCAGAAAATATATTTTAATTTCGATAATAACATTGTTATAAAACCAGTGAGGTGTTATTTATTCGGAGGGCGAATAAATGCTTGCGCCGGAGGGCTGAGGGCACGAGGCAGCTGCGCATGCGCCGGGTGCGAGCGATCCGGTTGACATTTACTACAAATCCCAACACACCTGATATCTCCAACCAGTCATTATAATATTCCTTCCAGATTACAATAGCGCCGAAACAAACACGTGCCCCGAACAAGAGAACTTGTTAATAATTTAACATTTACAATTCATAAAACAATTACAATTACAATGGACGTGGTTTCATCTTGGATGATTGAAAGCGTGCGTGATGGCGTACGTTTTGAATATTAATCCTTCTTGTTTTCTTGTTTAAACTGCCCGTTGTAAAAGGGTATGTGCATGCAAATCACCTTCCAATCAGTGAAATATACCATGCTTATAAAACTGGCTAAAGTGTAAGATATTATTGACGAGGTAAATCCTAATAGTTGCGCTTTTTGTTTTTTACCGAAAATCATTTTAGCGAGGATTGTATCAATTAACCAGTAAAGAGATTAATAATTTTCACTAAAAAGTGCACGGGATACCACGTAGAAATTAAACAAATATAAACATGTGTTTTCAATCAAATTTGCCGACAGTCATAATATATTTATGACAGTCCAGTTTTTTTTCTTAAAGGTAAATAAAACCTTCATTTAAATATATTTTTAATTATAAATTAATGATATACGTTGTTTACCACTATTTAGCAAATAATTCTATTTACTTGTTCCCATCACAATTTCTTTTTAATTAGTCATTAAAATAAATACTTTAATTTGCTCTATGTTGAGAACTGCTATTGTTTCCCACACTTGTGGTTATTTTTACTATAAGCTTGACATATGACATCATTATTATAATTCAATAATTGTTTTAGGGCATAATTACAATAATTGACCCGCTGACCGTAATAAATTAATATAGAGCTTGGCAACGAATGGTTATCAAAAATTAAATTTACACCTACAAATGCAAATTCAATAAACTTGAAGACAATCGATTAAAAGTACTCTTTTCAGGAAAACCAGAATGAATTTTGGGTATATATAATTAATTTTGAAATACCTTTAAATTATATATCCAGGTCTTATTCATATAATTATTAAATATTATTTTTGACCGTAACATACATACAGTTAGAGATAGAGTTTTGGTGCTGTTTTTCTTCCTTATTTCTTTTTATTCTTATCGCTTTATATCTGTTGGTAAAAATAATAATTAAAAGAAGTAAATATAATATGTAACAAAAAACCTTTTCAATCTTCATAATTAATATAAAAATCAAATGACTGTTTAAGTATGTGATATATCATGTTCTCGGAAAAATTATAGAGATTTTTGTTTCTCATATTTTTATAATCATAAATCCTTGTTCCTAATTTAATAAATTTTAAAAACAGATATAATTGAAATTATTATAAATTATTGTAGATTGGTGAAAATAATCGTAATAAAAAATTCGAGTGGTAACGATAATATTATCTGTGACAAACTGACAATTGTTTGACGTTAAGTTCAGATTTGATCACACTGTTGTCTGTTATCAAACAACGGATAGAACTTGCTTTAAAATACGCTATAAAATAATCTTTTAATATGAGTTCCGAAAAAGATCCCCTTGTTGGCGAAAGATCTGGAATTGTTCGGGAAGTAGGAAATCATGCCATATGGAGTTTATCTTCTTGTAAACCAGGTACGGAGTCTTATATTAATTCTGTGGTATAAGTATAAAATAGTGGCAGTTAATATTAAATTTATTGCAGGCTTTGGTATTGATCAGCTCCGAGACGATTGCATGGACACCTATTGGCAATCAGATGGACAGTTGCCTCACCTTGTAAACATTCAATTTCAACGCAAAACTATGGTCTCACATATATATATTTACACGGACTACAAGTTGGATGAAAGTTATACGCCGAGCAGAATCTCTATTAGGGCGGGAACACACTTTAATGATTTACAAGAAATTGAAGTTATAGAGCTCATTGAACCTAGCGGTGAGAGAAAAATGAATTTCTTAATATTTATAGCTTGTATATTGATAACCATAATTCACTATTCCGTACATGTAGGTTGGGAAATGATACCAATAAAGGATATCCATGAACGACCAATCAGAACATATATGATTCAAATAGCAGTACTGAGCAATCATCAAAATGGGAGAGATACTCATATGAGGCAGATAAAAATACATTCTCCTTGTGAGCCGACGTCATTTGATATGAATAAGTTCCGAACATTCTCCACTGTACAATTTCAACAATATGCAACAATACGATAACCTTTACTCCTATATAAATACTACAATACCAAATTCTTACTGTTCACTCCCATGTTATATTATAAAATAAAATAAAATGGTCTTATAATTAAAAACAATATTTATTTACACTAAAAGTAATTCCCCAATGTAACAGTACCATATTTTATTAATTATAAGATTCTGCTTTTCCATACTTTCTAAGTAATATTCAATGAAATTGCTAAGTTTTTCAGACTTTATTGTCAATATTTATATTACGATTTCTGACCAAAGTAATTGACAACTAAAATGAGAAATATAGTTTGTGGGTTGGTTAATAATTGTTTCTATTTCCACTTTAGCGATTATTGTACACATGGGTTTCATAAAATAGGGATGTGCCGATTTTTAACTACATAGATTATAAAAATATATTATTCATCAGAATCATCACTTTCTTCACTAGCTTCTTGGAGCCAATCGAAAAATTTGACAACTGATGTTTGATTCACAAGCGGGCTCTCATTTTCTTTCAAATCCTCAAACCATTCAAGTAAAGAGTCCTCGTCCACAACATCTGCTTCATATAACAAATGTATAACCTGCCCCGCCTTTCCATCTAGCCATTCATTTTTAAGGCAACTTTCCTGAAACAAAATTGTACTGTAAAAAAATAACTTTTTTCTAATAGGAATTACCAATTTATAATTACCTCTACAGCCTTTAAACAGTCCATTATTGATGATTTTGTTTTAATATAATTTGCCAGTACAGGTCGGAAGAATTTGATTGTGTCTTTCACGGAATTGAGTACACTCTTACTCTCAGCCAAAACAGGCAAGCTAAGTAGTGCCCTCACAACAAAAAAGTTGACTTCATGCAACTGTATGTTGTATGCATATCTCGATGAGTTGATCTCCAATATAAGGAAATCACATTTAAGTTTGTCGTCATAGCCCCTTGCTAAACTATCTATTACCTCTTGAAGGAAGACTGAAACATAATTTATTAATTAAATCTGTGATGCACCTATAGTCTATTTGAGTTTTATTTAACTGTTTTATCAGAGTATTAAAGTTTAAATTACTTTTAAAGACATTTGGACAATCCACACAAATATTATAAATGTGAAAGTAGCTCTGTCTGTCTGTTACGCTTTCAGGCTTAAACCACTGAAATGATTTTAATGAAATTTGGTACAGAGATGGAGTTGACCTTGAGAAAGAACATAGGATAGTTTTTATCCCAGATTAGGTAGATTATCTGAAAGGTTCTCTTGGAAACGCGATATAACCGAACTCCACGCGGGCGAGGCTGCGGGCGGAAAGCTAGTATATTATATAGAGAGCTTACTATTAGTATCTTCAGGTATAGGTGAATCTGATAGAGATTCAACGCTACTCTCAGATGAATAACAGGAATCACTTGCACTCCAATCCTTCTCGAACCCAATAAACTCATCGTCTCCCTCCCTCGATGATTCATTTTCCCATTCTGTACCACTTTCTAATGTGGATTTAGACGGTTTTCTATCTGTGGAACATATAAACTCTTTACTTTAGCAAAGCTAATGATAAAAATATTGGTGTATAAACATTTTAAATTTAGAATCTGTTTTAGAACTATTATTTTTTTTGTAAAAATATAAAATAAATTACTTACCATCTTCAGATTGTTCATCACCAAGAATGTTTCCTTTCAGTATGCTTCCTGATTTAACACATATTTTATTAGAAGCAATAACACCCTCTAAATTGCAGTTTTCCTCAATCACACAACCCTCATCAATGAATGAATTTATTATCCTTGTATTATCTTTAACTATAATATTATCCATAAGATGACTGCCTTGGATAACAACCTCTTTTCCGATTATACAATTATTCCCAATTATTGATTTTGATATTTTTGTCATATCACTAATATGACTTTTCTCGCCAATTAATACATCACCCAGTAATGAACAGGATCTATACGAAAATTAAATAATTTTATATAAATTAATACTGATTAAATAAATTATATGTCATGTCTCCATATCATGATTATTTTTACTAATATTAAAATTTAGTGTAAAATACTTCTAAACCTGCTTAAAGTAGAATCGGTTTTCCTGAAATTGTGATTTCCCATCGAGAGATATGTGTTCTGATAAAACGATCCAGTTTCAATAGATAATGGATAAACCCAGTTATGTAGTATGTCCCAACTGAAATAAATTATAGCATATCTTACATTGTTTATTAATTTTGCTTGAGTATATATATGTAAAAAAAAATCTACTGAAGAAAAAGTAATTTTAATAAAAGGTACACATTAGAGTTATGGAAGATCATCTTCATACATAGCAACGAAATATATTGACCGCATGGTAAATCCATGGAATTATTAGAAGTTTTATCTCATTATTTAAAAAGCTATAAAATTAAATTTACCACACTGTTTGATAAGTTTTCCAATTGGTAATAGCTGCTGCATATTGTTTTTCACCCAACACGGTGTAATATAAAGAACTTGCCAAAATATCCTCATTAATCAAGATGCCATAAATAAAATCATTTCTATTTTGGAAATCAAAATTATCAGAAAACAGAGGCGGAACTGAAGGAGAGCATAACGCAATACCTGGATCTACCAAATTATGATGCAACTGCACCTCGGAATGATTTAATACACACTCCTGAAATATAAAAAGTTTTTAATATTTTTAATCCTACTAATATTATAATTGCGAAAGTTTGTGTGTGTGTATGTTTGTTACTTCTTGACGCTCAAACGGCTGAACCGATTTTGATAAAATTTTGTATACAGGAAGCTGACGTCCAGGATTAACATATAGGCTACTTTATTTCCCGAAAATCCCGGAAATCCGCGGGTAACGCTAAAAATGGTAAAAGAACTTACTAAGGGTAAAGAAATGGTTGTTTTCTTTGATTTAGGCTTGTGCTTTTCATGCATCAATATTTTATGTGTGTTTCCATCTGCCGCTAGTAGCACTGAATTGTCGTTATTAATTAAAGGATGCTCCCATGCAACCTCCTTGTAAACTATTGTCATTGCTGCCCCTTTGTCTTTTTTACAGGTTTGCCTAGACCATTAAAGTGTTTTAAAAATTTTGTAAATTATACTAATTTTCATATTATTGAAAGGTATTTCTTAAAAAAAATATCTGAAGGAGTTGATTTTTTGTTTTTTAATACAACTTTAATTAACTTATGATCAATAATTTGGATTATTATTTAATTGTGCTTTTCTAAACTGAAATACTATTTTTTTTATGATATATTTGATGTCATGATTTAGGTTGCTTTAAAAAATCATCTTCGTTTTTGAGTTCTTAAAATATAATGAAAGTTTTTATTACTTATGTTTTTCTAGCAGCGTAGCAAAATTCATATTGGTGATAGAATTAACACCTAAAAGAACAAAATGTCCTCTGACTAGTCCAGCGGCGTCTATTTCTCTCATAACATCACCCATTGTTTGACAAGTGTCCGACATAACTACTTGAACTTCCATTGTTGTACTCCATAATGCTTTTTCTTCTTTACATTTCCTTTTCAATAAAAAATATTACTTGTAGAACATAATATATACATTAAAATTAACATTATATATACATTAAAACACTAAGCAAGTTATGACTTACTTTATGTGATCTTTTATTTTGTTTCCATCTTGGCAACAAAATAATAAAGCTTCACCAACACCTCCAAGAAATAATGATTCCAGAGTATAATCAATAAGAGGTATCCCAGCTATTGGTAAAAGTCCCTTCAAGAAAGAAATATTATTAAAATTGAAATAATTCGTCCCTTTAGTTTAAGATAGATTCAACTAACTAACCATCGGTTTTTCACTGTTTATTGGAAGAAAATTATTATTGAATAAATCCATAACGACCACTGCCTGGACAACATTCTCTTTGTCGTTCTCCATCTTAAAACTTTCTATTCTAGTAGATAGTCTGGACAAAACTTCATATACTAAAAAGCTGGCACTCCAAATAATTTACTAAACTTGTAAGTTTTGAGTTTGAGGTTAGTACTTAATGGTAACGTCAAATGTCGAATCGACATCGACATTGTCTATTGAAGTTGACACTTATGACTGGATGGGTAGGTATTTGGTATAGCAAGTAGCAAAACTACTTTTTTCTTTTCTTTTCCTTTTCCCAGGGGAAATCTGCTCACAGATACCCCGCCGAGCGGGGACTTAACCGGGCTATGTGGGAATGGTTTACCAACCCACTAAAACTCCTGGGTGTTCTTCTTCTACGACGCCAAGGCAGGGCCGCGGTGTTACGACTTACGAGAGCTTGCCTCGCCACCCTGACCCAAGCTAGCTACCTACCTAAAAAAAGAGTAAAATTAATTCAGTTATGTTGAAGTTTTAGGCGTAATCAATATTTTTAGTGTAAATTTTCATGATAAATTCATTCTTTTTCTACTACTATTTTAGATTTACAAACATATCCTTCAAATCTTTTTTATGATGGCTTGACATCGGGATTAGATAATACATATAAGGTATTCCCGTGGGAACATAGAATTTTAAAACGATATACATTGTCTGTTATACGATATTTTGAGTTTATGAAAGAAGTATTATACTTATTCACACAATATGCATTTTAATGAAAAGTAAATAGGTTAAATTATATTTTATATACCTACGTGTATTTCAAAAATTAAGTAACTTTGCTGGTTCAAAAAATATGTAAAAGTCAAAGGATCAAACAATTTATTAATTCATAATAGAAATTCATCTATATGTGTAATTAAACTCAAAATTACAATTAATTATTATTTATCACAAAAATAAGTCAATTGGCTGAGTATAAGCATTATTCATCTGGATAACAATTACTGATATCTAGAAAATATGATAAATTCATACCGCCTAAAAGTTCTATACAAAATAGATTAAAAAGTCAGTTATACTTCTGCTTAACCATTGTTGTCGTTTGATGTATTGCTTAGATACCATCGATCTTGTACCTGATATATGAATTTTGAGTACTTTTTGTTTAAATCATTTTAGAAATTGAAACGAAGTATCAGAATTATGAGTTACGATTTATCACGAGTTGATTACACTTTATGTGGAATAACTTATCCTGATACACTTAAAATATTGCCAGCATCTGATCAAAAGCTCAAACAGAGGGTAAGCGTAACCTTGAAAAACAGTATACACTTTAAGGGTGTGAATAAAATCAATTTAATTGTTGGACCAGTTTGTAGTTGGTGATAAAAATGGAGTGCTTCAATGTTTGAGCATAAAGGATGAAGAACCAGTCGTGAACTTTAAAACACTACCTGGAAAACCAATTACTTGTGTACAATTAGGTTCAAATGCGGGTTAGCAACAATACTTTACATTCTTAAATAATACGTTAAAAACTATTTTAATAATAATTATTTTACAGGAAACACATCCGACAAAATATTTACGGCTTCCGGAAATGAGGTTAAGGGTTATAATAGAAAGGGCAAAGTGTTTTTCGCGATTGAAACTTCAGTATCAGAAACCATCACTTCTATGTAAGTATAATATTTTGATTTAATTGTCATATTTATGATTCAAATAAAGATTTTTTATTTCTAGGTCCGTTATTGGAAATGATTTGATATTATGTAGCGGGAGAACGATAACATTTTATAGGGACTTGCAAGAATTGTATACATATATTTGTGATGATAGAGTACTTGATTCCACACCATTTAGCACTCCTAATGTAAGTACTTAAAAAAAAACAGTATTATCTGTTTAAATAGGAATGTCAGAAAACCATTTTAATATTACTCAAAGCTCAAACAGTTTTTGTGTGGTTGAAACATGTAGGTATGGATGTTTATTCGTCTTTCAAGCGAAAACTATTTCACGAATTTTGATGAAACTTTACAAATAGTGTAGTCCAGACGTCCGGATAAACATGGACTATATAAATTATTCCCGGAATTCCAGAAGCATTATCGCATAACAGTTTTGTTTTGCGTATATTCACTTGATAGATCATAAGTAACGCGTCTGTTTTTTAGTATTTGCTTATAATTGAACCCTTGTTTCATGATGTTTAAAACTTAAATGAATAGAGAAATAAGAAATGACAAACTATACAAATATTAGGATATCAGAAACTCATATTTACTTTTTATAATTAACTTTTTTAACTACGCTTTAATTATTACAAGGTTTCATCATTTATTTCTTAATCAGAATTTGAATTTGTGACCGTAGAAACACCTCAAATTAATGTCTCACCTTCAATTTAGTTCCTTTGGTCAATTTAAGAATTTTTTCATCTTTAAAATGCCTTTAAAATAAAGTAGTCTTACTCAAGTTGTAAAGACATGAACAAAGACAGACTGACAGACGATTGTTATAATCTAAAAGGGTAGAAACTTGAAACTACTAACTAACTACTTGATACTAAACTACAACAGTTCTATATCCTTATGTATAATGTATATATAATACTTCTAGAGCGTCCGTGTACGTCTGCTGGTCATAATTGCAAATAAAGAAGCATTAATAGTTGAGAACGGCAAGCTTCTGCAGAAAATATACGTACCTGCTGGACCTACCAGCATTACTGTTCCACCATTTATAGGACATGATGTATCAGCGATTTATGGTTCCGCTGATGGTTCGATTGGCGTCCTAAATTATCAAGAGTAGGTAACATGCTTTTTAGATAGTTAGATAAGATAAGATAGATAAAAACTTTATTTGGATCACACCACACCATGAGTAAAAAAAATAAAAAAACAATAGGGGAAATATTACAATACAAAAAAAAAACTTATAGCTAACTTACAAGAATATTTAACATCTATTTTTACTTAACCTAAATTAAATTATATATTTAAAAAAATCTATTAATTCTTTCATAAACTTTATAAATCTTTTTTTAGTTTAGTGTAAAGTATGTTACATTACAGTGTTATAATATATTTCTATTTGTTCCTTTACACGAACCCCTTCCGGGTAAATGCCTCGTCTAATTCCTTCCATTAGTCCCTATTTCGAGAAATTGTCTACCTTTCTTTGCCTACTAATTCTTTTATATTGTCAGCCCTTTAAGTGGTCTGCCTCTGCTACTTTTTAAAACAGGGCCTGCCCAAATTTTTTCATACTTTATATTAACTTTTCCTACCAGGTCAGAATTAACCAGTAAATGCTTGGTACCTGGCGCTGGGTTGGGTTCTGTAACATGCCTTGGTTGGCTCAATAACAGCTCTGGTTATCATTTGGCCGTTGGACGTCACGATGGTTCAATACAACTACACTTGATCAATAGTGAGAATTTAAATGACAAGCCAAGACTTAAGTTTACTTATGTAAGGATTATCTTGTAATATTACTTTGTTGAGACTAGTGCATTGACTTAAATTGATCTAAAGAATAAGTTATTACGCTGTTACGAATACGAAAGATATTGTTTGCACCTTTTAGAAAGTAAAACTCAGTTGCAAAATGCCTATAAAACAATATTGCCAAAAATTTGTTAGGATTTTTTGTCTCTTTCTTTCATTTATTCTCAGTTTTCGTTTATTCTTCAGTTTTCTGGAGAACCAGTTACATCTGTTTGTGGTGGTGTTATTACTACGGACGAACCCGAACTATTAGCAGCAACATTTTCTGGAAGAATTTTCGGTTTAAGATCTAATCGATTCATGCCAGGAAATATATCGAGTGCATCGTTGGATGTTCTAGCTAATCGACGCTCAAAACTTGAGTACCTATATTTCTATTTAATTTGCATATATTAAAAGTTTGTTCCATATGTAATTTTCTTATAATTTTTTAAGAGCTGAAGTTGCTAAATTGGAGAAACAAGCAATCAGTGAGCGGGAAAAATATCAAAGAAATACACGATCTTTTCTTTCTGGTATATCAGTTCCACCGCTTTTGGAAATCGAGTATGAGGTATATACAACGCCTTTGCTTCCTAATTTAAGAGCTGTATGCTTACCACAAGTTTGTCATCGCTATAGACTTCAAGCATTTCACGCTAATAATACATTGGGCCTAGATTTAGATAGGAAAGAAAATTTTTAAATTCCCCATATCTTGTGTTACGGTGCAAACTCTGGTAAAAATCACATTTTAAACATTTATAATAATTTGTAATTATACATTACATTCAAATAGATTGGAAAGGACTTTTGGACCAACCGAGTTAAATTGTCGGTATTTTATTTTTATTTTATTTTTATATACTAAAGATATAATTTAAATAAATGAGTGGCCAAGCTTAATAGAATAGAATAATAAAAGTAGATATACAATAGAAGAATAATTAATTATAACTTTGTCAATTCTACTAGCTGACTGGCGCCACTCACAACAATTGGCAGGAAGTAAAACTCATATCAGCGGTTCCCTTGGACGTTCTGTTCGTATATTGTGAAAATAAACTTGAAATACAGACAGACAGTACAGCCGTACTTAGCATTTGTACTCAACAGGTAATATATTAATAGTATAGTCTTTATATAGAACTAAACAAATCTATAAAAACATTATAATCTACAGGAAAACAACAGCCCAGAACTTCTAGCGACAATTCGTTGCCAAGCTGGCACAAGAAGATTATGGATGCGCATACGAATTTTAGACGATAATGAAACAAAAATGGAAGGAACAAGAGTACTTATATATGTTCTGCCAACGGGAGCTCCGAGAGTGGCTCGACTTATAAAACTATATTTGTCGTTATTGCCACACTATTCTAAATATGAGTCACCTGACATAGAAAACAAGCAAAGGTAGAACAGCATATGTAGTCATTTAAAAAAAATGGCAATAATGTAAAAAATAATTGTAATAACATTTATTAAAAATACCTATATAACATTTAATTTAAATTGGTAAATATAAATTATTTTAGGCCTTGTGAGCTGAATATATTAGGACCTTTCTCTGTAGCTGAAATGACAGCGTGGTTGTCTCAAATTTTACCGGGAGAATTACCGAGACCGTCAACGACAGTTATATTTGCACGATCTCATACTACTCTTGGAACTTTTTTGATATGTCAATATAAGTAAGTTTTTTAAGAGCAACACTTTATGTAGTATCTATTATACATATTTTTTTATACCTAGCAAAATTTATTTTACAGACGCGGATCCGCTACATTTAAATCAAACAATATCTCTACCATATCGTTAATCAAGGACTTTATTACAAACTGTTGTATAAAAAAGAATATACGAGCAGACATAAATTGTGGTTCGTATTGTCTTAAACACTGACGCATTGTTTTTGATATTTAAATAAAACTATTGTTTTAAGATTATTTATATAGACATAATATTTCACAATTCCGTTGTGAATGAAGCCATAACAAACAAAAAATGCGATGTTTTAAATTAGGTAGGTTTTAATAGATTTTTTTTTTATGTTTCGAGTTTACAGCGACCGTGATCGCGGACAATATTATAAATTTCGTACTGAATTTCAAAATCAACGTTTTATTTAAAATTGTATTCACGATAACCTTGGATATTTAATATAAATTATTATTATTCTGTGCAGACATTCCAGAAGACTGCTGTTTAAACGCTTTTAAACTTTTAGAAGATAAATTTAAATCTGCTTACAATTACCACAAAGAATGCGAGATTAAAGACGCTATAAGGTATGCAGGATTGCAATTTTTGTTACAAATTTATACATTCTGCATACTAATGACACATAATTTTCAGTTCTTTAGATTTAGATGAAAATGTCATCAAAAACGAAGAAGAGCCCGTGCTGTGTAGCGATTACTTACGAATTTTGAATTCATTAACAAAGGAAGACAATATGGAGGAAACATTTGAAGTGCTCATTGGTAATACATATATATAGTATACTAGTAAACCTGGCGAACTCCGTTTCGCCACCAGAAGGCTTTTATATAACATTTCGTTCGGTGATTAAAAGATGAAGATTTTTTTTTTGTTTTATATTTGAAAAGGAAAATTTTTATTTCATTTCACAACAGTAATGAATTCATTTCGATTACAAAAATGAAGTGTTATTTAGTTGAACTTCTCTAAGTAAATGAAAGTGAATCCAAAGTATCCAAAGTATAATTATCCGTTTCATTGAAGTACTCCTTTGTAAACCACATTTTTTTGTTTTTGGTCTAACGTTAACACAAATAAAGCGGATGGTTTCCCAGCACACACAAACTGTAACTGCCCATGTGAAAAACAATGATTTTCTAAATTTATCCCACAAATACTAAATTACATATCTGTCATTATACGTCAATTGCATAGCTGTCAATTGTATTTCGTTATTCCACGTTTTATAGTGACTGACGTTTCATGTCAAGTCCCACGGGAATGCTGTTGAACGGGATAAAAAGTATCCTATTGCAATTTCCTGGCTCTAAACTACCTCCCCGCCAATTTTCAGCGAAATCGGTTCAGCCATTCTTGAGTTATAAGTGAAGTCACTAACACGACTTTCTTTTATATATATAGATTTAAATGAAACTAATATTTTCGGATGTACAACGCGATTTTTATATTAGATTATAAACTACATACTCCCGACGTTTCGGTTACTTTACAGCAACCGTGATCACGGGCAGAAGAGATATGAGTGTCCACTGATTGACAGTGACAAAATATTAGTTTCATTTAAATGAATACTCGCGAAAATCTTAGATCTCATTATATAGTATCCTACTAGTATTATAATTGCGAAAATTTGTGAGTGTGTGTGTATGTTTGTTACTTCTTCACGCTCAAACGGCTGAACCAATTTTGATAAAATTTTGTATACAGGAAGCTGACGTCCAGGAATAACACATAGGCTACTTTACATTCCGGAAATCATCGGGGCGCAGCTAGTATTCCATAAGAATCTTTTTAGTTTATTATTCATATTAAATAATCCTATTTTATTTTATAGATACAGTGGAAAAGTGGTATTTGAATTGGTGTAAAATATCTTTTATGGGACGTCATAGTAATGCTCACCTTTTAAAATTACAACATGCTCTACAAAATTGCAATATAAGCGAAATCGAAGAATGCTTGACATTTAAAACTCAGACTGATGAAAATTAAAAATTATTTTTATGAATAAAAAATAATTTTAATATCCAACTGTGACTTTCTATGTTATTCAATAAACTACCTTGTTTTAAAGAATTTTCTCATTTAAATTCTTAATATTCTCATTAGAATTTACTTGTCCAATGAGCTTAAATAACGAAAACTATAAAATTATTAATCAAATCGTGATTTTTTTAAATCACAGACACATAAAAATTTAAAAGTTTAAATGATTTCGTGTTTTCCTAATAAACTAAAAATACAAGCAGAATCGCAAACAAATATCATTTTATTGAGTTAGTTCGTGAAAATTATTACTGATTGTCTATGAGTACGCTTCAAATTCAAGTAACATGTTTAGAATCCTTTCAGATTTATTTAGTTTCGTAAATTCATACCCTTAATATCATATGAGAACTTTTTTGAGAGTTCTGTATCATAATGATATAATGCATGTTCATTATCATTCATTCTTTTCAAATTGGTTAAATGATGCCACAATTCGTTAGTGGACTGAATTTGCTCTTGTAAAAATGTTGAAGTTATAAAATCAGCGCAATGGCGATCACCTTCAGAATCTGCTAATTGTACTAGCCCCTTTAATGACTGGAACAAAAAGAAATACTCATTCTGCCTATTAATTTAATAAATAATAAGTAGGAATGAAAATAATCACCAATGTTTCTACCAAATAAAATCACTATACTCACCGTAGTTACATCATTTTCCAATTGAATAGCCAGTTCAAATGCTTGACATACACTAATATTTTCTTGTATTTTTGGAGATTTAACGTCTTCAATCAACGGATGAAATCCTTTCATCAATTGATATTGTATAAGTGTGTGCATATGTAATAGTTCCTCTTTATGAAGACTTATAAAATAGCCTCCGAAACCTTTCCTTGATACACACTGATGTAAAAAATTAATTGCTAATTTTAAATATACTAGAGACGCTTCATGTTCACTTTTTATTTGATTATTAATAGCTCTTTCTAATTTTGAACTATGTTCAATTGTGTGATTATGCCTTATGTAAATATATGGTAGGCAATTAAAGTTGGACACAAAGATCAGCTTAAATGATTTGAAAACTGTTTGATATATCATTCTACAGAATCTACATACTTTTATAAAAATAAATTTAAAAAAAATATTCAAGTAAAAAATTAATTGACATCTCAATCCAGGAGGTTTGGACTTTGATATGTTATCAAAATGTACAGATACAAAATTATTTTAAGGAATTATAATATAAAAATAATGTTTACCTTTTTTGTTATTTTTAATCGGCTGTAGTAACAAAGATTTAAGATACATTTTTAGATTAAGATTTAAGACTAAAAGATTTGTTTTCAATTATGACTAAGAGCACATACTTTTTTAATGGTATTTTATGAAGAAGGATGTAATAAGTGTGTGTCTACCTATTTAAAATATTTTTTGTGTTACCTACTCTAATTTGCTAAAAAGTTATAAATTCTGATTAAAGAATTAAACAAATATTTAACAAAATAAGAGGTTTTATATGTCAAGAATCAAGTAAAGGATAGAAAAGAAGTGTATAAGTCATGCCCATTATTAAAATAAAAACTACATATATTGAAACAGTCCTATTTATTATTAAACAGTCCTAATTATTTACACTACACTATCGACTATAAAGCTCTATTTTTGGAATGGATAATAATCCAAACCAGAATTGTATTTGAATTTATATGTGAATCTATTGACTTGTGTTTTCCCAACTTCAATCATTTGCTGCACTTCCTCTCTGTACGCCGGCGGCAACATTTCCTCTTCCAACGTACAGGCTGGCTGCTCATCTGTTTGAACTTTATAAAAACGTTGCCTAACTATATCGACATCTCGACTGTATTCCTCTCTAAGATCAGCTACCGCTTTGGTTGCTGTATCTAGTTTAAATATGAAATAATTAGCTTCGCGATGCACTAAACCGTGGGCACTCGTTTTGTATGGAATCGGTCTGAACCCCAAATTTTCAATGTTCCTTATAATACCACCGCGGTTGAAAACAGCATGTGATACTCGCGTCAAAGTAGTTTTCAGTTCTGGTTTTGGCATAGCCCTTAACATTAACGCTAATTCATATGTAGGCATTTTGGATCACGCTAATACAATTACTTAATAAAGTGTAATTAAATATCTTTTATTTTATTAACTATTTTAGAAGTTTATTTAGAAATAGAGATGTAATGTCAATTAGTTCACTGACATACTAAAAGTGTTACCTTTATGTAGACATATTTTTATTATAAAGTTGTAATACCTTTACGAGTATAGAACTCGTTTCACCGAATCATATCTATCTACTTATATTATTTTTATTTTATATTATTTTCATTGGTTTTATTTTTTATCGCGTTAAAAAATGTTACAGGAATCGCAACGCTTGCATCTACACGAGAAAAACAAGAAAATATCTATAAATGAATTTAAATAATGTTAACTTTTATGTAAGTTAACTTTAACCATATAATATGTTCCCGTATATGTAATTAATATTCACCTTCAGGCTTAATATAAATAATTAAAAAATCTTGTTTTAAGTTGTTAAAGTATTTATTGTTATCCTAAGAATAAGAAAGAGGCAACCGTTTGGAGTTTTAAAGTGCACAATACACTTTTTTCCCTTATATTTTTACTTTATTTTAATTCATCATTTAGCCTATTGCAGTCCACTGCTGGACATAGGCCTCTCCCAACACGCGCCATAACACTCGGTCCTCTGCCTTCCGCATCCAGTGAGACCCAGCGACCTTTTTAAGGTCATCGGTCCACCTAGCTGGCGGGCGTCCTACTCTACGTTTGCCGAGACGCGGTCTCCACTCAAGGACACGCTTGCTCCACCGAGCGTCGGTCCTTCTGCACATGTGACCAGCCCACTGCCACTTCAGCTGGCTTATTCTACGAGCTATGTCGGTAACCTTGGTTCTTCGTCGGATTTCTTCGTTTCGAAGTTTGTCCTTCAAAGAAACGCCGAGCATAACTAATATTATTATTATTTTAATTAATTAAATAAAATGTAGTGATGTAAAGTATAAACAGTAGAAAACAATTTTAGTGTAACTTTAATAATGCTTTGTTACTTTTGTTACTGCCGTTGCTGAATTCTATCATTTTGCTTACATTATATAATGGAAACTCAGATTTTACAAAGAAAATTAAGTTTTTTTATTTCCTGACTCAAGTTATTTATGAAAATATATTTATAGACATTTTTTACATTACAGACTATAGAATTTATAGTGTAGAGTAAAGATATTGTAATGTATTTTTGTACTCAAAGTCAGAATTCAAAAGTCAGAATCGATCATGGCTGCGGCGTATGTTGTGCTTGGAGGATTGTTGTGAAAATACTTTAATTAACATTCCGTTCTCAATATGGGATCGTTTAATAAATTTGTATCTGATTATTGTAAAGCATGGGAAAAGTCTGGACGGGAGCAATTGTAAGTCACGTCATATATACATAATACCTATTTCCTTGTACCACATGTTGTTTCATTTAACCTTTCTAATATAAACAAGACTATTATCATGCCTTGTAAAGTTAATAACTTAAAGTTCTTAATAAACTCGATAAATTCACCTAACACGTTTATATGTGGTCAAATTTTGGATGTCGCTTTTGTTGTGGTTTGTGTTTGAATCTTTAATGATGATAACAAATATTTACGCGTTTACATAACATTGTAACTTAATTTTTGATCAATATTCTTTAATATTATGATTGCAGTTTAAAAGCAATAACCCAGTTTATAAAGGATGAAGCAAAGAGTCCATTGTTTTCCAAGTCAAACAAGCTATCAGGATTGTCACAAACGATCTATGATCTTTTACTTTGTGGACTTCGTGGTGCCTTGAAAAAGGATTCCGTAATATCTGTGTTGAAAGATATTGTTGTAAGAAATCAAAAACTAGAATACTATAAATTTAAATGACAATGTTGTTTGTATGGTGGTGTTAATATTTGTCATGTTCTTCTGTATATACTTAAATGCATCTATATAAGTCACAATGGTAATGAAGTATGTAAGCACAACAACATAAAGAGAATAATTTAAGTACAATATAGTCAATTTAAGTTTTAATCAGTCTTAACACAATCAAGAGGTCATGCCTCATGAATCTTCTAAAAAGGTTTTTATAGAGTGTTTGAAAAAGTTGCAACACAGTCATATATATGATATAAATAAACATATATTCATTAAAACCAACCTAAATAATCTATTAAACTGCAGTCAATGTAATTTTCTCTATAAAGATATGATTTAATTTGATATTTCAGGGCCTACATGCAGACATACCATCAATATTACTTGATGTAGTTTGTGTGTTAGATTCAGAAACATCCCTCGATGTCCAGAATGAAGAGAGAAGTAATTTTTGTTATTTAGTTAGGGAGTTGGAGTCATTTATATCAGATAAACTCTTGAAGGAGCGTCTAGAGATTGACACCCTACAAGATGTTGGTACATTGAAGAATAAGAATTTTTATACTAAGTTTATTAAAATCAAAACTAAACTATAGTAAGTACTTCTGAATTTATTTATATGTTTCCTTAAACATTAATCTGTAGGAAAAATCCTTGACAAACATACATAGATATTATATCTTACTAGCTTTCCGCCCGCAGCTGCGCTCGCGTGGAGTTCGGTTATATCTCATTTTCAGAAGAATCTTTCAAAAGTCTGTGATTAAAACTATCCTATGTTCTTTCTCAAGGTCAACTTCATCTCTGTACCAAATTTCATTTAAATCAGTTCAGTGGTTTAGGTGTGAAAGCGTAACAGACAGACAGACAGAAAGAGGTACTTTCCCAATTACAATATTAGTAAGGATTTGTAGTGGATTGGTCTATAAATTAAAATTAATTTTTTTGAAGATGATCTTTGAATCAGATTGTGAAATAAAGTTTTGATATATTAAATTAATTTCAGTTATAAGCAGCATAAGTTCAACCTTTTTAGAGAAGAAAGTGAAGGCTATTCAAAACTAATAGTTGAATTAAACCAAGAAATATCGGACGAAACAGATTGGAAGACAATGTTAGAAATCATTCAGTCTCTTATAGGTAAGACCTACTTCATTTATTATTTTGATATAATGTAAGGAAAAATCTTCTTCTACCTGGCAATTTCCCTGCTTTAACCAGAGTTTGCCTTACGCGTTTGTTAATAGTTTTGGCTAATTGTTTTTACGACCGGCTGCCAGCCTGACATCAACCCTCTTTGGGAATGCATTAATCAGTGATGTCTAAATAGTCTCAGAAAGTACATATGACTCAGAAAAATCACATTGGTACTTGCCAGGATCGAACCCGCGCCCTCATGCATGAGAGGCGGGCCTTTTATCACTAGGCCACTGACTTATTCGTAAGGAAAAGTATGGACTCTTAATTATGTTTTTTTCCAGGTTGTTTCAACTTAGACCCAAACAGAGTGTTAGATATAATTTTAGAATCATTTGAAGCTCGACCTCATTTAGACAAACTATTTATTTCATTAATAAAAAATTACATGGGCGATGCTCAAGTGATTTGTGAAGTATTAGGATTTAAGCTCGGCGATATGGAAGTTTTAGACAATTGTAAGAGCCCACCATCGTTAATGACTGTCATTGCACTGCTTTTACAACATGAAGTTATATCTTTAGACGATATTTATCCCTGGGTGTGTATAATATGTTATACTTGTATGTTAAATTCTTTATATATACTTATTAATAATATTTAATATACAGCTACGTCCAGATGATTCAGTCATGGCCAAGGAAGCTGATAAAGAACTTAAAGCAGTGCAAGATTATATTCGTAGACTGAATATTGTATCTACAAAAGGACCACAGAGTAATGCACCCACAGAGTTTATCGAAGAAAAAGCTGATCCACAGGTATTTTAAACAAGAAATGTTTTCTTATCTATATTGTTATAATGTGCTAATAATAATTATAATATATTGCTTACAGGAATATTGGAGTAATCAGAAATTAGTGCTCTGCGAAGAGCTCTTAAATGTCAGGGCATGGAAGGAATTTTCAGCACTTTTTTCAAGATTGTCTGTTACTTGCGTACCCCAAAGACCTGCGGTTGCTTTATGCAGCATGCTTCATGCTTTGATGGAACCTTTATATAGAATGTAAGATATATATCATAATTTTTTTTTATTTAATATCTTACTATTATTTTACATTTTGTTAAGATTTGTGTTTTATGTTACAGACATTGTCGAGTAGCTCCTAAAATAATAGGAAAGCCTATACCTCCTTTGAAGTCTCCGCTGGCCCCACCTGCGTGTAAGACTTTTGAAGATATGAAGGAAACTGTTATACCTGCTCTCATAATTTTGGGTCCATCTCTTCATTATGATCCTATTTTAATGTACAAAGTAAGTGTTATTTTTTTTACTATTTTCTCTTCTAATATTATATAAACTAATTTCTTCTAAGGTTCATTCAAATATTACTGTGTATATACTTGTCTCTTCTTGTCAATTCAATGTTCAAAGTTTCATCAAAATCGGGTCAGTATTTTTGTCTCATATGTCTTTCTACTCTGGAATGTTTAGTGTTATTTATAACTTTATAATGATATTACTGTTCTAGATAATTCGTGTTTTGAGAACAGCTAGATCTCTGAAAGAAGATCCATTGCACCATGAAGCGCTAACAGTGCTAGATACAGCGATATTACCAGCATTAAGTTTAATGGAGGGAAATTGTTGTATGGCTGAAGAAGTTTACACCTTGCTCAAGCTATACCCTTATCAATGCAGGTAATAATTAATAAAAACTATATAAAAATAAAATTATTATTAAAAGACACAACACAACAAAATAGGGTCAGAAAGAAATTTATGAATGTTTCAAAACACTACATGTATTTCGTTTAAATTAAAATAACATTTTCGGATTATAGTATTTTATACTACATACTCCCGACGTTTCGGTTACTTTGTAGCAACCAGATAACAATAAAGATTGGTATCACATACATCTCGTCTTTGAAAAATAATGAAATATGCGTAGTAATCCTAAAATATTAGTTTCATTTAAATGAATACTCGCGAAAGTCGTACACCTCATGTATGTATATTGTTTATTTAAACACTTAAAATCTTTGCTTTCGTGTTTTTTATTTATCTTGCGGTGATTATCGAAATACTATGATAATTTAAAGAATACCTAAATTCGTACGTGAAAAGTTTATAGTTTATAGGGGCTATATGAAAATGAAATGTGCTCAAAATTAAAAAAATATACATATATTTTATTTATAATTTGCTAATTAAATTATCATTAGAATTTATTATTTTCTTTGACAATTTAAGCTCCTTGGATACTGAGTTATTATAAACTTACTACCTGCGCCCCGCGATGTTACCCGCGGATTTCCGGGATGTAAAGTAGCCTATGTGTTATTCCTGGACGTCAGCTTCCTGTATACAAAATTTTATCAAAATCGGTTCAGCCGTTTGAGCATGAAGAAGTAACAATCATACACACACACTCACAAACTTTCGCAATTATAATATTAGTAGGATTTCCTATTTTCTTTCCTTTGTTTGCTAACAAGTGTTTATACTAAAATTCTATCTTATCATCCAGATATTGTTTATACGCGAGATGGAAAAACGAATCCGGTGAGAAGATTCCGTCACTGATGCGTGTTAGAGGGAATTCATTGCAGCGTATAAAACATATTATGAAAAGAGTTTCCAAGGAGAATATTAAACCACAAGGACGTCTAATAGGCAAGCTGTCTCACGCTGCACCGGCTTTTCTGTTTGATTACATGCTGTTACAAGTGAGGACAATTCATATTAATTTACTGTAGCTATTATAGATGTTAATAGTTACTTAAGCCTTTTTTTAACTACATAGTTTTTGGTTCTTATATGTTTAATAGAATATCTTCTTACTTACCTTACTTGATTTACAAATTCGGGTATTACTACTAATGATTCATATTACTTTTCTGTAGCTATTGTAGATGTTAATAATTATTAACACTTTTTTTAACTACATGCTATATATCTGTTGTGATTATACATTTAATAAGAAAGGTCCATACTTAACTTACTTGATTTCCAAATTAACAGTACTGAAAACTATTTTATAACAATCTCTATATACTAACTTTACAATGCTATTTAAATTGGTATTAATTTTGATTGTTTACAGATCCAAACCTATGACAATCTCATTGGTCCAGTGGTTGAATCTCTGAAGTATTTAACATCACTTTCCTTGGATATTCTTGGCTATTGTCTGGTTGAAGCGCTTGCAGCTCGTAAGGGTACCGTAGGAGCAGCACATCCACCAGCGCTTCAAGCGCTCGCAGCATTCGCTGCAGCGGCTTTTAAGAAACATAATATAGAATTGACAGCACTGCTGCAATTTGTTGCTAATAGGCTTAAAGCGCAGCAGAGGTATGATATTCCATTACTATTATCACCATACTTATTTATCCTTATTGCAATGTAGTTAAGGTGTATTTTTCATTACTATTAACAATATTCTTGTTTATTTTTTTTTGCAATGTAGTTAAGGTGTATTTTTTGTTATTTTTAGTCACGATCTTCTGATTCTGAAGGAAATAGTACAAAAAATGGCGGGAATAGAAGCCGCTGAAGAAATGACTCCGGAACAACTCGATGCTATGGCCGGCGGAGAGTTATTGAAGGGAGAGGTATTTGCATTTTGCTGTTATTAAAATATATCTATTATTAATGTTCTTGAGTTATTAAAATGTATTTAATATGAATGTTTTTAATTTATTTAACTGTTTTTTATGTATTTTCAGGCTGGTTATTTCTCTCAAGTACGTAACACGCGAAGATCATCGGCCAGATTGAAGGAGGCTGTGGTCGGAAATAATTTGGATATTGCTCTATGTATACTATCCGCACAGCAGAGACATTGTTGTGTATGGAAAGGTATAAAGATCAATTTTTAATTAAAAATTATTTACTACAGATCTATCAAGTAATAACTCATAAGTTTTGCATTTCTCGAGCTCATAGAAAAACTACCTAAATTAGTGATAATTCTAATAAATTTACTATTAATATTATGTTATGATAAGTATGGATTTCTAAACGATAATAATCAACCTATTTTTTTTAGAATATGCTGAAGATAGTCCATCAAGTGGTGAGCCGCCCGGGTCTCAACTTAAAGTTGTCGGTCGACTGGCAGATCAATGTCAAGACGCGTTGGTACAATTGGGTACCTTCCTTGCATCCTCGCACGCGCCTGATGAATACGCCGCTAGACTACCACTTCTACAAGTACTTATGTTTATTTTAAACTAGCTTTCCGCCCGCAGCTTGGCCCGCGTGGAGTTCGGTTATATCGCGTTTCCAAGACAACCTTTCAAAAGTCTGGGATGAAAGCTATACTATGTTCTTTCTCAAGGTCAACTCTATAGAGCAAGAGCCAGGGCCAGCCAGGCATTCATTGATTTACAAAAGCTGAAAGTTTTTCTATATAACACATAAAAAAGTATTGTTCAGAAACCGAAGAGCCTACTGTCTGTACGCTTACATTTGAAAAAGCATTTAACGAGAAAAAATTATCCTAAGTAACTAAATTTGTCTTCTAAGTAACTAAATACCTATAAAATGTAAACATGAACATATCTATTCGTAACTTCATCGAGGATATGTTCCTTCCTCTCGCACTTACGGAAGACTTTCAGTGTGCCTGGCCAGGTAAAAGCACCATCGAAACTGCCGGGCTACTGAGTAAATATAATTTAATACTTTCCTCAGTAACATACATAAAAATCAGCTTATATATGTACTATAACGAAAGTACAAATAAAGTTACTTATAATTTAGGGGTGCCTGGCTGGGTTTCCCACCTTACTAAGTGCCTGGCAATTTACAGCGTGATTTCTTATATTATTACGATGAAAATATATCAAAACTGAATTGTGTACTAAGAGGAAAGTGAAAGAAAATTTTATACACCTTTAGAACGTGTTACCTGCCAAAGCCACCGCGACCCAAATTTCATAGGTGGGGATCGTGACTACCTATATTGGGTACATCTATAGAAAAACTTTCAGCTTTTGTAAATTAACGAATGCCTGGCTGGCCCTGGCTCTTGGACTACTATCTCTGTACCAAATTTCATTAAAATCAGTTCAGTGGTTTAGGCGTGAAAGCGTAACAGACAGACAGAGTTACTTTCGAATTTATAATATTAGTGGGGATTATAGATTCAATATAAGAGATCATGCTATATATAATCATTTTGTTACGTAATTCTTCAAATTAACTAAGGATGTGTACTTTCGTGATGTATTTATCAAACTTTGAGTCATCACTGACCTATTGTTTTCAAAGCCAATTTCAACACGCTACTGGTCAACAAAATAAATATTCCTATTGGAGCGTGTTATGTTCTTTATGTTGGACCTGTAACTACATATAAACTAAACTGTGTGGACATGTGTATGATTAATTAATATAATTAATTCTCTATTACATATACCACATTGTATTGTCATGATACGACGTTTGATTTATCTATTATTTTGTATCTTCAAGGAACTACTTCGAGACTATCACGTAGACGCTGACGTGGCATTTTTCCTTCACCGTCCGGTTCTGAGTCAAAAAATAGCAGCCAAGGCTGAAGCTTTACGAAAAAGCTCTGACAGCAAAAGCGAATCATTAGAAAAAAGTATAGAAAGATACAACATAGCTTCTAAAGAGGCGTTGGAACCTATCGTGACGTCAATAACGCCCCTACTACCGTCCAGGGTCTGGGAGGATATATCACCCGAGTTCTATGTGACTTTCTGGTAATATTAACATATTTATATATATAAAAATTTCCTGTCACGTGTTTGTCCGCGATATACTCTTAAACTACTGAACCGATTTTAAATTTGATTTGCATTCCGTGTGCATTTTGATTCAACTTGAAATATAGGATAGCTTACATCTGAATTTATAGTCACAATATTATTTAATCCAAATTATTTGTCTATTAAAGAACGTTATCTGTCATTATTACAATTATCTGTTGACTGACTTAAGTATTCAATAGATGGCGCTATGTTAAAAAACAAACGTCATAAATGAGCGACTATTTAATAATAGCATAACCACCATGTGTTTCTGAGGCTAAGGTATAACCTAAATTTATTTATTAATAAAACATAACAGATAGTTCTTGATAGGGCGATACGAAGTTCGCCGGGTCTTCGTATTGTACTATATAATTGCTTTTAACTATATTATTTATAATTTATACAGGTCTTTGTCCATGTACGACCTTCGTGTGCCCGTAGAGAGTTATGAGAGGGAAATAGATCGCTTGAAAACAGCCGCTGCTAATGTAGCCAAAGACAGCTCGCAAGGTACCAAAGGAAAAAAGGAACAAGAACGATTTAACACTCTCATTGATAAGTTGCAAGTAAGTTATTGTGTTAAGAAATACATGTGTATCGTAACTTCTTATAAGATTTCACATAAAGAAAATAGATAATATTAAAAAGTGTCATTTTTTACTTTTTTAAAAGTTAGTGTAATACTAGCCTTTTGCTTACGATTCCGTTATCACGATTTTCTTAAGTGGGACCATAAAACATGTATTTAATTTTTTATAATCACCCGACAGCGCCATCTATCGTCTGTATCATATTACTTTGTAGAGACAATTGATATGACATCAAGATGTACTAACATTCTGACGTATAAGATCCCTATAGTTTCCTTTCCATTTAATTTTACTTTCCAAGGTCGTTCCTACAAAACAAGTCAAAAATTATACGTTAATACATAATTTCTTCTTCTGACTGGCAATTTCCCAGCTACAGCCAGGGTCCGCTTTACATATTGTGAATAGTTTTGGCTATTCCTTTTTACGACAGGCCGCCTGCCTGACATCAACCCACTTTGGGAATGCATTAATCAGTGATGTCTAAATACTCTTAGAAAGTGCATATGACTCGGAAAAATCACATTGGTACTTGCCCGGGCCAGGATCGAATTCGCGCCCTCGAATTACGTCGTTAATCGACGTTATTCGAGGGCGTGTTAATAACTTTTTGCCTACTTTCCAGGAAGAGCGCCGTCGTCAAGAAGAACACGTAGCGCGAGTCCGCGGTCGTCTGCAGCGTGAATGTGTCGCTTGGTTCCCGGCTCGTGCAGCTAAATCAGCTAAAAACGAGACTGTAACGAGATTGATGCAACTCTGCATCTTCCCTCGCTGCATATTCACGGCCCCGGATGCGTTGTACTGCGCTGAATTCGTTCATACGGTCCATGCTCTCAAAACGCCTAATTTCTCAACGCTTCTATGCTATGATCGGGTGAGGGTATTCGGGAATTTATAGTGATTTTGTTCTATACTATTTGTAATAGTTTGGAAAGTTATTTTATATTTATTGATGTATTTCAAAGTGTTAATTTGAAGCGAATGGAAATTGAATTTAATAATAAAAAAAGACACAAAATTTTGCTTCATTTTGTTCAGGGATGAAAAAGTATATGAATAAAACAGTAAAATTATATATTTTACAGTATTCGGCCTGAATTGACTGTAATATAACCAATAAAACTCAAATGATGTAGAAAAAGTAGTATATTGTATAATAATATACTGTGAATACGAAATTTTAATATTCGAAAAATCATTTAAATAAATATACTATTGGAAACTTTTAAGAAACTTCATAGTTTGTTTAAATAAAGCAAATATTTTAAGATGTACTATCGCGTTTTGAAATTTATCACTATCCCTGAAAAGTAACTGAAAAGTCGGGAGTATGTAGTTTAAAATATGTAGTAAAAAACGCGTTATACATTCCAAAAAATTAGTTACATTTAAATGAATACTCGCAAAAGTCTTAGATATAAAAAAAAAAAAACATTATTTATATTCATACAAATAATTTACAAACCCTTTCAACAGTTGTTCTGCGACATTACTTATTCCGTGATGTCGTGTACGGAGGGCGAAGCAGCTCGCTACGGGCAGTTCCTTTGCCGCGTGATGAGGACGGCGATGCGCTGGCACCGCGACCGTACAGCCTTCCACGAGGAATGCGCGCATTACCCTGGCTTCGTCACCAAGTATAGAGTCTCAAATCAATTCACTGAGGCTAATGATCACGTCGGATATGAAAATTACCGGTAATGTAGTGTTACCATATATAAAAATCAATAATAATGTGGTGTTGCCATAGTCCATACATATACTAGCTCCGCCCCGCGCTGTTACCGGATTTCCGGGATGTAAAGTAGCCTATGTGTCATTCCTGGACGTCAGCTGGATATATATACAAAATTTTATCAAAATCGCTTCAGCCGTTTGAGCGTGAAGTAGTAACAAACATACACACAATCACAAACTTTAGCAATTATATATAATATTAGTAGGATACATTTATATACTTTTTCAACACTTGTTGGTCTAATAGTGATTTAGAATTGAAATTATGGGAATATAAGAGCTTATCTCACAATATAGTGTGGTTTGTTTTAATATCTTTTCTATGCAAAGATAACAAAATTGTCACAATGTAATTTTTTTAATAATCATTTTGATAGTAAAGTCTAATCAGATTATACCAGGAATACATTATAAGAGAAAGATTTGTCAAATATAATTTTCTATATAATAAACATGTATCCAGTTAAAAATTATCTATTTTATACTATTATAGTAGTAAAAATAATATATTTAATCTTCTCAACAGGCATGTGTGTCATAAATGGCACTACAAAATCACTAAAGCAATGGTAGTATGTTTGGATTCCGGGGACTATGTGCAAATAAGGAACGCGCTCATTGTACTAATACGAGTGTTACCACACTTCCCTGTGTTGGAAAAATTAGCACAGATCATTGAGAAGAAAGTTGAAAAGGTAGGCGTAGACACGGTATTATAATAGTTAAAGAAAATATACATATACAATGTTAGTCTTAAAACTAACAATGTAAATATTAAAAAAAAAACATATAAATAACTAGCTTTCCTAGTGGAGTTCTGTTATATCGCGTTTCCAAGAGAACCTTTCAAAAGTCTGGGATAAAAACTATCCTATGTTCTTTCTCAAGCTCAACTCTATGTCTGTACCAAATTTTATTAAAATCAGTTCAGTGGTTTAGGCGTGAAAGCGTAACCGACAGACAGACAGAGTTACTTTCGCATTTATAATATTAGTAGAGATACAAAAAATTGTACCTATTTATTTAGTATCGAATACAATAAAATATATTCGACTTTTGATAATTTACGTCATGACATGTATTTTTAATGAAACATACGTATTTAATATTAATGTTTTATCATAATTAAGTCTTTAAATATTAAATACAGGTCAAAGAAGAAGAAAAAACTCAGCGACAGGATCTATATGTATTGGCTACGGGTTACAGCGGACAGCTGAGGAATAAGGTGCCTCATATGATGAAAGAGAGTGACTTCCATCAGGTAAGAAAATATGATACAGATAGAGATTTATAATCTTTATATATATAATTCTTCTGTGAGTGTGTATGTCACTGAACTTCTCTTAAACGACTGGAACGATTTTGATGAACTTTTTTATGTGTGTTCAAGGGGATCTGGTAATGGTTTAGATTCAAAATTTTGTCCGCTGGACAATTTTTTTTAATTAATTTTTAATTTATTAGTAGTTGTTGATACAAAAGTTTTTATTTGACATTAGATTTGACAACTAACTAATATGTCAATCATTCTGTCGCACTTCAAAACACGGAGATTTATGGCTTTAATAGGTAAATTCCGAAAATATAAATAAAAAACGTAACAGATATTTCTTAATTATAGGGCGATACCAAGTTCGCCGGGTCTTCTAGTATATATAAAAATTAAGGGTGTACAACCCTTATGATTTAGGGCTATGAAAAATAGATTTTGGCCGATTCTCAGACCTACTCGATATGCTCACAAAATGTCATCAAAATCGGTCCAGCCCTTTCGGAGGAGTTCTCTATCTAAAACCGGGACACGAGAATTTTATATATAAAATATATGGTATGATGAGAATTGGTGTTATAATTATATGACTTAGATAGCATATGTATTAATCTTTAATGAGGTTTTACTTGAAAAAGTTTATATATGGAGTTGATATAAGAATTAGGGAGTTATATGAAAATTTGTATTTTAATCAAATTAGATAGTATAGTGTATAGCTATAGACGTATTAAGAAATGTATTGCGAATTCATACTAGAATACATGTATGTAATTTACAAAACAAATCTTTTATGGAGTTTTTATTTGAAAATATTTATGTATGGAGCTTAAATGTCTGAATTAACTAAATAAAACGACTACAACTTCAGAATCAAATGCTTTTTTAGAGTCGTTAATTAAGTATTAACAATATTAACGAGTAAAACTGAAGTATGTCCATAGTTCAACATATTATTATTTGTTGTAGATCGTTCATCTGACGACCGGGGAAGTTAAACCCAGGGAACAGACTACAGACGCGCCCGCACCAGGTAATTATATATTAAATAAACTACCAAATATTATTAGAATAAAACTAATATTTTTTGCATTATACTACGCGTCTATTTTTCACATCTCGTGTGCCAGTGATCACGGTTGCTGAAAAGTAGCCGAAACGTCAGGAGTATGTAGTTTTATATAAAAAGTGCGTAGTATAATTCCAAAAATATTAGGTTCATTTAAATGAATAAAACTCGAAAAAACCTTATTTATAATAACCAAACATCATTTATAACTAAAATTAACAGAAAATGATCAAATACAGTCTGTAAAAAATATAGTGTTAAAATCAATAGTATTGTTATAAAAGCCAATAAAAGATTGCCATATTAAATATCTTGATAAGCATCTATTACTAGTGCAATCAATATTTGTATAATACAATTTCTATTTAATATAATAATTATTATATTATTAATATTTAATTGTAGACAACGAGAAAAAGGAATCCCGAACAAGCGACAGACGACGCGATGAAAATGATCGTGAGAAGGAGATTAAGCGTGAATCACGTTCGTACGTACATTATTAAAATAAATTAATATCAAATATAAGTTTTTTACATACATACAGTAATATATTTATGATAATATTAACTATGAACTGTTTCTAAATACCTACTAATATTATAAATGCGAAAGTAACTCTGTCTGTCTGTTACGCTTTCACCACTGAACTGATTTTAATGAAATTTAGTACAGACATAGAGTTGACCTTGAAAGTTTTTATCCCAGACTTTTGAAAGGTGCTCTTGGAAACGCGATATAACCGAACTCCACGCGGGTGACCCTGCAGGCAATGCTAGTTAATCATATATAATAAAAGATATATAATTAATATTGATTAAGTATTAAAATGTGATAAATATTTGTTGTTCTAAGAAACGCTAAGGAGAGAAACAAAGAAGATAGCAGGACTAAAGATAGATCGCCGAGGGAGAGGTCGCATAGAGTGAGTTTAATAAATATTACATATATATACAAATACATATTAAATATTAACAGTATTCTACAAATATTATAATTGCGAAAGTTTGTGAGTGCGTGTGTATGTTTGCTACTTCATGCTCAAACGGCTGAACCGATTTTGATAAAATTTTGTATATATCCAGCTGACGTCCAGGAATAACACATAGGCTACTTTACATCCCGGAAATCCCGAAAAAATATATGAAGAATATTTATATTAATAATTTTCTTACTATAGTATATTATTATTAATAGTATGTACATATTAATTATAATGCGTATGTTTCCAGGAGGAGCGTTACTTGGAGACGGTCTCACCGCCTCATGATCATCGTCATGCACCAGATGACATAGATCGTGGTGAGACAAACTATTATATATATATACAGGGTGACTGGTGAATTACTATCGATATTTGAGGACGTGATATTTGACGATCATATATGACAAAATAAAAATTAATATAACATAAATATTAATAAACTTCTAAGTAAAGTTAACCAAAAGTTATGTAATTAATTACGCATCGTGTGAACACCCTACAGATTAGGTATACACTCACACTCACACATACGCGTGTCGCGACGTGGTGTTGTATCAGCACGCCGCCGCACGCGTCCACACTTGAACACTTGGAACGTGTAAGTGCCTATTTTTTTTACATAATTCTAATGAGAATCATGTACCGAGTATCCTCCGTAAATATTGATAGTAATTCACCAGTCACCCTGTATATATTTTATTATATGTTTCCTGATAAAATAACTGTTTTTTTAATATTCTATTTCATATATAATCTTAGAAAACAAGATCATAATTGACTTAAAAATAATATTCGATACATATTCACTATTACATTTATAAAATACTAGAACTAAATTTAAATTAACTGTCTACCATCTCGATTTATGAACTGGTCGAAAAAGGGCGAATCGTTTTGCATATTGAGATACAAGGCACCAATACATCGCGCCCACAAGCATCGCTCGAATTCAAAATACGCGAATAAATAGCATCCCTAAATATTCGCGCGTAGGTACGCTGTTTCTGGCCGTGTGATACGCACGAGAAAATCGCAGCGAATTCGCTCTTTCTGGACCAGGTCTTAAACACACAGAAAATCTACAACAGATTAATCTGTCACACCAACGCCGAACGAAATATGTCTTTATCAAGAGATTTCATTCGTAACGTGCGTTTGTGTGATACATTAATTCAGAGGACTGACAACTAACCCTCATATACTAGGTTTAGAGACCTTTATTTTCCAAAAAAGACACAAAGTCACTTACATACATGGAAACAAAAAATTCAAGTAATACTAAATGTCGCTCTTAAGATATAATCACATAACGTGTTATTTTACTCATTCAATGTATTCAATTTACAAGTGGGTAGTTTTGTATAATATATTACTAATATATACTAGTAAGTAACTAAATTATTATATTTCATATATATGTATATTATTTCCAGATGTGAAACGTCGTAAAGTCGAAACCAGCGGTAATTGCAAGGTGAGTATCGTTGTGTATCCTCGGAACAGTCTCGAGCCGGACTGAAGGTTGACATGGACCCTCCACGAAATGGACCGACGGACTGAAACGTGAAGTAACAGTGATCATACGGACTGAAGACGAATAGGAACGAAAATAATACGGAATATATGAAGATACGACGAGAATGATAGAAGGAAATATAAATAGGATCATGTCTATACTATAAAGTGAAGTAAAAGTGATCATACGGACTGAAAAGGAATAGGAATGAAAATAATACGGAATATATGAAGATACGACGATGTTAGAACGAAATACAAAGGATTCATGTCAATACTATAAGAACGAAAATAATACTAAATATATGAAGATATGACTAGGATGTTGGAACAAAATATATAAAGGAATCATGTCAATACTATAAGAACGAAAATATCCATGCAGATTCTGGCTAAAGCTGGGAAACTGCCAGGTAGAAGAAGAAGACTATAAGAACGAAAATAATACTAAATACATGAAGATACGACTAGGATGATAGAACAAAGTATATAAAGGAATCATGTTAATACTACACTGGTTTGTTAATGAAGTTATAACGAGGAGACTGAATAAGAAACGTATGAAGATTTAGCAACGAAGACTTAAATTGACGGTTGAAAGAAGATCAGATATGAAGCAATAAATAAATAAATATAACTAAACAAAATAATAAAAGCATTAAATAAAATCTATGAAGAAGATTCAAGATTCAAACGATCATAACAAAATTAATATAAATATAATATATATAAAAGTTTATAATAATGATGGAGTACGTGGTGTAAGTTCAGTCAGCCCAGTCCAGTCGAGAGCCGGTAAGGTTTATTTGTGTTAATATTGAGCCGATTCAAAGGGTACATTGTATTAAGGTAATCTAAACAACGAAATCGAACAAGAAACAAAATATATAGAGGAAAGAAGATTAACATACAAGTACAAGTAAAGAATGGATAAAGAATGTCGCTTCGGATAATAATAACTATATTAGTGAAGATCTCAACAAGATATACTGCTATAGAAGTTGGAATATAAGAATTAGGACAATACGCAGCTAGTAAATTGAACGACCTAACTCTCAAGTGTATAAAATATCGACAATAATTATTAATATGAAGAAACCTTAAAACAAGAAAATATACGAAGATAGAAGATTTTACCTTACTTCAATTAAATATATACAATGATGGATCTTCGGCTGGCGGAAAGTTACAAGATTATTATGAAAAATCATCAGCGAAGAAAAGATCAAGCGTTAAGAATTGCCTTAATAAGATGTGCTTTTTGTCTCGGACATAGAATAAGCAAATTCTCGACCTACGAACATTGAAATGGCATGTCATGTGATTGTGTGTATTATAAAATAATAATGTTATTTTTTTCATGAGCAGGGCAAGGAAATTGAAGAACGTTCCCCCGAAAAGGAGAAAAGGAAAACTAAATTGAGAGGAGACGAACGGAAAGAACGTAAGATGAGCCGCAAAAGGGTGAGTAACTTGTTATAGAGAAGTAAAAAAAAACGTTGGTTCGACTCCTACGTAGAAAACCTCCTTTATTTTACTATTTTATATACAACCAGGGCAAATTAAATTCCGCATATTAAATGTCCTTGTATAATATGTGTGGTAAAATACTTTGGTAATAATTTAATTTCTTTCTCCCAACCAGGACCGAGCTGAAGAAACAGCTTTACTAGAACAAAAAAGACGCCGAGACGAACAAAAAGGTTGTATATAAACTCATTAAGTATAATGTCTCCAAAAATCACTCTATAGTTCAACAAAAAATATATATAAATATAATAAATATAATTTAAACATCAAAGTAGCGAGAATTTACAAATACAATCAACATTATAATACATCTTCTACCTGGCAATTTCCCAGCTTTAGCCAGGGTCTGCCTAACATTAACATTATAATACATCATGATATAGTAACAGCTGTTATATTAATAGTCTCAATGTGAATATTTTTAGCTGTAGCTAAAATGAGCAGCCATCAAAACGGATCTCAAGAGGATCACCACTACGAGAAATATCACAAACGAGTAAGTATCATAACATACAAGACTACTACTACTAATAATACTACTATAAATAATACTATTTCTCTGTCACAGGAAAAATCGCCATTCAGAGATCGATCCCACGAAGAGTCCAGAGACAAACAATATCCTTTTAAATATATAAAACCTTTTTTTTAAATAACCTTCTGACAAATAGAGTCTGTTATGAAAATTACCACGTGAATGAGTTTTGGCAGCAATTTAAGGATACTGTTAATACTATCGTTATAATTCTTAAATATAACTTATATTCTTATTTCCTTAAGCTTACTCAAATATATTTTAAATAGAGAACAATTTGTATATTATCATAGTTTTGGATGAATTTTCTAGAATCGCCAACAATTTAAAAGTGTTTTCAAACTATTTATTTCCTTAACCTTGCTATACTAGGCGATCCAACGAGTCTAAGATACGAAGATAACTAGAAGAAAGTCGGCTACAGAAGAATAAAACGTTAGCATATAAATATTATTAAGTAACATTCTCGATACGATTTGACAAACAGTATGCGTTTATTGTACTGTAATAAATATGTTTTTAAATGTGATTCTGGTGTATTGAGTTTTATTTCATCATCCTAAACAATAAAACTTGCAATTTAAAGGATTTATTTTACCTATGTAACCTAAAAAGAACTATATAAGTTATCCCTACTAATATTATAAATGCGAAAGTAACTCTGTCTGTCTATCTGTCTGTTACGCTGTCACGTCTAAACCACTGAACTGATTTTAATGAAATTTGGTACAGAGACAGAGTTGACCTTGAGAAAAAGAGACTTGAAAGGTTCTCTTGGAAACGCGATATAACCGAAATCCAAGCGGGCGAAGCTGCGGGCGGAAAGCTAGTTAATAATATAATCTACAATTTATGATTTCCAATTACATAAGAGTAACAATCTTTTGACGTAAAAAGCAACGTATGGTATTATTTTAATGACTCAGAGAAAAAACCTTCCAAAGTGGAATATAATACTTCAAAAATTGAAATATATTACGATCAAAATCAGTTTTGAAGTTAACGTCCCTCAAAAGAAGGCTTAATAAAAATCTTGAATAAAATTGTTACACTTATATAGTAAAAAACGTTCAACAAGGCTAAAAACTAGATAAAAAACGAAACAATAATTCATCAAGCAACATTTCCATCGCAGTGACATTGTTAAGGTCGGAATAAGCTATATCCATTTGAAATTCTCTATTGTTAAGTGATACGTTATACGACATATCACATTTATCTTAAACGTCAAATAGTTCGTGAAAACATTACGATTTTTAAAAGTCTAAATCAGGAAAATATATCGAAGCATGAAAAGACGAAAGTAATTAAGAATATGTATTGTAAGAATTATTTAATACCTAAAAATTAAAAACATATATCATTTTTATGGTAAGCAACAATGTTCTCGATAATATTGACATCTAATAACTATTTTTTTTCTGTGTCGTAGGAATAGAGAATCGTTTTCTTTTGAGTGGAATATTACGAATTAAAAGTTAATAAATGCAGTGGTGTTATTAAAGGTAAATATTAGTATAATTTATATAACAGGAATTTATAACAATTAATAAAACAATGCTGCGGATGCAGAAAGATTACATAATGAAACTTTATAGCACGTTAAAATATTGGCCGCCATTTTTGTAACACGTGATCAAATTAAAAACTAGTGGTTTTAGTTTTTTTTTATTATTATAATTTATTAGAAAGATCATCGTCAATTAAAGAAGGTAGGTTTTTAAATTATTTTTATTTCTTCCAAGCATTTTTATGAAAGTATGGGAGTTTGACAATTGCGTGTAATTAATATTCTTAAGTATTTCCTCCAAATCATTATTTTATTAATTTATTGTTATTAGAATATCCTCGTAGACACGAGATAATTATTATGGAATTTAAATAATATATGTTTTAGTAATATTATACTATACCTTTACGATTCTTTACTATATTTTGAATGTAGCAACACTGGTACTACGCTAAACAGCTGTTTACCACATTTTTGACATCTTAGCGTAAGTTCAAATCTCACTGATATTAATATTTTCGTTGAATATTTTATTAAATTAAATAATATTATTATTTATTTTATCATTATTGTATCTGATTTATTACCTTTATCGTATTATATTTCATATGTTTACCTGTTTGAAAATGGTAGAAGATAAAACAAAAATTACGATGGAGTTCGTTTACTAGAATGTTGACAATTCGAGTTTTGAGTTTTGACATAAATAAAAATAATATTCAAATATGGCGGAATTGTGTTTAGTAAATGTTACTCTAAAATTTATTTAAACAATTCTTAGATTCTTTCGTAAGTCGTAAGTTGTTTTCATTCAGTTTATTTTCTTATAATGTAGCATTGTGTTTTAGGTACTACGCATCTTTTCTGGTAGACATTAAAAGTCATCGGACAAACCGCCATTTTGTTTTTCTTCACTTGCCACGTTTTACACTGCTTGTAGATAAAAAAGTATTTGTTGTATAGTGCTACGTATTTATCCTTCGTTTTGTTTTACATTATTAATATTAATAATTAAAATTACGACCGAAAAAAAAATTATACGTATTTAGTTATTTTTTTATTTGAAAATGGAATTACGAAATAATCACAAACAGAGCACAAACACGTGTTTGTATGAATATGAATTTTATTATGAAATATCTGTATATCTATTTGAACTGTCATTGATAGATATCTCAAATTATTTAGGGGAAAATTCTTTTTTGTTTTTGTGTTCAAACAAGTTGGAATAGCCACAATATTCGTAAAACGCAATGATTATCATAATACACTTCTCAAATTTAGAAGGAAAAAAGAATAGCGAACTAAATATAATCTTTTAATATTGTCTGGTTATTGATTAAATATGGTATATGGTAAACAGACTGATGTTTTTCTCCTATATTTACAGATTTCCGTAAGATGGAAGGCGAGGAGAAAGTATTTTCGTCTAAAATAATACGTATTAATAAGAAATTAAAAAACAACCTCCGTGACGTAATAACCATCCATCCGGCAAAACCGGTTCCCGAAACTATACATAAATATGAAACCTGTGATTTTACACCTAGGACAGATAAATATTATGTACCAAAGAAAAAGAATGGAGTGAAAGTTAGGACCGTCAGAGATTTACGTAGCACCTTCGAAAAAGACATCCTAAGTTACCTGCCCGAAGATTTGGAGAAACAGAAGAATGTTTTAATGCGCAGAATACGATCAGGTTCTTTGAAAGAAGAACAAACAAAACAAATAGCAAAAAGTATTCTTGAAAGTGATAGTCCTGTAACCAGACAGATATGGCAAATGGTTATGAATATCAATCCGTTGGATTGTAAATATACCACCCAATTCGTGCTTTGGAATGGAAAATACATTCAAATTAACGGTAGCAAAGGTGGAAAAAGCAAATTTATATGTAATTATGACATCGGTAAAAAGAAACCAACGTCCAATAAACAAATTAACAAACGACCTTTTATTCCCAAAAAGAGGGGTTTGCTACATAATTCATTAAATGTTAAATTTAAGCCAGGACCACTAACTAGGAAGTCCTTTCTAGATACATCGAATCAAAGATATCAGTTTGGCGATATGGATTTGGTTAATTTACCAAAGGTAGGGCTTGATGTACAACCAATGATCGGTAAAGCTTTGGCGCCCAATATAAGCACGTACATCCAGAACACTTTTCTCACTGATGGGGATGGGACAATTACGAAAACATGGGCTGATTTCTCAGTATCGGTGTTAGGAACATTAAAAAATAGTCTACCTGCTCAAATAAATGAAGACTACGTAACGTTTGATGTTAACTATAAGTGTCAACAGCGTAGAGTATTAATGCGACATGATAGTGATAAAACTAAAGTTCTATATGATGTTTCTTCAGTTGGTCGGAGAACAGAAGACAAGTCAACAATACTATCGGAGGTTAAAAATATTATGAACGAAATTTTAGATTCAGTAGAAATAAGTTTGAGCCAAGACGACATGTATTTTGCAGAAGATGAACCAAGGGATTCCAATAAAACAGAAAAAGATTCTGCTGTACAATTAAAAAATAGTAGTTCTAAAAACAAACCAAAGCGAAAGTGTAATGAATTGAATAGATTAGATGTAACTGTTATAACAATACCTAAGACTTCTGAACCAAGTCAGGGTGATAAATGTTTTAAAGATTTTTGTAGTTTAGGATGTGTTTGTGAGTCAATCGGATGTTCGTTTAATCTAAAGAGACACTGTGGCCGATTGGAATGCATGTTTAAATGCAAATGTGATTTCTCTAAGTATAATACGATTGATTCTATCGATAATGACTGTTCCGATATTCTTCCTGGCTTAGTGAATTTGGATAAGAAACTAGCACTTAACTTAGCCAAGGAGGAACAGAAGTTCCATCAAACCGTTATTTTAACTGACGATAAAAGTATACATCTAAAATCAACAAAACGTAATTGGAAAACATCGAAGAGATACGCCGAGTTTTATAGTAAGATGCGATTGAAAGCAGAAATTGATGGATGTCGGATGTTTTCAATAGAATGTGTAAATCTAGATTGCAAAGATGTGGAGCCTTGGTGTATGGTTCACAATTTATACAAGTGTTTTTGCAAAGGAAAATTCACGGAAACTTCAGATCATAACAAGGAGGATATAAAAACTAATAACAAGGAGGATATAAAAACTAATAACAAGGGGGATATAAATAATGAATGCGAAAATACACCTCCGATAACGAATACAAGTTGTAATAATGGAATTGTTGAAATTAAGGATCCCGAAGTTGAAAATAATGACTTAGTTAAAGAGCGCACAAATATTAAACCACGTGATCTTAAGAATATATGTGAGACTCCAATTACATTGGATAATAACAGTTCCTTAGACGTTACTATTCATACATGTTATTCTTGTGCTCGTGTGTTACCTTACTCAAGTCGAAAATATGATAATTCTTATTATGCGAATACTAATCAAAAAATAAAAGATATGGAGAAAAATGACAAAAAACTACAAAAAAGACTGATAGCTCTACTGAGGAAAGACGATAAAACTAAACCATCACAAGAAAAGCCCGATAAGAGTAAAGTATCAAGTGTCAGTCCAAACGAAGAAAAGACAACTGCCAGCCCTGATGTTATAATAATTCCGGATAATACTCCAAGTAACACATCTAGTTTGAATGAATTATTGAGCAATGTTATAGAAAATACTGTTAAAGAATCCTCAGAAACACCAGAAGTTATAAACAAGCCTCGTGAGAAAAGATTGCTCACTAAGTCGAAATTGGTCGCTTGGTTAGAATCTAGTTATAAACAATACAAACAAACACCTCAAGAAAATTTAGTAAAATTATCCCTGGAGCCCCCTAAGAGCGGTAAGGTTGCTTTGTATTCCTGGGAATTCATATTGAGCAGATATCGAGAGAAAAAGAACTATTTTCTTTTAACCAAACAAAAACCGTTTCGTATTTTTATGGCCGTTGATATAAAGAACGTATTTTTTGAAAATTGTATGAACATAAGTAACATCCCTTTATCTGAAATTGATGAGTATCCAATAACTGTAAGGAATTTGTTGACTAATGCTAGAAATTTAAAAGACAACTTTTGCATATTGCATGGATTATCATTTTGTTGGGAATTAGTGGGCTCGGTTGCAAAAGTTAAAGACAAACCTGACAGTAAGAAGGAAAACGATGAAACTAATGAAACTTCGCCTTTTGTATCTGTAAACAAAGACACAGAATTACATACTAGTTCAGGTTTTAATGCTGATTTGGACAATATACCAATTGTAGAATTAGACGATAGTGACGATGATTGTAATAACAGTGTTAGTACTCGCGAAGATTTAAAAAATCCACTACAAGAGGATAACAAAGATTTATCTAAATGGTTCTTAATGACTATTGTTAATGATTTCACTGAAATAAGATTCTACAATAAAGGATTTTTTGTCAAATATGACAGCGTTATTAAGGCAATTAACGTGGCAAGAATATCAGGAAAAACAGTCAGGCTGTCATCACAGAGATGTAGCACAGCAGAAAGTGATCCCCAGTTTGGGATATACGCTATACCGAGCCAAGAAAATTATTGTGTTTTTATTGGACCATATGAAAATAATGAAAAATTGGGCATAGAAACTGTTAAAAATTCTGTTGTCAGGAAAATAAAAGACAGCACCAGAGGTATTTGGATAACAACAAACAAATTGGATAATATAAACGTCATAGATAACCCTTTGTTATATATACCGTCACATAATCTAGATTTAGATAACATGGTGACATTAGAAAGTGATAGCGCTATTAATACCACAAATGACTACGAAAATGTCTCTATTGTTGAAGTTAATTCTGATCCGATAAAAAATAAAGCACCCGTTAGAAAAGTTATTAGACCGATAAGAATAAAGAGAGGTGGCTTTTATCGTCTGGGTTCGTCCAAACTTGTTAAACATTCTGTACAACCCACAAAACAAGTCAAAAAGAATGTCAAGCCAATTGTATTGAACAAATCTTTAATAATAAGCAATAATGCGACACTGAGTTGTTTATTATCACAATCACCTATCACTTCTAAAACGGAAGAATTTAAAATATTCTCTGAAAAAATTAAAGAATTAAATAAATCTCCTGAAAGCAAACCCATAAAAAAAATTTCTTCACAAATTAAAGATAACACCACCAAGAAAAATACACCCGAAACCCGAAAAAGAAAGTTTGAAGGTGGTATGTACGTGCTGAAACCAGAAGAAATTAATTTGAAATCTTGGGAAAACACTGGGTTATTTGACAAACCTAAAAGCAGCCCACAGAATGATCAAACAGAAGGTATGGACGTAGAGAGCTTTATATCAAGTTCAGTCATCTGCGCGAATACTGATGTGTGTATAATTTCTGACGATGAAGAGGAATACAAAAGTGAACCAACGGAATCGTGCAAAAACGTATGGATAGTATGCAAAAATATAGAAAACTTGGGTTGGATACCAGCAAAAAAGGATCACAAAAATAATTTGAGCTTCGAAATGCCTGGATTCAAATACACTGATTACTATTCACCAGAAGAAGCATATGAAAAAATAAACCAGTAAGTATTATGTAATTTATTAAACTGCTAGGTTAAATATTATATATGGTATTAATCTTTTTGTTATTATTTAAGGGTTCTCTCCAGAAAAGTCTATGTGCCCATGAACATAAATGTAGAATGGCATTTCGTAGAATCGGAGGCTGAAGTACGGGATAAAAAGAAACTTTCTTCAGAAGACCTCTGTTCGGATTACGTGAGTATTTGTACAATATTTTCCTTTATATTATATACTAGCTTTCCGGCCGCAGCTTCGCCCGCGTGGAGTTCGGTTATATCGCGTTTCCAAGAGAACCTTTCAAGAGCCTGGGATAAACTATCCTATGTTCTTTCTCGAGGTCAACTCTATCTCTGTACCAAATTTCATTAAAATCAGTTCAGTGGTTTAGACGTGAAAGCTTAACAAACAGACAGACAGAGTTACTTTCGCATTTATAATATTAGTAGGGATGTATACTATTTAAGTCTTAATATTTTTTGTTAAAGGTATTGACCAAGAAAGGTTTGTGCCACAGATATAATTTAATGGGCAAATTTAAAGGTTTGAAATCACAAGGTTCAACAAGTTCAGTTGAATGTAATGAGGTTCCTAATAAGGTTGGTACATTAATTTTATATGACTATATTATGGTTATATGTATTTGCATTTATTATAAATATGGCATAATCTACAGAAACCGCGTTTACTGAGTGATACGGAGGAACCCAGTAGCACTTTGGAAGAAGAAGGTACTTTCCTTTTGGATAAATTAATGAAAACCGTAGAATTAAAGGAAGCATTAAGCAAAGTCAACGAAGAACTACTTAAGGATCTGAACGAAAAATTGATATCAAACATCACTGTGGTTAAAGAAGAAACTTAGCTTTATATCTTAATTATATTTTATTGCCAGACACAAACACTTTGATCTCGATTTATAAAATAAAAACTTCGAAGTAACTATTCATAGTTATTGTATGAAATAATTGATTAAGTATTGCTGTTTATAAGAATTAGTAATGGAAGTTTATAAAATGTAATTTTTAATAAGTGATTCTTGGTTTCCCTTCGTTAATTTCCACAGCGGTTCGCTTAAATGTTAAATCTGTGATATGTATTTGTTTTATCATTTGAAATATTAATTTCAATAATTTTTATCATTGTCCAACAAACACACATTCACGTGCGCATACGCATACGTGAACTATTGTTTTTGAAATTTGTGATTTATGTAATATGTGCTCACGTGAATATGTTGTTGTTTTTCATTTAAGTTTTTTTGTTATATTTTGTTAATTAGACTCTAAGATCTAGATTAATTTTATGCCATGAACTGAATAGAATAGTTCCTTAATCTTTAAGTGTCTAACTGTTGCAATAGTGACTTAAAATTACTTGAAATATCCAGTTTTTTGTGAACTATTCATAGGTAGTGAGACATGCGTTCTGAAATGTACCAAATCATTTTTGCATCGTCAAATTAAACGAAGATAATTTTCAGTTGTTTTATTCATATACATACATACATTACTTTGTATACCATTAGTCTTCATAATATTAAATACTCATATAATTTTGTGAAGTCTTTTCTACCACATTAGTTATGCAAACCGGATAAGAATGTAGTATAGAGGTCCGGTTAAAAATTTCACCTAGTGTCCTAAGACCTTATGTCCCAGCTACGATTTTCAATACGTTGAAATTAATGTTTAATGTACAAATTACTTTAACATTACAAGGTTCCAAAACAGTGTTATTATCTTAGTATTATAACTTTGTTGCGTTTTATTTTAAGAGCTCCAATAGTCATAAGCTTATTGTATCAAAAATTGGATAAGTATACCAACGCTAACTTACTACTGCTTCTTACTTATTTATTCTAATTTGTATGCACCGCCCTTGTGTGTTGTTATTTTATTATATTACAACTCTGTCTTAGCAAGTAAGAAAGACTAAAAACCGTTTAATTTTGCATAAAAGTTCTTCATCTTCTGATCAGGGATACCAGACATACCTGATGGCAATTTTAATTACCCTATCAAAAGTGTGTCATTGTTCAATATGCTTTATTCTGATATATATAAACTAAAAGAGAAAAAACGAGTCTCAGATATAAGTTACAAAATTGAAGTGGTGTCATTTTTGTTGAATTTCAGTAGTCTTCCTGGAAATTCTGTCTGCTTTAAATATCACACTACATAACTCATATATAGAGAGTTTAATAATTTTACAATAAGAACGGTTCTGCGTTTGCGCTTTATCTAACACAAGTAGTGCATTGCTACATATCTAACTATTCTTGACGACATTTGATCTAACTTTCTACAAACTAAGACTATAAGGATTTGATGAAACAGAAAATATTTAACAAAAAAGTAGTAAATAAAACACAATAATGGGACACACTATCTTTACTCCATGGATTCATATATATTTTGAATGGCAACCCTGAATTTTTCTATGTTATACAGAATGCAACACAAGCGCGAAGTTAAAAGGCGCCATTACATAAAAACCATACATTGCTGTTTTTCTAAAGACAATTTTTATATATTTTTAAATTCTATAAACTGCTAGTTAAAAGAAATAATCAACTCTCATGTAACCGGATTTTAAGGGTTATATAATATAAACACATACTAAATCTAAGTATTATTTTTTTTATAATTTATGATATATAAACATCTTTGATTTCTATGAAAAATATAAGTTGAATATTTTCAACATTTTCCTACAGACAACACGTTAGCTATGATCTATTTATCACCGTATTATTAATAAATTCAATTTACTATTGAAACATATTGAGCTGAATGAAATATTAAATATAATATTAGTTTTACACGTATGGTGAAATGGATAAAATGGCTTAACACTTACAGATAATATAATTTATTGCGTTATCTTTAAAGACGTTTAATGGAATACACATTTTGTTAATGATATTATTCGTAATATATAAAAGATACCATATTTTTTGCGATATACACTTAACGATATAGGAACTATATAAATGCAATTAAACTTTAGGAATATTTATGATCTATGGAGCCTGTAAAGAAAAAATAGAAATCAACAGATTATATATAATTAATGACATTATTGTCAGGACTGTTAATCTATAATGAGGTTAAAAGTACTAAATTCGAAAGGAGTGTTATTGAAAGTTATATATATGATATATCTAAGCTATTGGTACAATTTTCAAGCATATGGGACGAATGGAATCGATGCAAGTTTTCTATATAGGTAGTTATTAATTGCGGTCGGTAGATGGGCGGCGGGAAGTTCGTTGCGGTATGACGAATTCTGTGTGTCGAGTTGCGGTGAAAGGGTTAGTTGATGAAAATGGGGCTGAGGAAACTGAGCTGGCGGGTGACGCACTAATCGAGCTCTGACGGGCCAAGCCTTCACGACGCACTGGGCTAGATGTCGCTGAATGTCTGAAAAGATATCGTGATTTTTAGATTGTGTTTCTATAAGTAATATTTTCATTTATTACGCATAGTTTGTTTCAAAAACTTAACAATCAAGGCTAGTTGTTTATTGTTGTCAAATTTAAGTCATAATTCAAGCAATAATGTATGGGAATAAATAAAATCTAAGGAGAATTTAATAACAAACCTGGGGCTAGAGCTAGCATCAACTGCTGACATCTGTCTCGGAGGTAGCGCGGGCGGAGGACCAGCACGTGGGTTGACTCCGACACGAGGAGGGATCTAGCATTTAGCTTAACTTACTTGAATGTACAAAAATATGGGCTTATATGGAATGCTCCAGAAATTAAGGTCAAATATACAACCGCTAATATAAGATAAAAATATAAAGAGTGTGAACATAATGATGCTTAGGAATTTGTTTCGAGAAATTTTAACGTTAACTGATTTTGAAAAACATTTACAATTTTGGTACTGTAACTGCATTAAAGTAAAATTTGTTTTTTTTTCTACGAAACGGTATAATTTGCCGAAGTTGGCCCTTAATTTATAGAGCATATTATGTTTGAATTTTTTTTTCGGAAACATATCTTAATGACGAATTTATTAGCGATTGAAATGATTCTCAAATGAGCTGATTATTATCAAAATATAAACACTTGAAATATCTTCAAGATACATTAAGATGAAACTAGCGATTAAAATTAGTTTGTCAAACAATGATAATGGGTTAATATATTACCGTGGGCGGGTCGTGATGTCTGGGTGAAGCTTGTGAGTATGCTCGCACCAGTCTTTGTTGTGGTAAAACCGGCGGTGGCGGCCTTCTTGGTGGTAAGCTGTCCGTTCTTTGAGCAGCTGGCCGTGTGCTGTCTCTTTCTCGTTCCGAACTTCCCTCACTATCCCTTCTACCAGTATTTGTTTTACTATCTGAAGCATCTTTCGCTGGTTCTTTTTCTTGTTCAACCAATTGTTTCGGCCGCTCGGTTAAAACACGTGGCTTGTCCGGCGGCACTCTCTGTTTCTCGGTATCGCTTACACGTACTTCCGATGGCTTTCTTGTGTTCTGGTTAAATTTAATATATACGTCATATCGTTTGACGAGATTATTTTTATTATTATAAAACTTATATCTAAGACAGGCAGATAAATATTCAAAAGGTTTTTCGATTTAGGGTTTTCTATGTTATAATGTTAATGAAAGTACCTGTGGGCTTGCTTGCTGCTTGCTCTGGAACACTTCATCATCGTTCCTCGGGGACAATGGAGCGTTTGTGGCTCCTTCAGGTGCATGTATCTGTGCCGCTTGCTCCAATATAGCTTTTTTCTGTTCCTGCCCAGCCGCGAAGTACGAGAACACGCACAACACCGCATAGCATATTTGATCCGCCTGTATTTTTATAGTGTTAGTATTTCTATCAAAAATATGAGCGGATTTCATATTTAAAAGAATGAAGAAATTATAATTATGAATATTATATGAAAATAAATTATAATAAAATAGTAAAAGGTGTTAATATATAAACTGTAAGTAAAAGTTTATATATCTTATAATAGTCAAGGTTAATCAATTGTAAAAGTGCAAAAAATTAAAATAGTGACATTTAAGAGTTTTAAATATGATGTATGTAAGTTTTTAATTTGTTATATTTATTTATGTTTGTAATGAAGACAATCGAATAAAGGGTTTTTTGATTCCAAGTAATGTCAGTGTAAACGACGTTTATAAAGATCTGTTGGTGAATTGTAACTTTTTGAATTTACAGATTTATGAGAGAGCTAAGAACGGCAAAGAAAAAGGTGATTAACGGTTTCGAAACCATCACATGTTGAATAAATACAACATGAAATCACGAATCCACACTTTTCGTAGTGTTATTTACGAAACCAACTAACAAAGATACCTAAGGTTCACTTACTTAAAAGTGGTGACTTTTATTAAGAGTTCTATAAGCGATGGGGATTAAAAGATATAAAATAGGAATAGAAACGGCCAGGGGCTATCCTTCACGTAATCCTTTAAAATGTTACGTAGTATCAAAGGTGTCATTTGAGAGTTGTAAAACAAGAAAAAATATTTACTTACCGCTACAAAAACTTACCTCAACTGTAAAAAAAGGAAGCGGAACATTGAAAGCAAAGCGATAAGTAGGAAAAAAGTAAATACAAGACGTGTACATACATTAGGGTGTATTATGAAACGTAAGGTGCACAATTCGGTTGGATTCCATTGACTTCGACAACGAGATAGTACCGAGTAAGCCATATTGAGAAGAAACGATGAAGGGCAAGCACTACTTTGTCTGCCTACAAAATAAAACAAGGGTACATGAACTGAAGTAAAATAAAAACCAACCAGGCGCTAACGAATGAATATCGTGAAATTACTTACCATTATAGATTTATATTTTCTTTGTATTATCTGCCTGGTTTTAGGATCTGACAGACAAAAAATATATATTAAATATTTTTGATTAAAACTTGATAATCTGACCTAGGACTAATTAATTTTATTTATATGTGAATCGAGAGGATAACTTTAAGTTTTTTTATTGGTACTCAATAAACATTATGATGTATAACTTGAGATATCATTGAGTTAAATTTCTACGAAAATACATAACGTGTTAGCGATAGTAAATTACTTCATAGAAACAATACTTACTAAATTCTTCTAAAACAAAGATACCGCCATTCTGCGTGAAGCACTTCCGAATGTGATCGAGCCGCACGAAGAACTGGAAGGCGGTAAAATAATAATCTTTAATAGGAATTGGTTAAGGCTTCTAGCTATACATTCACCTAGGTTCTAATTCTAATTGTAGCAAGTAAATTAATAATAATAAACTCAATATCGAACAGTCTTTTTGAGCCTTTGCTGCTTTGTCATTATTTTTTATAGTTTTTTTCTGGTGCAATTTGAAAAAGCGTGCTTAGCTTTTCACTCTCAAATTGCTGAGGCAGTGCGTTACTTATATGAAAGCACCTTCTAATATCGTCTTTAAAATCTCCGTTTTCTAAAAGTCCTATTGATTGTTATTTTTAAAAGAATTTAAATATATTTTGACGAAAATAAAAAGTCCTAAATGTAAGCAATCTAGTTTTGGAAGGTTTAATTTTTTCCAGGTATCTCTTAAATTTAAGCTAGTGCAACATACGATTACGTAAAAAAAATGCTGTTCCTTTATATTAAAATGTTAATAAACTAAAATACTAAATATATTCATGCAGATATGTATAAAAATATATTCCAACACACTCCACGCGCAGAATAGTGAGAGTGGATTGAAATATTTTATTATAACATATAATAAACAATCATGGCAAGGTTTGGAGACAGCAGTAAGTCAGAGCTTTAAACATGGCAAGGGATCTTACAAAGCTTGCACAGGCGAGATATTGAACGAAGGAACCAAGAGTTCAAGGCCATGGAGTGATCAGCAATCAGTAAGGAGGTGGCGAGGCAAGAGTGAGCGGGCTGAAGGCGCGCCAGAACTTGTGAGATGGCGGATGCTCTACGACTGACCTTTGACTGCGTCGTTTAAGCTCTAGCTCATGACGCTCGCTCGGGTTTCAGGTGAATGGAACCGACTAATCTCAGCACGTGGTGCGAGTGAAAGATCGAAACCGCTCGCCGGACGATCCGTGATACTATTGCAAGCTAACGGGTGCGTTAATGAACAAATAAACAAAGAGCTTCTAGGTGCATGCACGAACGCGCGGGCGCTCGCCGCACCCGGGGTAACTAAAACAACGCTAACAACGGGTAAAACAATCGGAAAGCCTCAAACTACAAGTAAAGCCCTACGACTTCCAACGATCATCGCTAACGTGCACGCAGCGACATCCGCGACTGGGATCGCTGGGTCGCTGGAGTCGCTTCGATCGTCGTAGGAGCTAGCCATTACTAGGTTATGAACCACTGAGTACCTCGAAATCCTTCAGCGCAGCGGCGCGTGTTCAGCGGGTCCGGAAAGGGTAGAACAGACAAAAAAGAAGATATTAGTTGAGGGCGGCCGAGCGCGAATCAAGGACCATCTCAAAAGTTCCTAGCGTAGCGGAGGCGCTGCGAACGGGCGGCTGAGGGACTCCCTCCCTCTACCTGCCTACTCCCTCCCTCTAACTCCCACTAACCCCTCAGAAGGAAGCTCCCCACACTACCCCGAGCACAGCCGCCCGCTCTCGTCGCGCCCCACGCGGGCTTGCATACAATTAGCACATGCACAAGTTATACTGATAAGAAGAGTTATGTAAATCAGATGGACAACGTTAATCTTAAGTGTAAAGAATATAACTAACTATTACATCAATTAGTTATAGACAAAAAATAATAATAATATAAAAACACGAAATTCGTCCAGAAGCTGTATTAAGTAAAAAGTAGTTACGAAATTAGTGTAACTGTAGTATGAATAAAAAATATATGAAAATAGGTACAGCAAAGTGGTAGTAAATAGTTTAAAAATAAATAAATACGGAATAGGAAAGTTTGAGTGGTCCTTGCTAGGTCTTGTAAGGCATATACCATTCTAGATTTTTATAAAGATAATCTGAAAATATTATTTCTGTTTGGGAGCGTCGTCTAAGCGAGTCGTATGATGTATGTTTGCGATACAGCTGATAAAGATAAATTATTAAAATCACCACGGAAGACATTTACGTCTCCGTTATATGCCGAAGCTTAATAATGTACGTTGGTAAGATATAATGCAATGCACTAAAGTCACCGGCACAATATTAAGACAGTAAAGCGGGCCAACCGGGGCACTGTCCCATACTTATAGATTGTCGAACAAATTACTTGGACGACATTCTACAAAAAATTGTCCTATTGAGACATTTCCCATATTGAAGCAATAACACCGACATATCTTACCTGGTTATCGAAATTATGACACTACCAAAACTGAAGCACCAAAAACATTTCGTATTCAAATTTGGTAAGTCATTGTAATATAACATAAATAAAAGCTTACGAAAATCCGATTCAAACAAAAAACAGTATATACATACCTTGCTATGATGGAACAGGAGCCCGACGCCTTCCATGCACACCTTTAATCATGGTGTCACAGTTTAATATAGCTTTCATACAACATTATATAAATAAAGAGGTATAATGTCATTCGTAGAGCATTGTCTACTTCTTCAACAGTAAATTTGGTGATGTTATTGAACTGTACAATTACCATACCTGTATAAGTCCACCCTCGCCAGTCGCACAATCCTGTACAGGGAATTCTCCGCCCAGTTCCGCTGCATCTTGTCGCCTTCCACTCTTCTCCATGGCCTCCTTGATGCAGTAGTATAGCGCTTTGCACTAGAAAATTAGCAATAAAAAACAGTGAGGATTGATTTGGAAGATATCACGTAAAAAATATCAAAGAAATGAAATTAAATGCTAAACCTTTTTGGTATAATATTTATGAAGTTGCGTCTGTCCACCATTTTTCCTCCAAAGGCACAAAACTCGTATTTTCGGACTATAAGTCATGTTCACGAGGCGTTCGTACCACCACCTTTCGACAATGGTCCCTAAAATGAGCGTGAGTTAAATTACGATACTTAAAGAGATAAAATACATAATAAATAAATGTGTAAGTTAGCAAAATTACCTTGAGTTGTTCTTAGTACAAGTCCATCATGTCGTACGTCTAAGAATCTTAAAGCTCCAGCCGCATCTCGCTCATGGACTGTAAATGTGGCGCGATGAGTGGCTCGAGACCCAAGAGCCTTAAGGCTTATATCATTTCCATGCTGTAACAAACATTACTTTTATTGCCTCTTCAAATTCATATAAAAGATTTCCTAAGAAATTCAACTTACCAGATTATGAACAACATCTAATAGGTGGTTGACTTCTTGGCTATATACAAGTCCTATATGACTTTTTGCAAGCAATCTTCTCACTTTATTCCTAATAATATCCGCTTCTACTCCAAGCATTACCATAGCTGCAGTTAAGTTATATAAAGCAGTAGATAGAAGCCTGTCTTCCTCATGCTCCAACCGTTTTCGTTCCGTTTCGCTGAGACATTTATATCGTTCCATCATTTCGTTAGCTCCTTGGTCCATTCCAATCATATCCCTTTCTTGGCTCACCGCATCTAAGAATGAATCTTCCCAGAACTGCATTTGGTCCCATAAGTTCGATCTTTCTTTCCCTACAAATAAAAATCAAGTAGTACTTAATATGAAAATTATATAATAAATGGAAAAAATATAGAATTACGCCATTAAATTTATAATGCATCATGTAAATAAGATTTATTTCAATGTTAAATGAGTACAATACCTATTGTAACTATGAGTACTACCTAGTAATAATGAGTTTTATTCAACATTACCTATTAATCCTTGAAATAGATAAGTGCGGACGGTTTCAGGAGAGGTAAGTGGTGAGGTGGTAGGTACTCCGGCCATCGGTCTACCATTGACAGAAGATTTGGTCGAGAACACACTACCGGTGCGACCCTTGACACCTGGTCGACCAGCCTGATGGAAAAGTTGACTAATATTATAACTATTTTCAACTAAATAATATTTAAGTTTGTTCTTTTTCATATATTTATATATGGGTGATATCAATTCAATGTATGTTGTAATTAAAATAGTAATTTTTATCTGTTTCTTTGCATATCAATTCGTGTTGTACTGTGTGTAAAATATATTATATAGTACAACTCAACTTTATCATATTTTAAATCATAGCCTACCCTTATACTTTATCCAAATATCTTATTTTGTCTCTAATTTTTTATTTTGCTATTTATCCCTATCTATTTTACATATATGATATATCAACCCCTCCATATGTTTTTTTCTTTCTCGTAATATGTACATACATCTTACATTTGTTATTTTCTTTTAATTTTTCTACCCACTTTGTTCTAACTATCTCTTACGTTTGATTACTAATGTTTTGTCTCCTATATGCAATTATTTCGCTTCTTAAGTTTCGCACCGAACTCCATATAAAATCAATGAGATTAGTTTAAAGAGAACTTTAAGTTCACCATACGTGGCTGAGATCTACTATAATGTTTTCAAAGTTTGTTGATATTCGTATGGTATACTTTAAAATTTCACCCTCATATAATCAAGTGATCAAAGAAAGATAAAATTGTAATGTAAAATATAGTCAGTCTTAATATTCACAGTAAAAGATAGAAGCATAAGATTTATAATTTTTCCTAAAAGTACCGACTCATCTAATTCATATTAGATATACATAAATATATGTATATAAAATTATTCGCTAATAATTTGTCTCCAAATGATGACTGCAATTTTGAAAAGGAGAATTTACTTTTTCTTTCAATTAATATATACTTACCTTAAATTTGTGTAATTTTTTAAAGCTACAAGGCCATGAAACCGAACTACATCAAAATAATATTCAACTATAACTTAAACTTTCTATGGTTAAAAGAAACGTAAATAATCTACCATTAAAAAGAATTTCTAATCATTTTATAATATTCAAACTATAAGGTATTTAATATATGGATTTAAATATAAATTGTTTACAAAAGAAAGCGAACAGAAGTCCATTTGAAGCGTGCATTTATAAAGCATACTAGGTAATGTGCAAAAGCTAATTACACACACTATGACTTACATTAAGGAACATGACGTCAGTGTCAGATAGATTTGATTTAAAGGAAGCGCGGTGGTCGGCGAGCGCGCGATTTGTTGTTATCGACCCGCTGTCTGAACACTCCGATGACGCGGCCTGCACACACACACACACATCACCTTACACATAAGCATACACACACACACAAACACTAGCTTCAAGGACACTAGTACTAGCTTATTTCACGACAATCATGAATATTATATCGGAAATTTTACGTTTAATATATTCTCTATGGCTTCTTAGTTCTTTACCAACTTATATTTATAAGTTCAGATTTATATTAATATTAGAATTAATATGACTTCGCTTACTATGTTGAAAATTAGGGTAATAATTTGTATTGGCTATGGAAATTAAAACAGTGGCTAGCCATGCGTGGAAGAAATGTATACAATAAACAAATACATATAACAACATTGATATTGTACATACTTTATACATCTTGATTATATCCCCAACATGCAACATTAAACATTGAATTTTTACGACAATATTTAGGATACACCAAAGCAATACTCACATCGGAATCAAAAGAAGTCAACTTGCTAAATAAAAGATTTCGCTTTTGATTTAACATATCCTTGAAGATTTCTGTTGTGCTCTGAGTCTCGCCGTGCTCTTGTTCAGGGTAATTGACAATGGGTACATCTGAATGTGGACAGAGAATATATGGTTTTAGATTTAAATAAGTAATCTAAGTATAGACAAAATTATTCTTCTACTTGAACTAACCAGACTGCGAGCTTTTTCTGGAAGACGGCGTTGACAATGGAGTCTCGTAATCTTGCCTTCCATAATGTTCAGATAATGCAGAACCAGCCATACCTCCTGGTTCCAAACCCGCGAATTCTTTACTCCAATAATGAGTGTGTGCCATTTCGGCTAATTGGAATACTGAAGCCATTCCTCCAAGCCCGAAATTAGAATACGTATGTTCTAAACCATGAACCACAGCTTGCAGTACTTTTAGCATGCCTTTCCATACGGGTTTGCTTATAAACTATAACAAACCAAACAATAATTAAGCAAAACTAGTAAGTCTTGCAATACTTTCCATTTTATTTGATCCAACAGATTTTATCAAGTCTTACTTACCACGTCATCCACTTTATCATTCGGTGAAGTCTTTCTGTTAAAGTTTCTATTAAGTTTACTAAGAACCATGTTTCTATATGATTCGTCTTCCATTAGCTTTTTTAAACGGTTTAGTTTAAGCCATCCAACGCCCTCTCCTTCAAGAACGTGTTGTACAAGCTGTAACAACATACATATTTTAGTAATAGCTAAATTTACTAAAAATAAATAATCTTATGAATTGATTGTGATTTAAGTATTATACACACAAGAGTAAGGCAAGGAATTCACCTTAGGTCAAAAACACCTTAAATCATTTTGGAAGACAGCTGACATTCTATACTAATAATAACAAACATAGCTAATTATCACCGCAAGAACAGATTTATAAAACCCTTTTTCGGGTTTGAGTTTAAAATAGTAAAATTGACTGAATAAATTTAGTTAAAATTGAACTCACATCATTCAGGAACGCTTGATTTTCGCTATTAGTAGATCTTGTATTTATTGGCGGCGTGACGGGGGCTGGAGAAGAATGGCGAATAAGAGGCGAGCGCTGTACTAAACCTTTGGCACCTTGAGAGAAAGGACCAAATGTTGCTGTCATTGGAGTATTCGGTGTCGGTTCAGGTTTTACTTGCTTTCCTGAAACAAAAAAGTAAAAAATATATCCATTGTTAATAAATATAAACTATTGTACAATTAAATTACTCATAACATACATACCTTTACCAGAACCAAAGAAGTCACTGAACATACTAGAAGTTGAAGCAGCAAGACCGTTTAGGTCAGAACTAATATTGGAAAAGAAGTCCCGATGTGTGGTAGCAAGTAAGTTAGTTGTTTGCAGCGCTGTCGAATCTCTCCTGGCATTGGGACTAGTAGAAGCATCCTGACTTTCACCCTGTTCACAAAAAAGGGGAATGTTAGAAGGAATATTTATATGAAAACCTGCTCTGTTATGTTTTCAAATAAATAAATGTTCTCTACCTTCAACAAGCCTTTCTTAGCTGCAACTTCTTTGGCACTTTTTGTAAGATCTCCCAAAGTAGACTTCCCCACATATGTTAGATCTTCGAATGTGTTTTTGCTAACTGCTGTAGCCGTTTTACTCGCCTCCAATGCTGACTTCGACGCCTCTTGAACACTCTTTGATGCTTCTTCTGCGGCTTTTTTAGCATGAAGAGTTAACTGTAAACAAAAATGGTTTTTAAGTTCTCACATTATAAAGAGATTATCGTTTTATGTAGTATGACAAATTCTTATAATATCGTTTTGAATGGGTATAATGCTTGATGTGTTTCTAGATTCTACATGACGAAGGCTTTTAAACTATGTAATTCCGAATCTATTGCCTTCTTTCTGGTGTGATTTCAAGTGCGTGTTGTTAAAATGTAGATTTATTTTCTTGCAGTCTAAAAGTAAAATGTAATATGGTGCTATTCTAATTTTATCATCATTCTAAAAGCTAGACACACTCCTTAGTATATGTGATATGTACGAAATATTGTAATAAACAAACTTGGTGTATCTTTTTAAAATAAACTACGTGCTACAATTAGTCGTTCTACTTTGCGATCCTGAAGTAGCATCAAGTAATGCGATACCTTATCGAAAGGAGCAAAAATGTTCTTATCTTGTCCTTGATCAGCTTTCCCGTTCTTCATGTTATGTTTTAAATAAAAAATTAAACATTGTCATAGGTAATATGATCTGAGTAAATAAATAGATTATTTTGTTGCACGAATATGTTTTTTTTGGTACATACAGACCGAACTTTGTTTAAAAAAAAAGTTTAAGCAAACTGTTGTTAACCGTCAAATTCAATTTAAATAATTAAAATCTTTAATAATAAGCTGTTTTATATAAACGTACTTTGTCCATATGCGCTAATATTCCCTCCTGACTGCTCTGACGAGTAGTTTCTCGTACAAGCTCCTTCGCTTGAGCAGCAAATTGTTCTAATAGTGACGTTTGCGATGCTTGTCTTGATACACCACTGTTGGAACTCTATAAAGGAAAAGGTTTATTTTACTCAATTTTTTTACTTTTATCATTTAGCTTTACGAATCATAGATACATAATATGTTCTAGTGTGCTAGCTAGATATGCATATAATTATCTTCTTGCAAGTACCAAGCAATAAGTAGAAGTAAATAAATGCTATCCTATCGTTCTATGATAATGTCATTCAAAAATCTATGTACGTATTAATTACTGAGAGGAAAAAATCATATTCAGCGTTTATGTTGCTGGGATATAGATATTGGTGTGTTTTATACCCTAGGGCGGGAATGTGGAGAGGCTCGTACAGGTTCAGAATCTCTAGGGCGTCGCGACGCGACTGTTGCAGGCGTTGTTGATGAATCCGACTCTCGGCCCAAGCTTCCACTATCTGTGTCCTGTATATACCAGGGATTAATTGGTAAACCTCAATTATTGGTGAACCTCAATAATTGGAGAACCTCAAAAATTGGTGAACCTCAATAATTAAAACAACTTCGTGACACTAATGGAAATTTCATACTAATTTAATTTGGTAAATCAACACATATTTAAAACTAATTCTCTAGCTATACTCTCTTTAAATATCTATTTAATCTATTGAAATCCTAAAAATTCTAATTTCATGTTACGTCAACTAAGTTACTTAGATTCTAAGCACAAAATACTAATAATTATTCATCAACTAACACTCTTTTTGACTGGTTTTGGTTCATCAGTGATGTCAGGACGGTTCATAGTTCCAGGGATGTCATCATCGGATAAATCACTGTGATCTGAACTTGAAGCTGATGGTGAAGGAGATGTGGACTCTCTTCCTTCTCGCTGGCCCTCCCTGTCTCCTTCTTCTCCAAATATTAACGAAGATGGTGGACTGTATACCTATAATTTTTGTAAATATAACATTTCGTGACTAGTATTTTGCGAGAACTCGTAACAGTTGGTAATTATAAATGGTGAAGAAAGTAAAGTGACTTATAAGATGTAATACAAGAAAATAAAATTTTATTATCGACAATATTTGCTAGTGTATTTCTAATAAATTAGGGATACTTAAAAAACCTGAAGTTCTGTTAAAATAATTTATGAAATTTCTAGATTTAATTTAAGTATTAAATCAATATGAAGCATAGCGTCCGTTGTCACCATGTAGTTAGTTTCTTTGATAAGAGGTATCTTGCAAATCCTAAGCGTTTTATAGTATATGATAATTATAATACATATATAAGTATGAACTTGAATTAATTGAAAAATATTCTTACCGTTTTCGGATCTAACGATGAAGACAGAGTCATAGGTACTTGCACTACAGCACTATAAGTTTCTCCAATAACGTGCTGTTGAACGTTTCCACCTGTGAAAAATAAAAAATAGTTTAATAAAAACTAAAAAAAACACGCTTTTATATTTAAATTTATCAATTAGTTTTTGTGGACATGCGCAGATCGCACACTAGCCCTTTCAAGTTAATCAGATGTTTAGAAACCGGTGAAAATCGTGCTCAAAGATTCCTTTACATACATACAGAACAAGCTAATATAAGCGTGTTAAATACAGATTTATGAAAGAAAGTAATACATAGTTGTGGCTATAATTACTATCCGGTAAACTCAGTAATACAAATAATGACGTACCTGGTGATAAATCTGAAGAAGCCATCTCCGAAACGAAGTCGCTTAAAGATGAATATGACGAACTAGTACTCTCAGCAGCTTCAGAATCAGATCCACTTTCATCTTTAATAAATAATATTATAATATATATAGAAAATATTTTATAATGTTATAAGGTATAAAATCATAGGGGCCGTTCAAGTATTACGTAAGCAGATTTATTACAATTATTTACCCCCCCATCCCCCTTGTCAGCAAAAGTAAGCAAAGCTCTTACCCCCTCCCCCATGCTTACGTAAACATTTTCAATTACTGTATTGTTTTTTTTTCATATAAATCCAGAAAAATATTTTAATTATATTTTTTTATTTATCTTCTCAATGTGACGATTAAAAAGTAAATAACTACCAATGACGTAATCATCACATAGACTCCCCTACCCCCCATGTCATCCAAAATAATCAAAGCAAAGATCCCCCCGCCCCTCCATAGTGCTTACGTAATACTTGAACGGTCCCATATTAAAATAGTATCAGCAATACCTGTAGGTTGATTCTCTTGTCTTTGCAACTGTCTTAAGGCACCATTTAGTGAACTACCATCGTCCCAAACAGCAAATCGTATAGGCTGCAGTTGGTCCGCAAACCATTTTGGTTTATCACCAATTTGCCGGGGATCAAATACACCGGTTTGTACTCTTAGGAAAGCCACATTACATGGTGTTAACGACCACTCTGCTAAGAACTCTACAGCCTAAAATAATTGTTGTTTAAATTAGTACCTTAAGTAGAATAACTATAAGACTTAATTTAAAACTTTGTTCCATTTGCCACATACTTGTGTTCTAGCGAATTTATTCAAGAAAGACGAAGATCGAGGTCTTGATCGCAAGAAGCTGTTTATCTGAAAAGCTACGACAGGTCGGGGATATAAACGCAGTGTTCGCGTGTGCTCCATAAAATTCGCCAAAATATTTTGGGAATTGAAGAAACGAACCTAAAAATAATAATATTTATTTATAATATGATATTTTTATCATGTTAGGATATATATTTTTGTACTGACCATAGCGACTCTTGTGGCGATGTCGACTGAATCAACATCGTTGCCGTATATCAAAGGATTGAACGGTTGTGACTGTGGCGAGTTTTGTGGTGATGGCGAGTGTGGCGATGCTAACGACAGTCTTGTGTGTGCGCTGCCAACTGACACACGTCGACTCTCTGGGGTACTATGAGACCCTTCACGAAAAGACGCTGGTTGTACCCTGACATACATAATATTAATATATTTTTTATATCAATTTTTTATTACTATTCCTTTATTTAAGACTTACTTTAATGTAGCTCCACCAACACTATCTCTTCTCGAAGGCATAAGTGGCGCTGTAGCTTGTTCCGCTGAACTATTTGTTAAGCTGCTTAGTGCCTGGACAACAAAGGAATTCCTCTTTAAAAGAAGCTTACTGTTAAGTACTCATACCGTCATTTTATTTGAATATCTTTTCCCGATCGAAATCACACAGTTTTTTATAAACTTTGGAGATTTAAGTCAATAAGGTGTGTTTAAAAATGAATGTGTATTATAGTTTTAAAGTATTAATGTATTATTAAAGTAATCGAGTACTTTATGAACTGAATGATTTCGTCAGTTGCAAAAATTTCATCTGTGTATGTACACAGGTTTGTCACTAGCGAGAAAACCTTTAATTAAAAAATATATATTAGTATTAGCTCAGTTCTAAAGGCAAGAATAAAAAACTAATTCAATATACTTACAGAACTGTTATGTTATTTATATATAAGCAACGATTTAAATATTATATCTATATACATTGGATTAAATATTACGTAAGTATATACATATTTAGAATATTCTTATGTGGCTTTAAAACTTTCTTCCAATAATAAGCAGTTTGTTACAATTTTTAGTATATGCCTTTTAATTTCTTAGTTTTTCAATACTATTATATTTATTTTACATACTTTTTACAAGTATCACATTAAAAATTATGGTATCAACTAATCTTAAACTATTTGGTTGTGTCTACAAAATAAGCGTCTAAGCTCTACATAGTTCAAGCATTATAAGCGAAACGTAATATTAAACACATTATTATTTATAGAGTACAACGACAAATATATCCGCAGTTAAACAAGCGTTGAATTTGTTATCAACATTTTTATCACGACCTTGTTGTTAGCGGAAGCTTGTCAAGTCACGAAACAGCTTTAGCGTTATCACATACACAAAAACATGCATTGGCAACAAAACAATGACTGAAATCGTGTTGCAGACTGCGTACAAAGTTCCCTAGATTGGGTCGAACCGTATGAAGAATTAATTTAAATAAATATATTTGGTTTAAATCATATGTTAATTTGGAATTAATGAATGTAATCTCGAATTTAATTAACTTTGTGTGGATTTCAATGAAATATATTTATTTAAATTTTGATATAAAAGCATAAATGCACATATAGGTGATGCTAACACTATTTTCAGTCAAGTTTTTCATATGCCCCCTCTTAGAGTTCGTTAAAGTTGGGAGGTGAGTACTGTTAGTTATTGTGTGTTTCTAAAAGGTTGGCATGTTTATAATAATATAATTTACATTCAAAATGTAGTGAATAAATTCAAACTGTGCAATGTAAAAAGAATATTAATATTTACACCAGTTCCGGCTGTTCCCATGACTTGCATAGCCTAGCGGAGTGGGGAAAAAGTGAGTAGAATGTTAGTGAAAATAGAAAAGATATAAAGAAGAGAAGTAGTATTAAAGATTTTGTGTACTGTGGAAGTCAGAAAAGTTGGACATAGTGGAGGGACTTATTAATATTTCATTCCTCAAATATTACGAGTATTTTAAAAAATAATAAGTATTTTAAGATTCTTGACTAAATAGTATGATTTGAAGAATAAAACCTGATTCCGAGGATTGATAAAGAATATAAAAAAGTTATTTAAAAAGTTCCATTCAAGTTTTCTCTATTGTGTAGGGGTTTTTCATTTAAACATTGCGACATCTGCTCAGCAACACGAATAAGAATGCGAAATAAGTTGCGTGATTTAGAAAATATTAGGTGACAACAATGAAAAAGGACAAAGATTATAATAAAATTGACTACATACCTGTTTTAGATGATTTTTAAGGACTGAACTCTCCGGTTCTGGGAGAGGAGGTAGGTCCTGTTCATTACCGTAAGGCCCACTAAGTTTAGTAGCGTCTAGATCTACTAACCAAATGTCATCTGGTAATCTGTAAGAAGACTATCATTACACATGCTCTGGAGGCGTAAACACATTAAATAATTGGAAAACTTACTTAAAATTCTTCTTATACGTTAAGAATGTAGCTGGTATTCCTATTAGGAATGGAGTGGGAGCTAGAAGTAATTGTTCCGCACAGCTCATACAACTTGGTAATAGTGGTATCGCTGGGAACATGTACTCTAGTGGGTACAGCATCGCTACTAACGCCATCACAGACATTGACAGTGCGTTATAGTCCCTCGATTGAACTACCACTTTGTTTTCCAGCATTATCAAGGTTAAAACTCTCAAGCAAGTATCAACACCTGTTTAAAAAGAAATTTTAAATCTTATCAAAGATAATAAATCATTTAGAAGTTTGACAAATAAAACCTAAAAAATGTAATAATCACACCTACCCACAAATCATGATTCAAAACAATTTTATTAGGCATATCTTTAAAACTAAATTAACTAACATAAATTCAATTGAATAAGGCTTCTTTTCAATTAGCCCTACTAATATTATAAATGCGAAAGTAACTCTGTCTGTATGTCTGTCTGTTTCACTTTCACGCCTAAACCACTGAACTAATTTTAATGAAATTTGGTATAGAGATAGAATTGACCTTGAGAAAGAACATAGGATAGTTTTTATCCCAGACTTTTGAAAGGTTCTCTTGGAAACGCGATATAACACCCGGGCGAAGCTGCGGGCCGAAAACTATAATCCTATAAACTTACCTAGCAATTCCAATGGTAGATGTAGAGGGAAGTCAACTAGAGTGAATCTTGTGTGATCGGGTAAAGCAAATACAAGTGGTGCGTGTGCTGTAGGTGAGAGTACTTCGAGTTCGAGTCGAGTTTTCCCTGGTACTGGTACAGGCGCTGACAATAGTCGTAGTATCCACGTTTCAATCTCTTTGACATCGTGCACTACTATTGTAGGCGTATTATCGTATGCCTGACCAGTTAGCACTGACCACACTGTATCTCTGTTAGAAATCAATTAGATATATTTATTCATATAAATAACAAAATATGTATGTATATTAATTAGCTAGATAGTGCATAGTACATGTTAACGTGGCTACTTTAAATAGTAATGTATTTAATACATAAAAAAATGAGAAGTAATTTCATACGTATTTAGCAGTTATATCTCAGATAAATCTGTTATTAATTAAAGATAAAGATAAATAATAAAGATTACTAAACACTTTGAAATATTATACATTTTCAAATGAGATACAGAATTCTTCGAATACTGATAAAAGATTTACTGTTGAAATATGTGGGATGTAGGAAATTTGCCAATTTCGAATATATGAAGTTGAAAATAAAATCGGAATATAAAGCGATTCACCCACTTTTACCACAACGGATATGAGTTTATGATATAATAATAAAAATGTGTTTATACAATTCTAGGCTTCAATCTCCGCTTGGGGTAAAATATCATAATATATTAGATAAATAATTTAATAATTGGTACATATAAACACCGTTTTTAATTCTAGCTAGTAGAAAGAAAAGCTGTTAAAAGTCTCAAAATCTATAAAGTATAGAATTTTAAAATATTTGAACGTAAAAAATAATACAGCTTAAAAGGTTTATTCTGAGTGAGGTTCGCAATATGAATCAAATTTAATGGAAGGCATAAAAAATATATTTTAATTTAAAAGAAAGATTGCCTCTAAAACCTTTTATAGAGTTGACCTAAATTACTTCTGAAAAGATTTCTATTTAATAGATGGCTTTATGAAACTCGTTACTTTAACCGTACCTTCTTTTTATTATTCTATACAACTTTATGTATATTTGTAGTATTATACCTTTATTGTAATTATATATATCGGCGCTACCAGCTTTAATAACGGACGCGACTAGAAAATAATTTGATGCCATCATCAATTCTTATTAAACCTCATTAGTATTTATGATTATTGTTAAAAGTAAAACGAAATCAAAGGAGAATAGAACTATGTTTGAATCTTGTTATAAATATGACGTCTGGATGCACGACGGCAGATTTGAGAATTCAGAATTGATACTCGTAATTCAGAGTTCAGTGAGTGTGTATCATTGAAGTATGTTATTATGAAGAATCTTCGAGAAATACAGGAGCATTAAGATCAATTGAAGTTTCATTTTAAAATATCATGCAACGCTCTAAAAGAAGTGACATTAGAGACGTCAGTGAGGCTGGCGTCCCTCTCTTTCAAAACAACGAATCTGTAATAAATCCGATATATATATATATATATATATATATATATATATATATATATATATATATATTAGAATAATAAATACATATATTATAATATTCTCACCTAAATAATTGTCTGGAGGCCCCAACGCGCCTAGGACTGGAAGATTCGTTGCAGGCATCAATCAGTTTTTTAAGGATGAAGAGGCACTCCCGGAATGTGGAGAAGAAAGGATGATGTGATAGAAGGCAGATTGAGGTTAAGGAATGGTTCCGTATACGCTGTAAAAACAATACTGTTAAAATTTACTCTTTAATATACTAGCAAACAGGCAATGGAATCGAGGCTTAAGTTTTCCCGAATTGATTAATTTTGAATTGTTAAATATACGTTTTATTGCAGTCGGATTCTATAATTGAGTTTTTGAGCAATGAAAAAATATATATCATGAAAGATATACAGTAAGTGGATTATCCGGCCGCCGATTATGGAAGCCTACGATTATCCAGATTTATGCGTCGTGCTTTTATTGTTGGTTTAGAAAAAATGTTTTTCGCCATGAAAAAATGCCCAGCGCGCTTGATTAATACGTAAAAATGTAGTATGTGATATATTCTTTTTGAATACCGTAGTCTTTTTTGGTACAATCAATCTTGATTCACAAAATGATCCAAAATCCCTTTAAGATAATTTAAATAATTAGTAGGTAAGCATAGATTTTTTTTACTTGTCTATAAAATGTTAAATCTTATTGTATTTGTACCATACAGCCTAAAAGTAATTACTTATTACTTTAAAATTGTAAATTTAAATTCAATTTTATAATTGTCTTATGCAAACAAAAAGTACAAGTTTAGAAGTTAACTAGAACTGTTATTTTATATACCTACGATATTTTAATTAGTCTTGAATGTTACCTAACTTAACCTTTCCTTGTTTGTATATAGTAGCTGCCACGTGTATTTCTTAGCACGTGCAATAAACAATATAAATAGCTACAAGCTTAATAATCTTGAGTGTATTATAAAGTATAGTCATAATATTTCACATACAATATTTCTAGTGTTTAATTAGAGATTTCAACATAAATATAAACGATTATGTAACATATGTATAGTCCACAGTTTTATTCAAATATATAATCTTAAAATTAGAAATGAAATTGTTGGTAAAAGTCAATACCTTTAATACTGGCAGCATAATTTTAAATTTGTTAGTTGGTGACATTTTTTTGTTTCTAAGTCTTAATAAAACCGCCATATTGTCAAGATTCATTTCATTTTTTATTTATTACTTCAGAAATAGAAAATTTTCATAGCTTAAACTGAACTTCACACTTATGCAGTGTTAAACAAAGAAGTTTTAATAGTAATTTATTCTATTAAAAGCTTATTATTATCACCTGTCTCTTCCTGGTGGCTCTAGGGCTTGGTGAGTGTGATCCTCCACTCTCGGAGTCAGGAGGGGCGGGCGCTAGTCTAGGCCCGGCGCTGCAGTCGCGCTCCGAATCACTCGGCGCCACATTGCTGCTTCTATAGTCACTGAACACTCAGACGTATTAGACTGATTGATATATTCATATATCTGTATTACATCAATTATTATAATTTTCATATTTTATACAGCTTATGGTTCCTTGGAAAACTGACATCCAAGTCAAAGTTAAAAAGTATTACGAGCCAACGTAATTGTTGAACGAAATTACGGAAAAAAAAGTTGGCATCAAAGTCAATAAGTATTACGAGCTCACTAACCAAGTCACTAGGAATAGGTTTGTACGCAATAGAAGAATACGCAACTAATATACATATGTAATGAAAATGTAATTTTTTAGTTTTAGAATCGGGTGCAATAAAGAATAAATAAATAAGGGGTAGCGAGACTTATAACAACTAAATATCTCTAAAAGCAACTAAAAGACTTGGGACTCTCCAGGACTAACATCAATTCATTCTTTGAACGTCCTTCAAAGGTCTAGTAGGTTCTTTTCAAATTTGTTTAAGTAGGGAGAGGAGCTTGGACGGTGGAGATGATGATAGAGTTAATGGCGTTTAATGTTAGAAAGGGGCCCCTTAAACCTACAACTAGATCGCTAATATACTCAAATGTTAAGGTTCTGTAATTGGTTTAAGGTAAAGTATTGGTTAATATTGAGTATAAGTATCAATACGGTATATATAAGCCATCAGGTATATGTATTTAAAGTAATACATCGAGATTTAAGGGTTAAAGAAGGTATTGCTCATAATAAGTGTAGATCTCTTTAGATCCAGTAGTAGTGATTGTTCACCTCGAGAAAGCAGAGTCCGAACTCCTTTCCATAGACTTCCTCCAAGACTCACGACGTAAAACACTTCTCTCCCGAGGGCCAGGAGTTGGTGCACGCTCCATCGCCCGGTAAAAATTGATACAGATGCCATATCGGGTCTTACCTGGTTATAAAATACCACTTAAATAAGTATCCAGAAAGTGAAAATAATATTTTTCGTATTACTACGGATTTATTACTTTAAGAAGTCTCGTCTACCCGTGATCACGGTTGCTGCAAAAGTAATCGAAATGTCGGGAGTATGTAGTTTTTAAAATAATGAAATACGCGTAGTACCTAATCCGAAAAATATTGGTTTCATTTAAATACTCGCGAAAATCTTAGATCTCATTAAGTATCTTAGAGATCAAAATATGTATAAGAGCTCTAAATAAGTAATAAGAAAGTATATTTATTTTTAACATGTACTATAATCGATGAAGATGTATTTCAAAGTATTACTTTATTTTTCAGAAGAGAATCTCTTAATTTTGTTTCGTACGTCTAGTTTTAACGAGTTTTATTGTTAAGACAATTCGGTTAACTTTTAATTGAAACTAAATCAATTAGGCGCTGTTCTAGATCGCCAAAAATGAAAGGAAAATCAATTTATATAAAAAATTCTACCATTTTATTAATTTAATACAATGCACTAATCTCATGTTAGGTATAAATCAATACAATTTTTGCGTCGTATATTTTTGCCTAAAAAAAAATTATAAAATCAATACAGAAGATTAATTATAGTAATTACTAACCCGAATCTTTATCTGTAAGTGTAAATACGAAGGAGGTTGTGTCCCGAGTTGCTATATGTGCAAGTTGGCGCCGAGGCCCCACAGACACGCAACCTTCTGGCTGGCAGAAATACACCATGTCCAGCGGTAGAGGAAAGTCATCGTGATTGGTTAAGGGATAACGACGAAGTAGTTCTGGCGCCTAATAATAGTAAAAAAACGATTATAAGTTTATCTAAGATATGTTACGACTTTGGACATATTATTTTTATCCATTAGAATAGTTAATCGAAATAAATTAACTAATCAGATAGAAGAAGAACTCGAAAAACTCGGAAAGTCATGAAAATAAAAAACCCTTCTTTCGAAATGTGTTGATTTCTTTATATATACATACATATATTCTAAATATGGTTCATTTAAAACATTTTTACCTGCACCGGAGCTAGTCCTTTCCCAGTAGTGTATGGTTTTGCTCCAACTATAGTTAAGTAATCCACAAGCCGTGGACAAAGTTGCTGTTTTTGGACGTCCATACTTTTATTATACGATACCTTAATATGATTCTTTTTCTAAGTAAGATTTCTTAAAACCATTATATTTTAAATTATTATTGCTTTTCATAATTATCACTATGTTCCTGAAATCAAATAATAAATCTGAATCAAATTATAAAAGGACAAAAACGGAATTGTAGAATGATAAATTTTATCGCAGACAAAACTGAGCTGTATATTTTGTTATTTTAAGTAATATTTTTCGATGGAGCATGATATAATACGATTATAAAATTGAAAACCTATCAGTATTTAAGTTAAAATATATTTTGGAATACGTATTTTTTATTTAAAAATATAACAAATAACACAAAAGCTGCATTTATACATTTGGTGTACATAAAAAAGTCATTAAGAACAATTAAAAACTTTTAGTTCTTTATTACAATTCAGCAGAAATAGATTTGAATTTCCGATACTTAATAAAAAACAAGTCATTTCTGTTCTTAATCTGTAATTTGAATTCCGTTAAGAGATAGTTAGATTAAATTTTAATAAATAATAAGTAAACTAAAAGAAAATTTAAAATAATTAAGCTTATACATATAGCTTTATATTTGATTGTGGTTGTTGTAACAATCGTTCACGCTTGTGTACCCTTGGCCTGTTTTCAGTGACCTTTCAGCACATAGCTCGATTATGTGCTATAAATCATCATATAGACGGGAATAACTACCAAAGTAATAGTATACCGACCCCTACTGTTCAAGCTATTATGTTTTTACGACTGTAGGTACTAAAGTATGTAGTTAGTGGAGGCAGTAAAAAGAATTAATAAAGATGCATATTAATAATGAATTAAGGATATTAAATATATGTATATTAAGAAAATAACTGCACTGTAAACTATTATTGAGAGTCATTATGTCGTATTTATGCTGACGTACTTGGAAATATCTATTGTGCATTTGCATTATCTGTCTGTAACATAAAAATTGTATGGTTTAAGAGTGAAATGCCTACGTCAATGGTATTTACGCCTACAAATACAATGGCTGTCGTCAGTTTGTCTAAGTAATACGTCATCTGTGTGGGTGTTAGAAAATAAATTCACGTTGATTGCTATGGTTTGACCTGTTATAACAATTGGTTGTATAGATTCATCGCTATCCCTATTAATATTATAAATGCGAAAGTGACTCTATATGTCAGTCTTTCACGCCTAAATCATTGAACTGATTTTAATGAAATTTGGTACAGACATAGAGTTGACCTCGAGAAAGAACATAGGATAGTTTTTATCCCAGACTTTTGAAAGGTTCTATTGAAAACGTGATATAACCGAACTCCACGCAGGTGAAGCTACGGGCGGAAAGCTAGTATGGAATAAGTTTATAACTCGAGACGGGATCATGAGAGTTTGAATGTGTTTTTCGAAACTTTTAATTAGATACGATGTTTGTTCAAGTTCTTAAAACTTTGTCGTTACCCTATGTCTTGATAACAACTTTTGAAAGTACGTACATTGTGCTTCAAACTTTATAATTTAGTTCCGTTATCAACATTTAATTTAAATAAGGCAATTACATAATGCGTTCTCGTTTTTAATGTCAATTGTATGTATTTTTATTAATTAATATTTCTTTGTTTGCATTAAAACATGTAATTTTTTATAATTTATAAGTATTTTCTCGTATTATTCGACTTTTAAAATATAGGTATTGAAATAAAATTGTATAAATGAATTGTATAATCAACTTAAACGTGAATTTTAGTTTGTTTTTACGAAGTTCTTTCAAATGGAACATCGCGTTATAACAACTTAAATAGCACTCTTAGTACAAGTTGGAAGATTGATTATTGTATTCTGTAAAGCTTGAAATAAACCTATGAACATAATATTATGGTAATATAAAGATAATACATTAATATAACAATATAATAGAAATATAAAAGCTTTTTGGTTGTGGATTACTTAGTATGAAAACAGAAAGATGATCGATGAGCAATACATCATGCTTCGTGACATCTTTTCGATTTAAAAGGTTTTCATATAAAGAAACCCGTGGTGTTGATTGATTGATATAAATATTATTAAAATTTGAAGGTACTTTTACTTTATTATACTTATATTTAAATAAAATCAACTTTCTTTTGACAATATTTTAAAAATGCATCCTGTATTTGGATTTACGCAAGAATATAAAGAAATAGAATAACTTTGTATAGTATTCGCCTAATTTGTATTTTAAATTTATTACGTACTTTATGAAATATATATTAGGTCAGTTATTGTCTGTCTAGATTCGCTGAATGGGATAAATTTGTTCAAAAACCGCATAAAATTTCAAATTAAGTTATTTTAAAGTAATATTTGAACGTATGTTAATGTGTTCCACTTTAGTTATAGTACCAGCATAAGTGTTTTAAATACCAACTTCCAGATAAAGCCTGATAACTAAGCGTTAACCGCAATTTTCAATCAACGATTTAACACACCCTGTATAAAGTAATAAAATAAAAGTTAAATTAGTCATATTACTTAAAATACAGAAGCTGTAGTCATAGAAATACAAAAAGAAATACCGAAAAAATTCATGACGATAAATGAACTGAAATAAAAATCTAAATTAAGCAAATATACTTTAAACAAGTATAAAAATTAAGTTACGTCATTCAAACGTCATTAGCGGTTAGATCTACGTATTTTAATACGCCGGTAATTTTTAAATAGTATATTAGCAAGTAATAATTGTATAACTTACCTTTTGGTTCACATCAGAGGTGCTTTTACATTATTCTCACGGAATACTAGTTGTATTTCACGTGTAGTTCTTGTTAGATGTCGCGTATTGCATTGCGCGGCTCGGAGTGTAGTGTGAATTGACATGCGCGTTCGCCCACGCTCGATAAAACCGCACAGCGATGAAGGCGCCCCCATTATTCTAACATTACAGACCTTCGGGAAAATCGAAACAGTTTTTCTACGCCTAAACGGGCTTATAATGAATGGTAGGGAATTGTTTTGTATAGTTTACATCAATTTATTAATAATATCATGAAACAAAATACCCTCTTTTGGTCACTTAGTTTACTATAACAAAACTTACACGATATTTTTTGAATTTAAAAAATAACTTTACTTTTTAAAGTAAGTTAAAAGTTACATATACACGAACTTCTCTATAATCAACAATATTTTCAATTTCTGTTATTATAAAATAAACATAATCGAATTAATTTAAAGCTCGTAGTTACTTAAAAAATTAAAATGGAGTATTTTAATCGGAAAAAATAATCTACTTTCCATTCTATTTCATAAATGATCGCTTCAATTAATGCCTCTAATCAGATATGTCGATAAATGTCATTCATGCGTAAAGAAAGTAAAATGTTGTGGCCCTTAAACTCGGGACTATTTTAAGAATTTCAAGAAAAAGGGTTGTTGTTGGAAGTATGTCACTAAATTTATTTACTGGCCATAGATAATTAATTAACAACACATAAGTTTTTATATGATTACTGGCAACAGAAAAATTACAATAATACTAGAATGACCATCTTAATCAGAAACATTATTAAATCGAAATAAGTAAAAGTAGTTTACACAAAAAATGTTACGAAAATAATTTAGTCTATCTTAAATAATGAGAAACTAACCTACATTAAACCAGAAATAGGAATCAAACAAGCTTATATTAGTTAGGGAATTGCTTCGTAATTAAGTTAAGCCCAATATCCTTGTCGGCTAAAGCTAATCTCCTATTTGGGGGCTACATATGAGTTGTATCCTTTTGTAAAAGTTAATATAATGAAATCAGTAAATGTAATTCGGCTTGTTGAAGAAGTTTCATAATATATAATATAAGATTAATGGCTAAGTTATTAAATTACTAATCTCGTTATATTTCTTTTCATAAAATACTTATAAGAAATAAGATCCTTTCATAATTTATAGCAGAATAATGGTAAAGGACATTTATTTACAACATACCAAATAGATAATGGATTTCGCAAATATTTTTTAGGATTTTCCTTTTAGTAAGATCAATATCTCTTTGTATATATACTCGTAAATTACATTTTCATATGAGACGAAACTTCTCATCATTCCGTGGATTCACCGTGAGGGTGCCGAGTCCATCGTTGTAGTGAGAGGAGCTTTAACAGTGCCTGGGACTAGAGACCCAGGGGTAGGTTTAATATATATCTAATGTCAATACCTAATCGAAAAGGATAATAAACCGTTTGTAACAAAAAAACAAGGTATAAAAAATTGTGTGTTATTTCACAAGGATGAAGAAAGGTACAAGAAACTTAAACAAAAGACGATTTGAACTTAAATGATTATGAGCTTAACTGACCATAGATAATCTTCATAAAAGATGATGAGAAAATTTAAGGAAATTACTTATTTCTACCATTCATTTATATTGATTAAAATAAATCTATAGTTCATCTATAGTTTTAACAACGCGAACTTACGTTTATTATACCTAACAGGAATTTAAACATAAAAATTTATTTCATTAGTATTTATGACTGAATTGGTTCTAAAGAATATAATGTGTAGTGTGTTAGTCAGTGGTGGCCCTAGTGGTTAAAAGGGCCGCCTCTCATGCATGAGAGCGCGGGTTCGATCCTGGCCCTAGCAAGGACCAATGTCATTTTTACGAGTCATATGTATTTTCTATGAGCATTTAGACATCACTGATTAATGCATTCCCAAAGAGGGTGAATGTCAGGCAGCCGGCCGGTTGTAAAAACAATTAGCCAAAAGTAATCACAACATGTAAGGCAGACCCTGGCTAAATCTGGTAAATTGCCAGGTAGAAGAAAATTGTGTATAGTGTATTAAAACATTACATATAGCAACCAACTGACAGGGACATCTATAATCTACGTGAGGTTACTTCAAACACAACTGTTGTGTCTTAATAATGAAGTAACTACACGAAATTTCGGGCCAAATAGTAGCAGTCTAAATTTTATTCGGATTTAAAAACTAGATTACAATAAAGTTTCATAAAAATGGGTTGTTGTTTTTTCATGACAAGGCAACATCCGTACATCCTTGAAAACTACCAGTTACAATTTTGTAGGATATGTTAAAAGAACTGAAAATAATATCCTTTACATTTTAATATTTGTCATCCACTTCAAGCAAAATACTATTAAAACTTCTATGTTAACCGTACCAATACATTTTAGATTGGGAGCACTATTTATATCGCAAATAAAATTGTTTGAATTAATGATCAATAAAAATATTCGTGTGTAGTTTATAATTTATTTACCTAACTTTAATTTTTTATAATGAGATCTAAGAATTTCATGAGTATTCATTTAAATCAACCTAATGTATTCGAATTACTACTTGTTATTTTGTTATTTTAAACTACATACCTACATTACTTTGCAACAAACGTCAACTCGTCTGCATGTCCGAAACGTAGGGAATATATAGTTTTAAAGTAATAAAATATTAGTAAGAAAATATTAGTTTTTTTACAACTACACAATACATATGCTAATGTTTAATAATAAATTAACTTGGCAAGTGAAAAATACCCTAATTTTAAATATTATCGCTAAAAAAACTGACTACACATCTTTTACGTCCGTTTTAATAAAATGAAATAATATTTTTTTTGTTTCATAAATTATTTATTAATTACAATTATTCATTTATTACAAAAAAATCAATTCAAAGACAGATATAAAAATTCATATCATTCATTTATTAGCATCTTCTTTGAGCGAGACAGTCCTATTGAAGACAATCTGAAAATTAAATACAAAAAATTAAAGCAAAAAAAATTTGGTACAAAAAATTATTACTGGCAACAAAAAAACTTTTTTTTGCATTTTTTTTAATGTTATTGGATATAAAACCTCGTTGGATGTTGTATCAGGATCCACGGAGAAGAATCCTATCCTCTCGAACTGAAACTTGTCGTAAACCTTCGCCCCTCGTATGGAACTATCAGCATACGCCTTTACAACCTCCAAACTGTTTTTACGACAATCTGACAGAAATCCTCCCGGGACTTCAGTTGTATCTTCAGGATTCTTGTGTTCGAATCTATGATAAATAGTTCTATGATATTTTCGTACAGAGTAGTTTTCAATTTCATATTAATCGTCAAAAAAAAATTTTTGTATTGGTGCGAAGTAGTCAAAAAAGTTTTTTTTAAATGCGAATGTAACAAATGAAAAAATTTGGAGTGTCGTGTACAAAAAATCTTCTAGTACAAAAAAAAATTGGGTACCGCTTTTTTGTAAAAGCTTATGTGTGGCACGGTATTTAGTGCATTTTTTTTACTATCTATCTTTTTGTTCTAATTAATCTTTGAAACGGCTTGACTAATTTTTATAAGCTAAGTAAGTATAAGCTAATTATATGGTACCTTCGAACGGAATATTCGGACTATTAAATGTCTTCATACAAATTGTTAAAAAAAGTTTCATAATTTTGTATTTTTTTTAATTAAAACTTCATTTTTGTGCTAAGCAATTTCGCGAAAAATAAAAGAACTGAGATATTTTATTTACAAAAATTCTAAGGTATTTTAGTATACTTATTTCTAGCATTTTTAATGGCACCGAAATGCGATAGTCGTAATTTTCAATGAAATATTCCCAAGAAGTAATATTAATTAATTTATTGCTACTCACAGCAGTTCATATAACCGAACTTCTACAGGCACGGGGTTTGACACCCAGTGTATGAAAGCTTTCGGTTTCTTCGCGACATCACTTGTCTCACAAGTACACTCCAATTCCGAGACTTTGCCTGTACTATCTTTTATAACATTCTTTACCTGAAAAAAAACAACGAAAATTTACTAAAGCAATTATTTCTTTCTGTTATATAGGAATAAGAAATGTCAATATATTTTGAGCTGTATTTATTCAAAATTTAAATGATTTAAATTAAAATTCAATAGGACAAAATATTTTCATGAAAAATGTGTATTCACTGTTTCGTAACTTAGATATTTTTTATGGGTATGAAGTTAGATTAATCCTTACTAATATTATAAATGCGTAAGTGACTCTGTCTGTCTGTCTGTCTGTTACGCTTTCAAGCCTAAACCACTGAACCGATTTTAATGAAATTTGGTACAGACATAGAGTTGACCTTGAGAAAGTACATAGGATAGTTTTTATCCCAGACTTTTGAAAGGTTCTCTTGGAAACGCGATATAAACGAACTCCACGTGGGCGGAGAGCTAGTACCTCTTAAATATTAAAACGACATAATACACATTAATTTCTGTAATAATAATAATATTTACTAACTGTTATAACATATCCCGCGTGTCTAAGACCGACTGATTGTGTGGGAGTGAGACGGCGATATCCTTTTTCCTCTTTCTCTTTGAAGTCCGATGCCTCTATATAAAGAACACGATCCAATATAACAGTGTGGGAACCTCTCTCAGGCTCTGTAGGGAAATCTGGTACTTCTATGGTCACTGGTTTGTCGCTTGGGAAATTGACGATAGTTATTTTCAACGGCTCCAGAACTACCATGACCCTGCGAGAAATTAAATGGAAATATTCTTAATGGCGTCTTAAAGAAAATATTTTGTAGAAGTCCCTACCAAATATTTTCCATGCCAAAATCCCTACTATCAATACTAATATTTTAAATATGAAAGTAACTCTGTCTACCTTTTCAAGCCTTAACAACTGAACCGATTTTAATGAATTTTGGTTTAAAGGTAGATAGAACCCTGGAGAAGGACAAAGCCTACCTTTCATACCGGTCCTGATCCCAAAACTAAACAGATGGAACCATCAAGTCCAGTTCGGGTTTAGTAGTAGTAGAAAGGCTTATTTTTATATAAAAATTTGAAATAAGACTTAAAATGCATATGTACACATGTACAGTGTACACATTAGTCTTCCATGTAAAAAGATACTACTAGTTTATTACAGTACTTACAAATTAAACAAAGTTGTTTTTTAGATAAAATAGGTGCAGTATATCCATACCTAGGTGCTGTAACATTAAGTACGTCTCTGATAGCTGCGTCTAATACACTTGGGTCTAAAGCACCAGAAGCCCCGGTTACACCAAGACCAGCGCAAAAAGAATTAATAGCTTGTGCAGGCGCGCCGCGACGACGAAGCGATGTTAGCGTGAACAAACGAGGATCATCCCAGTCTGTAATACGTTTTATACTCATAAACCAGTAGCAGTAGCATAAAAAATTCATAAGAAGAAGTTTATCATGTCGTCTCACTCTAACACATCTGCCGTCTCTTTCTACCAAAGCTAACATAATTCAGATATAAGAATCAAGTCGTGTCGTCTCACTCTAACATACCTGCTGTCTCTTTCTATCAATGGTAGCATAATGAAATGTACCATGAAAGACAAACTTAATTTTTTATGGGTGTGAAGTTAGATTAATCCCTACTAATATTATAAATGCGAAAGTAACTCTGTCTGTCTGTTACGCTTTCACGACTAAACCACTGAACTGATTTTAATGAAATTTGGTACAGAGATTGAGTTGACTTTGAGAAAGAACATAGGATAGTTTTTATCCCAGACTTTTGAAAGGTTCTCTTGGAAACGCGATATAACCGAACTTCATGCGGGCGAAGTTGCGGGCGGAAAGCTAGTATATAATAAATCTTTATTAATAGGATACATACCATTAACAATGCCCTGCTCTATAAGTTTAGCGATCTTCCTTTTAGAGACCACTGTGTAGTTAACATTCAATCTTCCATACTCCCATTGTACGGGGCAGTAAATATCTAGAGCATTACACAACCAGTAGTATGAAGACCTGAAAAGACAAAAAAACATATTTAAAAAATACACATTTCTATACTATTGTATTTATGACATGATAATGTAATTTTTATTTATCTCCAGTCTTTCTTTGACTTGTTTGTCTACTTCTGCTACCTGGCTATTTCCCAGCTATAGCCAGGGTCTGCCTTACATTTTTAAGAATAGTTTTGACTATTTGTTTTACGACCGGCCGCCTGCCTGACAATAACCCTCTTTTGGGAATGTATTAATCAGTGATGTCTAAATACTCATAGAAAGTACATATGACTCGGAAAAATCACATTGGTACTTGCCCGGACCAGGATCGAACCCGAATCCTCGTGCATGAGAGGCGGGCCTTTTAACCACTAGGCCACCACTGACTACTTTGTCTACTTGTTCCATAGTAACTATAATTTTTTTCTGTATAAATTACCCTATACTATGATGAAATAATAATTTATTTTATACCTCCTTGATTGAAACTCTTTGGTGCATAGCGAATGGGTGATATTCTCAATGCTATCACACAGACAGTGTGTGTAATCATATGTGGGGTAAATACACCATTTATTGCCAGTTCTATGGTGTGGTTTGAATTTTATCCTGTACGCCACGGGGTCCTGTTTACCCTCTTCTAGGGTAATTTTCATTCTAAGTGTTGCTTCCCCTTCATCAATTTTACCATTTTTCATATCCTGAAATACATATTAAACAAAATATTGATTAAAAATAGTTATGTTTCACTTTGATGAAAAGTTATTGATAATGAAATATAAACCATATTTCTTTCCTACAAATTTTATAATCTAGATTTTTGCTATATATATTTTGCAATCATTATGTAGTAAGTAATAAATTTTCATGTACCTCAAATAATTGTAAGCTTTCCTCAACGGGTCTATTTCTCCAAGGTGATGGTGGTGGATTAAAACCCTTGATTTCCTCAGACTTTTGATGGCAAACATATGCTAAATCCTTCTTTATTAATTTCACAGCCCACTCGTACAACTGGTCAAAGTAATCAGATGAATGAGTAATTTTATATGGTTTGTATCCTGAAAATTGAGTATAGAAAATTAAATATGGGTCATCATTATGTTGTTTAAGATTAATGTAATATTTAGCACGAATTTAAGTGAAATAGAAAACACAGAATTGAAAGGTCATTGACATACAAAGTATTCAATGTTCTAATCCTAGTAATATCAATGAATTCTTTATTCTATGTTTCTCTTAGGTTTAAATATAATTATATTGCAAACAAAAGTTTCTCTGTAAACCAAATTAGAATGAAAGGGTTTTCAAATTGTGATGTAAATTAAAAGCAATATATTATAGAAATAATATACCTAACCACTCCACCATATCCTTTATTCCTACAAAGAATTTTTCTTCTTCCTTTTCAGGGTTGGTATCGTCGTACCTCAAAAAGCAAACACCGTCATGGGCTGCGGCATAGCCAAAGTTTATATTAATAGCTTTTGCATGTCCTATATGCAGAATGCCGTTTGGCTCGGGAGGAAAACGTGTTCTTACTTTGCCATTTGTAGCTTTGAGGTGTTCTTCTAGAAGCTTCTTTGTGTTTGGCGTCACAACATAACCGTCACTTTTAAAGTTTTCACCCGGAGCATGGAAAGGTAACTTCTTCATTAACTCCGGCACTGACATTGCACTACCAATATCTCCTGATGCTGATAACTCATCGGCAGGTTTTGAACCTGTTATTTGATTTATTAGAACATTAACTTTCAATATGATTAAGAATTTATTAGTAAGAAATGTACTTCTGACCTTGTTTCTCCTCCAATTTAGGCTTTTTATTGCCGTCGCCTTTAGATTTTTTTTCAGCTTTACGCACTGGAGCCAAATCAGCATCTGTTTTTGGACCTAACAAATCCAGGATCTGTGATAAGGCAAAACTATGAATAAAATTCTGAATTAACAAAATCTTTATAGCTAAATAGATCTTAGTTATAATTTTATTACCTGAATGTCAACTTCATTTTTAATAGCCTTGCCATCAGCCCATTTGAGATCAGATCTCACAGCTTGCATGATAATACCAGAGTTGAAATGGTACCTCTTAGCTAATAATTCCTCTTTATACTTCGCCATATGTTTCTCGACAGCCTGTTCCACTTGTTCAGGAGTTATAACAACATTGATACCACAAGCTTCAACAAATTTATCAATATTGACCTTTGAATCATTCACATTTGCTAAAAGGTATTCTAATGCTGCATCTACTCTCAGTGTGGAATCCAAATTTCCATTTGCTATGTATTTACATACAAATGATAATTTGTCGGCGATTTGTGGCTTAATTTTTGTAGCCAGATGGTAAAGTAGTAAACCCGATCCGTTGGGTATATTTTTAACATCGACCTGAAATTAATTATACGTATTACACAAAAAATTTCTTCGTAATGCTTTATTATTTAAAAAAGTATAAATGAAATATATAACCTCATTTAATACAGCCAGCAGGCTCTTTGTAACGTTGGCATTTTTTAAAGTTTCTTTCGCCTTTTGTTCACTTAGCCCTAATAACTTAAAGTTTTCAATAGTTTCTTCTGGTGTCATTGCGATATTTACTAAAATATGTATAGATTTTGATATAAATAACCTCACTACATAAGCTTTTTAAGCCCAGGAAATAATCACTTGTTGTCAGTACTCAGTAGACTATCAGTCATAAAAACTGAAAAGTTCTATCTATCGACGTCAGTGTCAGATTGTCAGCTGTCATACCATATGTTTCTTATTTGTAATTGGACACATTACATTTCTTTTACAAAAAAAGGAAAATATAAAATTTACGTTATTTTATTATTCATGAAAATAACTTCTATTTTAAAAGAAAGGTAACTCTGTGAAAAGAGACGTGTTAAAGGACAAATTACCGTTATTAGAACTGAATTTCCTCTGCTTCCAGTACATCAGTAGGTGTAGTATCAATAATTAATAGAAATAATATTTTCTAATATACTTTTTTATTGACAAAATAAAAAAAATATATTTAAAAGTTCTAAGAGGATTAAATAAAATATTTTGTCCATGAAAAATGTTATCCAAATTTCATAACATTTATAATTTAAAGAAAATTTGTAGAGTAAAAAAAGTCATCTTAGGGTTGTGAAATTTTGTTCTAAGAAGTGAAATTGTCCATTATAATGTTCCGCACACTGTTCTGCATGACATGAGAAAAACTTAGCCTGGTTTTGAAATTTCCAATACATGTTTAGGGGTTTCATAAGTATAAAGTGAGTATGTGTATATGTCTTTAGCTTCTTAGCTTTCACAGGAATGGACTGATTTTGATACATTTTATTTGAAACCCAGTTTCTTTTGAAATAATTCGCCAACTATATTTGATCAATATCGATCCAGCAATGTAATCAGCTCTTTTCAAAAATTATTTTTTCCCAGTCACATTCGATGAAATACGTCATGTGTGCCAGTATACCTAATAGTTAAATGACAATTATAGCGCAAGTGGTTTTTTAAAATTTAATAAAATTTGTTACTTAAAGATATTATGAAATACTTAGGCTCATACTATTATCTATTCCAATAGAACCTTATAGGATACTAGATTTGGGCCGCGACTCCGTTCACATGAACATCAGAGTTTTTCTCTGCACTACGGCCACTAAACCCGAATCGCACTTCATGGTTCTAACCGTGTATTGTTGGAGTTAGGATCGGGCTTTGGGATTGAGTATATCTCAATCTTTATAAAGTAATCTTTTGCTAACAACTTTATAAAGTAACTTATGTCATTCTCCAGGATTCCATCTATACCAAGAGTCATCAAAATTGGTTCAAGAGTTTAGGTGTGAAAACATAACAGACAGCTCGAGTTACTTTCGCATTTATCTCCACGACGATTTCTATTATTAATAAAGATGATTGAATTAACCTACGCATTATTGTCATTAATTTATTAAATTTATATTTGGACATGAATTTGTGCAACGGCCATCGCTTTTTACCTGGAACGTCTACTCGCTGACAATCTTTTTGTAATAAAAAAATAAGGTTTAAATATGATAACAATATAATAACTATTATTTGAAATATAGCAACAAAAAATTATAATTATCCATATTGTCATTTCAAGTCAGTGGTGGTCTAGTGGTTAAAGGGCCCGCCCCTCGTTGCCGAAGGCGCGGGTTCAATTCTGGCCCTGGCAGGAACCAATGTGATTTTTCTGAGTCATATTATGTATTTTCTAAGAGTATTTCGACACCACTGATTTACGGTGAAGGAAAACATTGTGAGGAAACCTGGACTTATAATTTCACAATTATAAGTTTGAAATCACCAACCCGTCTTGAGCAAGCGTGGTGATTAATGCTAAAACCTTCTCCATGTGAGAAAAAGGCTTTTGCTCAGCAGTGGGCTCTGATAGGCTGATGATGATAAGTCTCATTTGTGAGCACCAAAAAATTGTTGTACCTATCTTAAATTTTTAGATCAACATTTTCTTAGAAAAAGAAGTCTTGAAAAAAAAAAAAAAATTAGTTTTATGATCTATTATTTTTGTTTATGTAACAGTATTGATGAATCATTTTTTTTGTTGTGGAAAACTCAAAGTATCGGAATGTTGACTTTTAACCGTAAAGAACTTTTTTGGGACAAATGCGATCAATAGGAAGTTTTGAAACTTTACTTTTACTCATGTACCCAAGGGCTTAAGTGAATTTCAACTCTGCCGGAGTATTTGTTATTTTAATCTTACTTTTAGTTCAATTTAAGAGGACTGTAAGTAACTTTTCCTTGTTGTAAATTATTGCTGGAACAGTTTTTATTAAAAAACGTCTTTTAAAAAATTTTCTTTTTAAAACGAATTCGATATTAAAACAAAAACAAGTACTGTTTCAATTTGAGACTATAATAAACATATTAAATGTTTTACAAAAGACCTGAATTAATAAAAAAAAAATTAAGTTCAGTAATTATGAGAAATTTTACTACACACAGCTGAATTTAACTTCTACGAAGAATTTATTCTTTATTGGATGCGTATTTGTACATTTAAAGTTACCTTTAACCTTTAAAGTATATTTTTAAGGCAAAATAATTATTTTGATAATGCAGATGATCATAGTAATTTTAATCTTATATATATTGGTAATATAATCACAAATAAAAATTGGTTGCCTGTAAAGTCGGTATACGGGCGAAAGTTTTACGTGACAACGACTTTGAGTGGTAAAATAATTTGAATGTGAATATTCATTCGTATAGTAGGAAGAAGGATGAAATAATAGTAACAATTTAAAACATTTATTTATACAAAGAATTATATTTAAAACATTAATTTATACAAAGAATCTCGCACTGAATTTCATATTAACAAAATTTTATTTTTACTTTTACACGTACATACGTATTTATATACAAATATACATACAATAACTTGCAATACATTTGCGTACAATGAAACAGCGTTTACTACAACTTAACTTGTTCCTATCTGAGTGATTTTGTTGAGGATAGGGCGATGATAGGATCACTTTTTATGTCTGTCTCTCTCGCTCTTAGGCGGGTTAACCATGCCCGAGTGGAAGGGACGCGTGCCTCTCACTCGCTCTCATTGTGAGCGCATGACGTGAGCGGAGCGTAACGCAATTTCTTGAAGTGTTACCCGGCAAACCAATTTATAAGACGTTGTCACGTCAAAATATTAAAAGAGGATAACCAATATCGCCCTGAAGATAAGCTATAACCACCATCGATAAAAAGCTGTAGTTGTACTCATCAAGAATTTACCTACTTCATGGATTCTAGTATTCAATTTAACAATTGAAAAAGAAATGTTCATCTGGTTTTATTAGGTTCTCCCAGATTAAAAAAGTTACCTATTTATAATCTGATAATTTTATTTAAAAAAAAAATACTTTAAATTAGACCACAATAGTCGAAAAAGTTATAAAAAATTTATTATAATGAAAGGTTTCATTGAAGAAATTATCTTTAAGATATTACACAACAATGTATGATGAGCCTTCCGAAATATCTGTGAAGACAAATATGTATCTTTGGCGGAAATTTTTTATACACGTGTTCGTTATAAAAAATTTCCGCCAAAGATTTCGGGCTCCTTTTTTGGAGAATTCTAGAAGCAAACACAGTCGGGTCTGTGAACAAACAAAGAAAAAGGAAATATAATCGAGATTTAGTATATTTTTTTCATTGTATTCTATTCGGATATAGTTAAAAATAGGTTAAACTTAACAGTAAAAAAGATATGCAGCTTATTTTTATTATAGTCAAGAAAAGCCATCTATAATGGCATATGTATTATTTAAGGCAATTCCATACTCGGGATTTTAGTATTACATGAGTAATTAGAAATAGGAGTTAACTAACCGAAGTGTAGAATTATTCTTTTATTCGTCAAAGGTGCATTCTATTCTATTGTGTGTACTATACTGTATTCTTCGGTTAAAGAATAACCCAGAAGTTTTGTAGGGTGGTAGAGTCTAACTGTAGTCAAGTTACTTCAGTTCGGTCATGGGCTGATTCGACCGGGGAAGTATCACCCTCTGATAGAAGATCGGCGTGAAGTAATCTTTAATGGCTGCGTTTCATCCAGTGAATGAGAGAGCCGTTTGTCCTTTCCCTTTTCCCATGCTTTCCTACCCTTCCCCTTTCCCTCCCTTTTCTAATTCTTCTTCTTCCTCCCCCTCTTCCGTAATCAAGGTTGGCAACACATCCGCAAATCTACGTTGTATATATCTATGAGCGACGGTAATACCTCCATCACTTCCGTCTGCTCGGTTCCCCTTTTTGAATAAAAAAAATTGTATTAATTAATATATTTATATGAATATATATGTATATATTTACACCTTTATATTATATATATCTATATAAATATCTCCTATAATTTTCATATTTATTTATAATGGATACTATAAATAAATATGCAAATTATAAAGTGTTGGTAAATATTGTTGAAGATTCATTGATCAGTCCTTACTCATTAAGCGTTGTAGGAAACGAGATGTCGGTAGTAAGTTCAAGGTTATATTAAAATAACGGACATTTTATTAAAATAACATATATTAAATAGAAATTCCTATCAATTTTACGTGGAAAAATATATGTATATTAATACATGAAAAAAACTCATCCAATTCAATTTCAAATACGACGAAGTTCAAGATAAATTAATCCAATAATCGCGTTGTTCTTGATGTTATATCCGATTTAAATCGGAATCGAATTTATGTAGGAAAAATTTTTCGCGTACAATTTATTCATAAAATGAAAACTTTTCCGGTAGATCATTTTACTTGGTCTTTCATAATAAAAGATTTAAATTAATTCAAAGTTTTTAATGGTATAAGCATTTTGGATACCATAAATAATTTATTTTTAAATTACTTGTAAGCTGGGATAAATTCTTGGAAATAAAATCAGAAGAGAATTTATTAAAACTAAGTTAAAAAGGTAAACAAAGGTAAAACAAAGTCAACCACAATTACACACTAAACTTAATTAAAATAAAAGGACTATGCTTTTTCCTAACAAAGAACTGTATGTTAGTGGCGATGCAGGATGCTTTTATTTTGACTTGACTCTTGCTATTAGCCCCATTACCTTTGACATCGTCATGCGGATGCTGTGCTTTATTATATTACCTTACATACCTAGTTTCAGGTAAATTAGGTTTCAGGTAAATATCCTCTTTCCCAACACTAACTAGCTATATTATAGTCATAAACTACACTCATTTACCCTTGGTTTGTCCTATGTCCTGTCTTATTTCTTATTTTCAATCACAAACTTTCGATCCTGGTATGTACTATTGTGATTTTTCCGAGTCATATTTACTTTCTGTCAGACGGCGAAGGAAAACATCGTGAGGAAACCTGGACTTATAGTTTCACAATTATAAGTTTGAAATCACCAACCAGTCTTGAGCAAGCGTGGTGATTAATGCTTAACTTTCTCCATGTAAGAAGAGGCCTTTGCTCAGCAGTGGGCTCTGATAGGCCGAAGACGACGAATCACAAACTTGTAGTGATTATTTGTTACTATTTACGAATCATAAACTGAAAACGCTTATGTTTAACGATGCAAACTTTTAGTAAGAGCACTGTATGTTTAGTCCTAATTGGCATAGTGAGAGTACATACTGAGTTTTAATAGTTATTCATTCATTTATCTTGTCAAATTATAGTATTAAAGCTATTGAATTAAAAACGGGAACGTTTCGTATGTAGTGTGACAATTCAAACTTGGGGAAAGCATACTATTCGTGATTTTAGGACAAACCAAACCTTCTAATGATACAATAACACAATCTATACTCAAAAATATATGTAATAAAATTATTAGGCTATATGCGTTCTTACAAAAAAAATGTGGAATCTACTAATTACATACATAGTATTCCAAGAGCATTAAAGAAGAAGGAAATTAAACATGAAAAATACTAAATGAGGAACGATTATGGTAAATTCGTGTGAAGTATTTACTGAAGTTATGGCTCGAATATATAATTGATGAATATGTAAGAGGTATTTGCATGGAAATGTTGGTGATAAGTACCGAGGAATTAGAAGAAATTACAAAAAAGAATTAATTTAAAAGTTAAAGAATAAAATCGGCTTACACACCAATTATTATTGCGAATAATATTACTTTCACTACCTTTAAAAAAATTAACAGTATTAAAGAAGAGGTGACTTTAATATCTTAAAATTGTCTTATAAATAATTATTTATAATATTATAATAATGTTACTCGTTTTATATTATCATCTTGCGTACATATTTAAAACTACGAATTTTGATTAAGTTACAGATGAAGATTCACCTTTTCATTTCCATTAAATAGTATTTTAATTTCAAACGAATAGAATCGTCTGGATTCCATAGTTCCAAGTTAGATATAATTTCTTTGAAATAAATAATCTTTATTTTAGTAAAATTCAACTAAATTAAGCAATAAGCTTAGATTCGTATCCTTTAATAAAGAAATTGTAGTAATAAATTACGGAAAAACAATTCTATTATTTATTTCAAATACTTAAAACCCTTTCAGATGAAATCTAAATGAAACATATACCCTATAAGTCAGAAAACTGAATAAAAATAGGAAGATGTTCTGACCATCCCATACAAGTCCTATTTAAGTTTGCTTTGTCGAAACTTACCTAAAATATTTTGTCATGTAACTATGGCTAAAATTCTTAAGATTAGTTATTATTATTAATTAAACCACTAACTAAAAAATAAATTGAACATTCACGCCGTCCGAACGATAACTTTTGCATACAAAAATCATTGTAATTTGACTAAATCCAACCTTTGTTAATATTGGATAAGTAAATATAATTAAAGATATATAGATAGGTGTATATATATTAAATTGGTTCATATATTATAGAACTCAAAGGTATGTATCAACATATTACATAAGGTATAATACCTGCCACGTTTTAAGTGCATATTGTTCTTCATTTTCTTTATGACAATGGCATAACAAGGAAATGTTTGATCGGAATATGACAATCTGCATTGTAGTTTCTAATTGAAATATTATATAACAGTATATAGTTCTGTACTATATTTTGTAACAAACTCAAACTATTAACTGTGGAATAATTTACAATGAAATTAACTTTTATTTTTATATGTTTTAAAATGGTTTTTATGGACTGTTAACGAGTATTATAGTTGCGCTGACATAAAACACGGGCTAAGTAAAACTTTAAAGATTAATAAAAATTAATTGTCATTTATTTAAAGTTCTGTAGCGAAACGATACAATATATAACTATAATATTATATATAGACTAGTCAGTGGTGGCCTAGTGATAAAAGGGCCGCCTCTTATGCATGAGGGTGCGGGTTCGATCCTGGCAAGTACCAATGTGATTTTCCGAGTTATATGTACTTTCTAAGAGTATTTAGACATCACTGATTAATGCATTCCCAAAGAGGGTTGATGTCAGGCAGGCGGCTGGTCGTAAAAACAATTAGCCAAAACTATTCACAACATGTAAGGCAGAACCTGGCTAAAGCTGCTAAAATTGCCAGGTAGTATTATATATAGACTAGTAAAATGCTATTTAAAATGTTAATCTTTGATTTATGCTTCTGATTTAAATTGTTATGGTTCTTATTTATTAAAGACATAGAAGTTTATTTGAAAATTGCCTTTTAGTTTTTGTCCCTGAAAAGTAGCGTAATATTCTCTGTCAATTATTCAATAATAATATAGGAATAAAGAATATAAACATCATTTTCATAAACCAGGAAAATACGCTTCAAGCTATGCTTAGCTGGCGCTGAATAATATGAAATTAATAGATACAACAAAAGTGTATTCGAAAAATATGAAATAAAAACATAGAAGGAGATAATGGGAAATATTTGAGGAAAGATGAGGATTTTCCTATTGACTCAAGGGTGAGACGAGAAGTTAAAAATAAAAGTTTTTGTATATTGAGGCGACCCTATTATTATTAAAATACGGATATGTACGCGAAAAAACTGGAAAACTTTATTTTATTTAGAAGCTCTATTTATATATAAAGAGCCTCATAAATATAAGACGTCTTTGCTAACTTAAACTTTCATAATAATTAACATGAGGATTTAATTACGTCTTTATCTACTAAAAAGACAGACAGATTTTATTCTAAACTCAGAAATTCCAACGAACTCAAGAAAAAAGCATACTGCTATGAAACTAGAAAATTTTATGAACTAGCAAGTCTATAATTACTGCTCATTATTCTGAACTTGTATATTTGAAGTAGTTTTCACATCAATAGAGAGATGTATAAAAGTATTTTTGAAAGTAATCCAAGTCAATAGAGTAGAATTTACATAGTTTAATAACAAAGAAGTTTCCATTGAACATTTCCTTATCTTATTACTTAAATTACCCACTCTTTTGTATAAATAAAAATTGTGTATGATTAATAGACTCCCTGTTATCTGTTTCTGAATGTTCTATGAAAATTGTTAAAAAGATTTGAAATTATAGTTAACTGATTTAATTTTAAATGAAAAAAATAAACAAATAGTAAACTTGTTTTGTTTTTATTCTTACATATTTTAATAGAGAAAATTCATTATTTTCCATTATATTTATCGACAATAGAGAATCATCCAATTATAAACTACAAAAGAGCTTTTCAGTGATATATTATAACATAATTATGATGAAAACAAAACAAGGCTGTACATCATTGTTATAACAAAAGGTAACAAAGCGTGGGATCGTATCACCTGATAATCTAGTGCGACGCACCCATTACGGCTACTCATATGGAAATATCGTCAATATGTGGAGACGAATTTATTAAGCCAGGATTTAATGAGGTCGACACATGACACGGCAGACGCGTTAAAGCTAAGGTCAGGTAGTTGCTTATGAGTCGTTAGTAATATGCAGAAATAATTGTGTATTGAGAAGGTTTTTCATTGATTTGTTTTGGCTGGATCGCTATTATACCACTAAATCACTGAAAAAGACGGAGAGAAAAAATGTAGAGTAAGGATACAAAAACATAAATTCGCTTATAAAAGAAACAGGTTTTCCTTTATTTTTTTTAGCTGTAAAATTCTCATCATTATCTTGTCATACGAGAAATTATATTGAACTAAAATACTTTCAATTTATTGTTTGTTACAACTTATTTAGGTACTTTGATTTTTTTTCATATATTTATTATAAGATATATGAATTTCTAATAAATAGTTAAACTAGACATAAACAAATAGCGATATTAGTTTCTTGGTATCCCTTACTAAGAGATCTCATTCAATATAACGTATAATTGTGGTTAAATCATTAGTTGATTACTGAGGGCATGTCGGAAACTCGGAAACCGCAGTATCTGTGCGAGCGTCTAGCGGGTCACTCGCGCTACTGAACCGACTTACGCACAGAAATGAATACGTAAATTTAATAATATAAATATGGATAAAAATTAATATATATATAGAAGACATGTTCCGATACGAGTTTCTTCGGTTTTGTAAGTTACTATTACATATTTTTTTCAATATTACTTTATTATTTGAATAAAACTTAAATTTAAATGAAAATCATCAATGACCAACGTTGAAACTATTTCACGATATCTGAGTCAGTGTATCAAACTTATCCTGGGCTTACAAATAAACATAAATAAGATTTATATCGTTTATAAACTATACAAAAATAGTATTTTTGTTAAAATAAATGTTAAACGTACATGAAACTTCAAAGCAGATGGAAAATTTTACGTATGTTTATAACGAATGCGTTAAATGTAACAATCGTTTGTTGTTATAAAAAATATAATTAGAATTACGAATATAAATAGAGCGACGTAAAAATGTGATCAATTTTATTATCTTCTGTCTATAAATTGTATGGTTTCTCAATGATATTAATTGTTTTTTCAGTGCGACATTAAATGTAGTGAAAGGGTCTAACAGAATTAATTAACCAACTTGATGGTCGCCCTCGTAACAATGAACCCTACTACGATTTCTCCGAAATCATCATTAGCAAAACTTGTCCTCTATCCTAAGCCCAAACCCTTTAAAGTCATGGTTCTGGGACAATCAGGAGTTGGAAAATCTGGTAAGAAAACTTATAATTGCATCACTTTGTACATGTTTAATACAAGTTTGCCTTATTTTGTGTACGTCATATGATTATAAACTTTATATTTGAAGTAGTTATGATTCGTATTAATTTTATTTTCATAATCTTTAGTTTATGAGATCAAAGTAATTTACTCTTAAGTTTAATTAACATTAAAGTAAATAGTATTTTATAATATGTTATACCAAAGTTTAAAGATAATGCTTAAGATTCGTCGATTATTAATATAGAATTTAATTATGTATATTAACGATATTAATACAGATAAGATAAACTAAACATTTCTTTGCAAATTATTTCAGTTTTTTTTAGAATTAAGTTTATTATTCGGATTGTATAAGAAGTGTTTAATATTGTACTTAACTCAAATTTTGTTAAATATTAATCAAATATTCTGTTAACGCTCGTTGGAATTTCATCTAAAATATTATGACATTTTATCCGAAATAATTTCAAACATCTCAAATATTTCTGAACTCACGAATTTTCACGAGAGCTTGATATTTTTTTACACAAGCCATTTTATCTGTATTCCGAAGTTCAGAGCGCCCTTGGATGAGATAAGAACTAATAAAACGTTTATCCTTCGCACCTTGTATATTTAGAACATTTATAGAAGAAATATGTATATACACACACAAATACACACACACACACACACACACACACACACACACACACACACACACACACACACACACACACACACACACACACACACACACACGTGCACGCACGCACGCACGCACACACACACAAACATAATATGTATATATGTATGTATATCTTCAACGAATATTGTTATTATTATATAAATATAAAAATATTTACATACTACGTATTACCCGAAGCCCTACACCCTCTAACGAAAATTGTTAAATTAAAATGTATACTTGTAAAATGTATATACCTACATGTATTTCGCTCTTATAGTGGAGAATGGAGATGCATTATTAAAAAGTTGTATTAAAATCCGTACTATTAAGTAAATACACATACAAACATTCACACATCTTTTACAAGTGTTATTAACAGCATTTAACCTTACACTCTTTACTTTCTATATGTAGGAAGCAAAGTTTTTATTGCGAGTATACAATTTATTGGCCATATAATTTTATGACGCAACGATTTACTCGTACGAAACTGTAATAACTGTTTCAATGAAAACTTTGAATCAATTATCATGAGCATTGGTTTTGATTATCGATACTTGTGTAGAACTAACATCAAAGCGTTCTCTTGTAAACTTTATCATAGCAAGAACTTATTAAATTGTATAAAAAAAACATCTTTATTAATCTTCTTCTACCTGGCAATTTCCCAGCTATAGCCAGGGTCTGCCTTACATGTTGTGAAAAGTTTTTGGCTATTTGTTTTTACGACCGGCCGCCTTCCTGTCATCAATCCTCTTTTGGGAATCAACATTAATCAGTGATGTCTAAATACTCTTAGAAAGTACATATGATTCGGAAAAATCACATTGGTACTTGCCCGGGCCAGGATCGAACCCGCGTCCTCGGCGACGAGAGGCGGGCCCTTTAACCACTGAGCCACCACTGATTTAATAATAAAAAAACATCTTTATTAATCTATTTATAATATTTGTTTTACAGCTCTAGTAGTTAGATTCATAACTCGTCGCTTCATTGGTGAATATGATCCCAATTTAGAAAAGATATATAACTTTCAAACAGTCATAGATAATGAGACTGTTTATTTTGAAATACTAGATTCAGCCGGCGATCCTTATGTGAGTGTTCATTTTTATAATATTTTTTTATTATCTAGCTAATACATTTTTGTTGAATCAACGAGTTTTTTGGTCATGATTTCAGTTTATAAGTTATTTTGTTTTCAGGAAAGTGAATACGCCAATCTAGAGACAAACATACGATGGGCTGAAGCGTTCATATTAATGTATTCGGTAACAGATAAGTGCTCGTTTGACGAGTGCCATCGTTTGAAATTTCTCATCAATTATAATAAGAGACGACGTCGATTGGCTTCCTCTATGAAGGTGATTATATTATTATAAGAAATTATTGATAGCTATCTTGTTCTTCCTGGCAATTTCCCAGCTTTAGCCAGGGTCTGCCTTACATGTTGTGAATAGTTTTGGCTAATTGTTTTTACGACCGGCCGCCTGTCTGACATCAACCCTCTTTTGGGAATACATTAATCTGTGATGTCTAAATACTCTTATAAAGTACATATGACTAGGAAAAATCACATTGGTACTTGCCAGGGCCAGGATCGAACCCGAACCCTCGTGTATAAGAGGCGGGCCTTTTAACCACTAGGCTACCACTGACATTTCTGTAGCTAAGAATGTATCCAAATATTACATGAATCGCCTTCAGTTAGTACGAAGTGATAGAGTATAAAGGAAAACTCGTAATACTTAATTTACGTAATCAGAAACAAAGTAATGAAAATCTTTGTCAAAATAATATTTCCATAAACTTAAAATTAATTATGTGAAACCTTTTATCACAGAACGTTTCATATTATGAAATTTAATAATATACTTTGAAACAATTATAAAATATAATAATATTTTTCTATAACAATTTGTTTGAAGGTATTTCGTTTCAAATGGTATTAGATATCTGTTTGCACGCAAGAGTAGCTGCATTTATTTGCTACCTGTTCACATGTTAATATGATATAACATAATCATTAAGTTACATTTATTGTAAATTTTTACGAAGAAGTTGCTTGTTGATGATAAAAATCTGATAAAATTACAAAAATCTTAACAATAACGCATCTTTTATAGAATCCCTACTAATATTATAAATGCGAAAGTAACTATGTCTGTCTGTCTGTTACGCTTTCACGACTAAACCACTGAACTGATTTTAATGAAATTTGGTACAGAAATAGAGTTGACCTTGAGAAAGAACATAGGGTAGTTTTTATCTCAGATTTTTGAAAGGTTCTCTTGGAAACGCGATATAAACGAACTCCACGCGGGCGAAGCTGCGGGCGGAAAGCTAGTATCACATAAATAAAGTCTGAATTAAACCAATTTCTCGCCAGTCATCTGTTTATTATAGAAGTTGTTTTAGATACTAATCTTTTCAATTAATAGTTTAGTTCAACCGCTATTACTAGAATCTCAGGACATACAATATTGTTCGCGTTGAGATACTTTCTCAATCTTCCTTAACAAGTTTCAAATTTCCATCGTTAACGAGTTAAAATTTTTAACAAGGACGATTTCTCGGGTAGGATTAAAGAATTTTTTATTCTTTCTGATATTATGCATTATAGGATACTATATACCATTTTTATATTTTTTTTTTGTATTTTACGACGCTGTATAAAGAAACAATAGCCGAAAACTAGACAATGTAACAGAAAAAACATGTCCAATATTTAAGACAACAATTAATTATAAATCAAATTAAATTTTAATATACAACAATATTGTGTCACTTAAAGAGTATTTTTCTGATTGTTTAACTAATGACTGTATAATGTATCAAGGATTATATCTTCTTCTTCTTTTTTCTGCCTGGTCCCACTTTATGTAGGGTCGGCACAACATGTTCTTCTCTTCCAGTCTCGACTATCAGCCGTCATCCCATTGGTTACCCCTTTCTTAGCCATGTCATCCTTCACGATTATACATAGTTATACAATTTTTTTGGACCTAAAAAGATGGAATTATTGCAGTAATAATACTATTTTCAAACATCACGATAAATAAGATTATTTAAAAGTTTCCCAAAAATGAATATGTTTTAGCAATTATAATATGACTATTAGTTTGAACTGAAAATTTATTGTACAATTTGAGAGTTTTTATATTCTTTTTATTGAGTAACCGAGTTATTGTTATAATACTAATATATTTACTTAACACGAAAGAAAACACGACTACTGAAGAAACTGACGCCAAAATATTTTTAATAGTAATCATTTATAATTGTACATAAACTTTATATTCAGGAACAAAAAGTTATGAGAAATATAATTTACTGAAGATATTATAATTTTTGTTTCACTTCCTTATGAATAAAACTTAGACCAATATTCTGAGAAACTTGTGTTTTTGTCGCTATCCAAAAACTTATATGTACAGCTTATATTTTACGAAATGTGAGAAAAATAATTTATTTACATATTCAAATAAATATAAACATTCAAATATTCACAAAAAAACTAATAAAATGGCTTAAATTAGGTATACAACAATTGCGAGTGCAGTTATCAACGCCAAACTTTTAAAACGTTTCAGGATTTCGGATAACGCTCTGATAAGTAAAGCTATTTAATTTCAGGATAGCATACCCGAGACTCCTGTAGTGTTTGTGGGTAACAAAGTGGATCAAATGGGCGACCGCATGGTTAGCACTGAGGAAGGACAGCGGAGAAGCAAAGAAATAGGATGCGTTTGTTTCCACGAGATTTCTGTCAGGGAGAGTATTGACCAGGTGAGGAGTTATGACGTTTTGTTGATTAAATATATTCAGCAGATATTTTCTTTGACGCTGCCAAAATTAGTAACAACTTATGAACTTCAATATATTTCAGTTTATAGAGAAGTTGTATGCATTTTATTCATCTCTTTCTTGTTTATCCCTACTAATATTATAAATGCGAAAGTGACTCTGTATGTCCGTCTGTTACGCTTTCACGAATAAACCACTGAACTGATTTTAATGAAATTTGGTACAGATATAGAGTTGACCTTGACTAAGAACATAGGATAGTTTTTATCCCAGACTTTTGAAAGGTTCTCTTGGAGACGAGATATAACCGAACTCCACGCGGGCGAAGCTGCGGGCGGAAAGCTAGTAGGTAGTTAATATAGTTCATAATTGGTGAAAATGAAGTGAATAGTAATATATATATATTTAAAAAACGTTGTCTAACGCCATTAGGATCACCATATCGCTTTACTAAAGCTACCGCGTTGTGAAATGATAAAACACTCATGATATCTTTATCAAAATCAAAACAGACAAAAAAAATGCAATTTTTGTAGTGTTTTAATTTTTTTTATAAGACCAATATATATTCTAAAGCGAATGCAAATCATAAAATCTTTAGTTTTCTCCATTTTTATCAGAATTTATATGACTAGTATGGCACAAATTTTTAATTAAGCAAATTAGAAATTAATCACCAATTAACTCAAATTTTATATACTAAATTGTATACAAAAGTCAAGGAGATACTATTTACAAAATAATTTGAAATTATAAGATAAAATAAAATAAGAATGTAATAAAATATAATTCTAAATATATTGTGTTGTGTTGAAAAATTTATGTTTTAAGAAATAAGCGTCAGATTTCTAGGTGATAGTAGTCATAAATAACTTTGTCATTTTTATTTATATTTTTATATTCATTTAAAACAAAACCACTAGCAGTTTTTCGTGACTCCATCTGAGAAATTCATAATATTTTATAAACACAGAAATCAATCCTGTTTGATTTTTTTATGTACATACATAATTAAGTTTTATTACTGTTATGTATAAACATAGTTTATTGTGTGAGTTAATAAGTCATTTTAAAAGCAAATCTTTACTACACAAACTAAGAAAAATATTTCCTTTTATAAGAAAGTATTTTAGAAAAATAACAGTCAAAACGAAAAGTATAAAAAATAAAAAATAGTTACAGGATATACTTTAAAATTTTCACACATCTTTGTAATTAGAATGTAAGTGGAATGGATTACCTTAGGTAGTTATTTTTATAATGATATACTTTTAGTGCTCTTTTCATGAGGTAAATAAATGTCATATTTGAAACATTATATTTATCCATATACAATTTATATTAAAATTGACCTGAACATCCACATTACATGCCATTAAAAAAGACATTTATAAAGAATCGACATCTTATAGCATCTAAACAGTTTATAGGGTACTTTACCTGGCTAATAGAAAATTATATAGGGCAGCATATACGTAACATAAGAGCAATATTATGGGATTCCATCTTTAATATTAAAATACCTTAAAAACTTCTTCTTCTACCTGGCAATTTCCCAGGTTTAGTCAGGGTCTGCCTTACATTTTGTGAATAGTTTTGCCTAATTGTTTTTATGATCGGCCGCCTGCCTAACATCAACCGTCTTTTGGGAATGCATTAATCAGTGATGTCTAAATACTCTTAGAAAGTACATATGACTCGGAAAAATCACATTGGTACATGCCGGGGCCAGAATCGAACCCGCGCACTCATGCATGAGAAGCGGGCCTTTTAACCACAAGGCCACCACTGACTTTCGTAAAAACTATGCAATCATATTTTTTTACCTTTATAAACTCTTAACGTATGTGATCAACTGAAAAAGAGATTAATTTACAAAGCGATGTTATTCTTAAAAATCATGAAATATACATGACATGTAATACATCTTTTGATGACGTAATTTTCATTTAATTTTAAATATTTTACATAAAACTTGTCCTTTAATGTCTAATTCGTTGCGAGTTTTAATCCAAAATGATTTATAACCATCGTGATCATACACGAGGGTAATTTGCGTGCAATAAATCACTAGCAACTGTTCTCAAAGACGCACCCAGAAACCAACGCGACATACAATACCCTGATAATAGAATTAAAATAAAACTTCCTTTTCATTTGCTTTATTCACGTAAAGAATGAAAAAGCACGCAATCATTAAAAACATTAATTCCTTGATCTCTTCATTATGAGAAAACTTTAGATTGAATAAAATTTTTGTAATTTAAATCTATGTTTTATATTATGAGACAATTTCCACGCGTCAGATTTTGTGTACAGAAATTTCATTTCTTCCTAACAGTTGTAATTTCCTTCCAAAGTAAATTGCTATTCGTAAAACGCCATTTGCTTTTGGCAGATAATAAATTAATAATAAATAAGATTGTGTTAGTGTCTTTTGTCTACAACTTTATATTTACGTTGAAACTTACGTTAAGTAATGAATGATGGAATTATTGAGTAATTAATGAAGGTAAGAAAACATTATATTAAGGAATAATCATGTTTTTATGTTGTATTTTTATTGTGATATCATTACAAGAATATCATAATGAAATAGATTTAAGAATCATCATATTCAAACAATTTTAAAGGCAGCAAGAAATTAAACTTTTCGCTGTGCAATAAATTTAATTAGGGTAGAATTAATACCATGTAGCGTGAATAAAGGAAGAAAAACGAAAATCGTAAACTCAAAAGTTTTAACGGTTTGCTACGAGTATTATAAAGTTATTAGTAGTTGAAATATCAACTGCGACCTAAGTTATAAAGGGGTCACAGTTTTCTTATAACAAATTTGAGTTTTTCATTCTCTCTTAATATTTTTGTTACAAAAATATTCAGTAATTTTTAGGCTACTTCGTAATTTATTACCGGACGGAAAAATAAATATTTTTCGATTCTGAAACCTCAGATTACAAAAGTGAAATTTCTTTTTTAATGGGCTATATCGTTTATATTTCTCGATTAAACGTACAATGTTTTATAAAACTCGATTTTCATGAAAAAAAAACTTTAAAAACAAGCTAACAAAATATACTTTATTTGTACCAATTGCAGTGTATATTAGTGTAAATTTTCACGAATAACATTTAGTAAATATAAAATATATAAAAGACCCAACATCGTTACATTAATACAAACCTTTATGATTAAAACATAACAACAATGAATAATAATTAAATTAACGAAATTAAAATTAAAGACATCATTTGCGTCTCTATGTGGCTTTTAAAAGACGTTATTATAAAGTATAAACACTTATATGACTACTGTGTTGAAGTATCGAATGGTTGCATTATTAATCTAAATTTACATATATATTTTTCTAATGAGGTCGTTAGATAGGGGCCCTTAAATTCACACCTGGGTCATAAGTCCCAGGCACTGCTATACCTCCTCTACCTACAAACCAATGAACCCGGCGCCTACACGGTGAATTCATGGAATGATAAGAAGTTTCTTTCCCCTAAATATGATTTATACAACGTAATGTACCCTCATGAAGCATTAAGTATTATAAAAATTAAAATCAGCTTCAGCATTTCTCTACTCAAGTATTTCTGATTAAAACTTATGTATCATCTGTCTTGTCTTATCATGATTGATTTTTTTGGTCTGTTTCTAAATTAAGTATTTTTTGTATCGAGGTATGGAATGTTTTTCGCGACGCTCGTCGTTTCTGGCGCGTCGGCAGCAAGTGGTCCCGAAGAGACGAGGTTCATGCTGCTTTGGCGCGACCACTGGCTCGAGCATCCTCAGACACCTGTGAGAATAATATAAGTACACCACTATGTGAGTAGTTTACATTTATTATTGATGTGTACCGAGTATATTGATGTCAATTACTTAAATCATATCTATAGTAATATTGCATAAATTTCAACATTAAAATAAAGGTTTTGATTTATAATCTGCAGTGAGATACTGAGAGCGATTGTAATTTAAACGCTGTAATATTTTAAATAAAAACCTATTGGATGCAATGCATGCAAAACCTTTTGGGTTTGTATGCCATGCCAGTTCATGGAGAACGAATAATAAAAATGGTCTGCAGTGATAATTTTTCGTATAAAATATGACATACACAAGCTTCCGTGCTTATTTAAAAACTAATAATTTAGTGTTGAGGTTTAAATAAAATCTCTTGTCTGTGTCAAATAATACCTTTCAAGTCTACTTACCTAAACTAAATGACTTGGTTGCGAATTTTTTTTTTTTTTACATTATTCTTTCAAAGACTGAATGATAACTATAAGTGACATCGGAGCCTAATTCAATAAAAATGCCTTTTATTAAGGAATTTCAAAAAGAGTTTGTATTACAATCGAAATGTAAATACAGCGCTGACGTAGATATTTAAAGTTTGTAATCTGTGGGTCAATTGATGTAGACGTACAAAAACAATGAAATAGGTAGCTACTTAACTTACAGACACTAATTCATTAAATATTATGCATCTTTATCACAATAGCTCAAATGTTAAAGCAATTGGAACTCGATATACCAAAAGTTCCAGATTCAAATCCTAACCATGTTGAGGAATTTTTCATGTAAAATTTGTATCGTATTTGTGACGTATTATTTTATAAACAACATTGACGAAAAATCTATTCTAATATATAAAAGATAAATGCTATTTACTAAACTAAAATGCTTTCAGCGTTTTCTAATTTCAATATGTTTCAGGACAAGCTGTTGGGGTTACGTAATAAATTGCATGTAACGCGTCATTAAACATTCTTGGGTTAACGTTTTAGGATTCGTATAATGTGTATCACTTACTTCGCCCTTATATTGTAAATAAATGCTGAAGGATTAAATTAATATTTTTATAATATTTCAAATTTATATTCTCCCTTCTTCCCCTAAAAAACCGTCAGTTTAATAATCATAAAACTTGTTAAATTGGAATTATGTTTTAATTTTAATGTGACAAAAACCCTCATGTAACAATAGATTAAAATATTTCGTAAGTCTTTCTTTCAAAAATAATGAAATATTTCGATTTACAATATGAAGCGCAAAGTGTCTCAAACGTATATGTTCTGTTTGAAATGTAATTTTTAAGGCAAAATTCGTTTCAATTTACTGCCTAAATACGAATTACCTCAAGCTTATACTGTATAAGATTTTTAATAAAACATTTTACTGGTTCTATAGTTTCAGTTCAAAATAAGTTTACTTATAGAATGTCGTGTCAATCTTTACATAAAATATTCATACCTATTACGTAACAAATTTACCTCATTGTTAGTATTTCATTTATCAAATTTACTTTGTTTAGTTTTAATCAAACTTAACTTAAATCAGGCAACATGAAATAGGTAGTATTAATTATAAACTTTGATTATAGGGTGCTATAATCATATCAAAATGGATTAACCAATTTTGTTAACCATACACCTTATACATACAGCTTAGTAAAACTTTTAATGATTTTCACAGGCACGCGGTTTACTGAAATGGATTTAGACGGGAGTGGGGAAGCGTGTTTGGTTCGAAGTGATTCCACTTCATCATCAGGACAATCGGAGAGCTTGGATGAGTTTCGTGGTCGAGCTAGCACAGACTCCCGTCTCCCACCGAGGCCAGAACGACAAAGACATCCACCACCTACCCGGCCTTTGCCCCCACCGGTACGACGTATGAGCGTCGCAATGAGAGGAAATAATAATAGCACGTATTAAATATTAATAATACCTAAATGTTTATTCCTTTAGATATAATAGTTAAATAAAACATACTTATACTATCACATGAAATGATAGAAAAGGGCAGTTTACATTCGATTACCGAATCGATTTAATTAGTAAAAGGAATTACTTTATGTGAAAGTACATAAAATAAAAATTTTACATTATTAGTCATACATGTGATAAGAAATATATTGGTCTAGTCTTGTCGAGTTATATCCATTAAATTTTATATATTTAATATATACATAATGTAGTTAAAATAGTTTTCGATTAAAAAATCTCTGATAGTATTTAACGGCTATTACTTTGTCGATCCTACGCTATCTAAAACAGGTTGAAAATGTGTCAAACTTAATATAAAGAAAAATACATATAATATATAATTTTATTACGCTAAAAGTAGATGTTATTTACCATTAGTAATAAATTATTATTCATTTAAATAAGAATTTACCAAAATCATAAAAATCGTAACATGAGATCTCAGTAGCTTAAATGTAATGATATCCATCTCTTTATATGTAATTATAAATTATATAAGTAATTTTAATAATATATTTAAGTTCAACATATATATTGACGTAATTATATTTTACATCAGGCTTTAATATGAAATTTTGTATGCAAAATGTAATCTACTCTCATACATAAAATTTTAATAAACTCATAAAACTAACGTCACGTTTAAAATTTATATTCAATAAACAAGTAGTAAAGGAAATTGTTATATTAATTTTACCGATTATAGCTGATTGGACTATAATATTTTAGCTATATATTAATTTTCATTACAAAATTACAAGATAAAATCTATGATCAATGTATAGAAATGGATTTTGATTAATTTTTAATGAAACAAAGCATGAAATCGTGTAATTTTATTTTAACATCACAAAATTTAATATAATATACCTTATTTTATTTATTTATAATAGCTGTTTAAAAGTTATTCAATGGTACCTGCTTTCTAGTTAATTATATTATTATAATGTAATGGAATTTAAAGAAATAAAGATGTTTCAATAGTATATATATATTTTTTTCGTATCAGAGCCTATTCCTGAGCAAAGGCCTCTTTCTCTCATGGAGAAGGTTTGAGCATTAATCACTACGCTTGCTCTAGACGGGTTGGTGATTCAAACTTATAAGTCCAGGTTTCCTCACGATGTTTTTCCTTCACTGTCTGTCAGTGGTGTCTAAATACTATTAGAAAGTACTATATGTCGTATATGTCGTCCTTAATTTTCATTTTTTCTTTTACTCTAGTAAAACATCTATGTTGAAATTTATAACATATTTGATCTTGGAAAAGTAACGAAAATTATTTGACCATGCCGTTCAGTGGGGTGTGAAGAATGAAGATAATTGAAATGTACATCTTCTATGTACATCGTATATGCACGCATTTAATTAACTTATTGAAGACAATTTTGATAATTTTCTTTCATAAATTTAAGATGACAAGAAGAATGAGGATTTATGTATGAGAATATAGGTCCTGTTCGTGTATAGAAATACTATGAAGTATCTGTGCATAAAAATCATCTTTAAGATTTCTTTTGGCATCGTATAAAGTCAAATACTAAGACTTCTTCATTTACTAATAATGTAGCAATATAGCTTCATTTAAAAAAAATGTAATTCGCTACCATTTTTGGTTTTAAAAAATAATCAATATTAGAACAAAACTACGATAATCGCTGGAGCATCTACAACATTTTTAATATTCCTAAAGACCTCTCAAACTTACCGAAACTTAAACAAACTTAATTGGATCATGCAAAATGAAAAAAAAATGTATAATTGAAAACTAAATTTATTTTATTGCTTTTGTTGTGAGTTGTATAAGAAAAAAATCATAAATTAACCATTATGTTATATAAAAATACCTATGTAATCAGTAATCACATTGACACGTCACCTAATATATGTATTAAGTGTTATATACAGAAATCTTAATTGTATTCTTACTCTTTTTATATACCTCATAGAAATTTTAATCTGGTAACTATGTGAGCTAACTGTAGTCGCCAATGATATATCTATACAAATAAATAAAATTGGTATGTCAGTTTGTAATATTGAAATGACCGTTTTTTACTACACGCATATGAATATATCTTCTGGCAATTACCCAGCTTTAGCCCGGATCTGCCTTACATGTTGTGAATAGTTTTGGCTATTTTTTTTTTACGACCGGCCGCCTGCCTGACATCAAACCTCTTTTAATCAGTTATGTCTTAATACTCTTAGAAAGTATATATCATTCGGAAAAATCACGTTGGTACTTGCCAGGATCGAACCCGCGCCCTCGTGTATGAGAGGCGGACCTTTAACCACTAGGTAGGCCAGCACTGACTTATGAATATGTATACGGTACAAACACCATAATAACATTATTAACAAAATTTGCCTGTCTGTTGGTTGGTGCTAATCTCTGAAATGGTTGGACCGATTGAGACGGGACTTTTACTAGCAGATAGTTGGGTTCAGAAGGAGAGTAGGGTTCAGAAGGATTTTCATTATTTATTTTTCTTTTTTTAAGCAGATCAAGCCGCGAGTAACAGCTAGTATATAATAAAATCTCGGTTTATTTATAGTCAGTATATTTTATTAACATCGTAACAATGCATTACATAAACTAATTATCAACATTCAGTTTCTATATGATTTTTTTATCATTCCTAATGAAAAGATTGAATTGCATTACAGGTGTGGTTATTATAAGCTGGAAATTTGAAATAAATTTAAAAATTATACACAAAGTACAGATATATGTATATAGAAAGTAACTTATTGAAATATTTTATTATTAAATTAGTTAATGGCTATTTAATATTAGTGAGTTAATCTTGATATTTTATAATTAACTATCCGTCTATGGAGTTTTTGTCATTTGATACTATGTATAATATAATATTATATAACATTTTCAATGTTTTTAAAACCTTAAATTACGAAAGGTTGACCCTCAAACATTCTTACCTTCCTTGTTGTGGAATATAAAATCTACAATTTAAGATCTACCCAGACAAAATTACTCAGACGAAGCAGTCATCACTTTCCCTATACTATGACATATATTTTTGTATAATTATATGTTGTTTAAATTTAAACAGATATTGAATATATAAGCTTAGCTATTAACAAATATCGAAAAAAAAAGAAAACTAAGCTGTAATAATATTGCAATTTTTAACTTACTTTTAAATAAGAAGAAGATTCTTCAGTTAAGCCATTCCGAGATTTAAGTTTACATACGACAGTTTTTTTTTCAAAGTTTTAATTTATAAATTTTGTTTAGATTAGGCGAAAGTGTTAACGAAAGTGAAACCAAATTTTCCCTAAATTTTTTTGTACAAAATCATTCATCAATTTAATTTATATCTTTAAATTATGATGGAACCACGTTAAATCCATAGAATAATTAGAAGTTTCATCTCCTTATTATTAATTATTATTTTATTATTTTATACTGTTAGTTATCTAGTAAATAGAAAGAGTTTTTTAGATTGACATCAAATATTATTCTTTATCTATACCTTTCAAACAACCTTTTGAAGAATATATCAAATGTTCTCAAACGGAAAATTCATTCAAAGGAATTTGTTTTAATACAAATAATTTCATAGTTAGCATAAATCAAAGACATTCTCTCAATTGCTATCATAATTTTAAGAGGCCCTACCATTATAAGCAGTGTTTGATGTAAAATTTAATATTTACTTAGTCAATTTTGAGAGTTAAATATTTTCAGGTTGAGTGAAATCAAGTACACCAGACTAGTTTATCTATAGGAATAATGGTTGATCAATCAATATCCTCATGATTTCAATATTGGAAGTTACTGAACTCTTTCAGAATTACGTCAATTAAAAATTCAGTAAAAAGTAATATGTGACGTATACCAGTGGAAAACTTGCGATCTAGCATCGGTCAAAAGGCAAGCCACGTGTATAGATTAATTTTATCACAATTAGTGGTATATTTATTTACATTTTGATCATACACTTTCTTCCTGACCCGTTACACTTGATATTGAAGGTTAGATCATTATTTATGCTAAGAGAATCAAAGTTAGGACTATACCTACGTAGAGATATTCGGATCCAATTAAAACAGATTATTTTCACGATATTCTAACTTTAATATTATATTAATACGAAAATTTTAAGTATATATTAATAACTGTGAAGATTACGGACAAGCCAATAATGAAAGCATTCTTGTAATAAATATGCATTACATAACAAAGGTCGCATAATCTAATCACTTCTAGAACCTATTCTCTTGGTCTATTCTTATACATTTCTGATACGTTATATTAACGATTACAAAATTCTTATATTCTTAAAAATGAAATCAAAATTTGAATATAACATACGAAAGACATGAATATTCCCAAAGTAAAAACTAACGAAGGAGTAAACGAGAAAATCCCTACTAATAATATTATAAATGCGAAAGTAACTCTGTCTGACTGTCTATTACGCTTTCACGCCTAAATCACTGAACTGATTTTAATGAAATTTGGTACAGACATAGAGTTGATCTTGAGAAAGAACATAGTATAGTTTTTATCCCAGACTTTTGAAAGGTTCTTTTGGAAACGCGATATAACCGAACTACACGCGGGCGATGCCGCGGGCGGAAAACTAAATTGATTATAAAGGGAAAATTTGATCAATATAAAATCATATTAGATAATAAAAAGGCACGTTCCAGCAAGATATATATCTATAAGAGATAGCTCTTGTAAGGGATGAGGGATAGCATTAAAATCAGGGCCACATTTAATGAGCGGAAGATTATAATTATAAGAATAATCTCTGGGCTTCGAGATTGAGATATTTTTTGAACACTGAAGCGTATAAATATTTCTTTAAGGTAAAAAATGTAATTAAAACAGATTAAAAATAAAAAGTATAACAGATTACAAATTAATTCTTTGTGTTGATAATAAAAGGTATTGTTTATTTTTTGTGCTGCTT